GCCTTGCTGTTGAGCTATGAACTGTTTAAGGAGAGGTGAAAGTGATGGCTACAGGAGCAGTGAACGATTGCGAAGCTGGCGAAAAAGCATGAGAACATCGTGGGTGTCAAGCTCACATGCGAGAGCGTGGCCAAGATTACACGGCTGGCGGCCGAGTTCCCGCCAGAGAGGTTCGCCGTGTTTGGAGAGCAGAGTGACTTCTTGATCGGAGGTCTTGCGGTGGGCAGCGCTGGGTGTATCGCTGCCTTTGCGAACGTGTTCCCCAAGACGGTCGTGGAGGTATACAATCTGTACAAGGCGGGCAAAACGCAGGAGGCGCTGGAGTTACACAGGAAGGCGGCGTTGGCAGAGCAGGCGTTGAAGAGCGGGGGCATTGCCGCAACCAAGTATGCTGCTAGTGTGTTTACCGCGCCTCTGGCTGGTGTGGAAGATGCCGAGAACAGGATGGTGCCCAGAAGGCCATACCTGCCGCCTGGGGAGGAGGCGAAGAGGAAGATTAAGGAGGCGTTGGCCGAGGTTGCTGAGATTGAGAAGGGCATCGTGAGGTAGAGCAGGGCGTTGAGCCGAGTCATGGAGAGCGAGTATAATCTATACATTTCACACGCAACTCAAGCTGCTATCTGTCGGAATTATAAATCAGTTCTTCTTCCAAGGTTACCTCGGTGGTTATTTCCAACCTCTGGCATATTATTTTTCCCTCGCGTTGGACCTCCGCAGCCAACCTCAGTCTTTACTCTCACTCTCCGCCGTCAGATGGAACAGCTTCAAGGTTCTCTGACCAAGATACTGGTATCAGTCCGTGCCAGAACCTGCAGTCATTATCTGGCTCCATGTGTAACACAGCGTATGCAGGAACGGCACCCGTGTAAATCATCCCGGCCTAGCGTAACAAGTCCAGAACATCGTACCTATGGATCAAAACGATTGACTTCACTCCCTACATAGAATCAAGACCCTTTTTCTCTGGAGCAAGAAATATGCCATCTTTTGGATGGTTTCGGATCAGACCCGGAAATTTACGGTAGATTGAGGTATTATATAGATTTTATCACAGTAAAATATTGGACTCTTTAAGAAACAGTGAGAGACGGTTTCAAGTATGACACATTAGGTATCGATGGTTTGTTCACCTACTTACACTGCAAATAACGAGTCACTCCATCGCGAGTCATGACAACGGAGAGTGCCCGTCGCCAAGCCGGCTGCTGTATTAGTCGGTGCTGACTACAGCAAGGGCTCAGAATCATCGGCACCCTCCTTCGCCTGAGCCAACAGAAAACGTGTGCCTCATTGTGGCCTGGACCTGGGCGTGCGGGAAAAAGAGGGGGATGACATCACTAAAAACCGCTGAAAGGAACAACGGCCAGGTCCCCAAGGCGGCAATGTAACCACACCACACCAAGCGACCCAGCTCTGAACCCGGAACCCGAGCTCTGAGCTAGCTCTCCCAAGATTCAAACCCCAAACATGCATTGTTCAATACTCGCGGCTCAGATGTCCATGTGGCCAGCTGTCGGTACCCTGTGACGTGACGCCAACTTGGTTAGGTGCGAGGCAAGCGAGGGTACGAGGGACGGACCACCGGCTTTGGCCCAATTCGGATGAAGCGAATTGGGATGTTAGTTATCCCGCCCCCTCAATAACCCGGGCATTGGCCATCATGGTGGCATCAATGGTGGGCAAACAGGCAAGAGCTTGGCATCACCAGTTGCATCATTGGTTCCATGGTTTGAATGCCACCTCGCGATGCTAGGCAAAGGATTTCGCGACCTGCATGACGTCTCCAATTGCTACCTCCCTCTTAGCCCGGCCTACGAACCTTCCATCGTTCATAACCGGTCCATTCGCCTCGTGAGAAAAGCGAGTTGACTTCCATCCTCTTTCTTTTGGTGACCACCATCAATTGGTCTCGACGAACACACCAAGACTCCAAAACAACATGAGTTCCCTCGTCAAGCGAGCTGCCGCCGCAGCTTTGCTGCTGTCTTCCAGTGTTGTGGCACAGGACACTAGCATCGATGTCACTACTATTACCAGTACCGTCACAACCCCAACCTCCTCCTCGCAGGCATCGGCGTGTGCCACCGCCTTGGCACCGGGTTACTCGGCGCCCGTTGCGGCCAAGGGTTGGAAGGCCCAGCTGATTGCCACCAACCTCACCAAGCCGCGGAGTATCAAGTTTGACTCTAATGGCGGCCTTCTTGTGCTTGAGGCCGGCGTTGGGCTCCGCCATTTGACCTTTGATGACAACGGAGGCACTTGCCTTTCCGTCAAGAGCAGCACTTCCGTCATTGCGGATGAGGAGGTGAGCACTGAGAGCAATACCCCGAAACGCCGGTGTAACATAGAAGCTAACGAGTCTGTAGCTCAACCACGGTCTTGAACTGTCCGAGGACGGCAAGACCCTCTACGTCTCCTCAGCCGAGAATGTTGACCGCTACGAGTACGACGCCGACTCCGCCACCGTCGGCAGCCTCACCCGCATCATCGCCAACATGACCAACCCGGGCGTTGGGCACGTCTCGCGAACCCTCCTGCTTTCCAAGCACCAGCCCGACCTCCTCTTGGTCTCGCGCGGCAGCGCCGAGAACCTCGACTTGCTAGCTGCCAACCAATCCACCGGCATCTCGCAGATCCGCGCCTTCAACATCTCCAACACGACCACCACCTCGCTGCAGCGCTCCCTACAGCTACCCCGACGACGGCCTCCTCGTCGGCTGGGGCCTACGCAACTCGGTCGGCGTGGCGGAGCACCCAGTCAAGGGCACCATTTGGTCGGTCGAGAACAGCGCCGACGAGATCCACCGCCTCGGAGTCGACATCCACGAAGAAAACCCCGGCGAGGAGCTCAACTACCACGGCCTCCTCAACGACACCGACTCACGGAGCACCCTGCTGGGCTCCAACTACGGCTACCCGTCCTGCTTCGCAGTCAGCAACACGACCGGTTTCCTCTCCCAAGGCAACCTAACCATCGGCTCACAATTCTCCCTCCAAAACAACGCCACCGCCAACGACACCGCCTGCGCCCTGCACACCGTGCCTCGCGCCTCACCTTCCAAGCCCACACCGCGCTCTCGACATCAAATTCCTGCCCGGCAACGGCTCACGCGCCTTCATCTCCTTCCACGGCAGCTGGAACCGCGACTCACCCGGCCGGCTACAAACTCTCCTACGCCGTCTTCGCCACCGACTCCTCATCCTCAGACACGGACTCCAACTCCGACCTCACCCCCGGCTTCCCCGCCGAAGCCAGCAAAAGCACCCACCCGATCCGCGACGTGCTGACCGCGCCCGACGTGAGCCGGTGCGCCGAGCCGGGCGCCTGTTTCCGGCCTGTCGGGCTGGCGTTTGATGCGGCGGCGCAGCGGCTGTTTTGTGTCGAGCGACGCGACGGGGGAGATTTGGGTGGTGGTGCGCGATGGGGGACGAGGAGGGGGATAGTGATGGGAATGGTGGGAGTGGGCCCGAGTCCCGTCCACCACAGGGGGTGGTGGTGAGACGCCGACGGAGAGTGGTGGGCCGGTGGATAGTACGTCGGCGGCGGCGGCTGTGCCCGGGGTGGGATATCGTGGTGTTGGGGGGTGGAGGGTGAGAGGTGGTGCCGGCTTACGGTGGTGATGATGACGGTTGACCAGATTGTGATTTTTATGATGTAAGATGATTGAATAGGTACCTGCTTGAATGGGTGGTGGTGTTGATGAGTGATGAGCGATGAATTGTCCTCCGTAATAAGAATCACCTTGAAAGAGGGAGTTGTGAGGACGCGATAGAAGACAGATCTAGTAATAGTTGTTGTAGTTAGTTACGGTCATTCCAACCGGAAGTCATATGCACTTCTCTCCCTCCTCGTTCATGCCTAGCACTTCCATCTAAACCCAACACCCCATCGTCAAAGTAATCGCTCGCATGGACAGGACGGGATACACAAACTTGATTAGCTCTAAATACCGTCCCAGCAGCCGTAACGCCCAAGCCCCCCGCGCCATCCCAATCGTCTACTCCTCGATCGACTTGACGCACTCCCACTCGCCCTTGAGGTTCTCCTTCCACAGCGTGACTTTGTTGTCGCCGCCGCTGGCGGCCAGCACGTTGCCGCTCAGCGACCAGCTGACGCGCCAGACGGCGGCGTCGAAGCCGAGCACCTTGCAGTTCCACTGCTGCGGGTTAGCCGGGTCGCTGGTCCAGATGCGCACGGTGCGGTCCTCGGACGCGCTCGCGATGTAGCTCTTCTGCAGCACCGTCGGGCTCCACGCCACGTCGCGCACCCAGTCGGTGTGACCCGTCAGCGGCTCGCGCTCGAGCTTGTAGGCGCCCGTCGCGGCGTCAAAGGCCCAGATCTTGAGCGCGTTGTCCGACCCGCCCGTCACGAACCGCCGGTTGCCCGTCGACTTGGGGCTCGGCTTGCTGCTGACGATGCTGCCCGGGTTGGTGGCAGGCGCCCACGAGACCGAGTTGACCCCGAGCCCGTGCGCGTGGAAGATGCTGTGCTCCCAGCTGTTGTTGTCCTTGAACTCGAGCACGCTGACGTTACCGTCCGACGACGCGCACGCCAGCACGCAGCCCGCCTCATGCGGGGACCACGACACCACGTTGACGCTGGCCTTGTGGAGGGAGAAGTCGTAGATGCGCTGCCACGCCCCGTTCTGCTCGCGCCAGATCAACACCTTGCCATCGTAGCCCGCGCTCGCTAAGATGTTGCCGTACTTGGGATGCGCCCACGAAACGCACCACACCGCACCATCATGCCTGTTGTTTTGCCACATCGTGAGCTTCTCATTCCCCCCTATCTCGTCTCGGTAGGAGTGCAAGTGTTGGTTCCCACGTACCCCTTGAGTGTCTCGGTCAACCGCTGTGTCTCGCCCTCGATCTCGAAGATCTTGATGGTGCGATCCGAGGAGCAGGTCGCTAACCTCCGGCCGTAGTAGTCGAGGACTGCATCATGCTGATTTGTGTTAGATCTCCAGCTTGCTTGGTTTCGTGGTATCGGGTGCTCGGTGGATCAATAGGTGGGTGGCTAGGTAGGGAAATCGTGGAGTAGCGTCGCGCAACGTACAATCATGTCATCGTGGCCAGAGTTGGCAATAACTTGGGTTCCGGCTGCCTGGAGAGCTGGGTCAGTATCTACACATTATACATATGCCAGATCAGGTAAAGGGGAGCTCCATTAGAGTGCAAGAATGAGAGAAAGCAAGGAGGGGTGCAAACCATTGTGCCAGCGGGTCTTTGGATTCAGTGAATGCAAATGCGGAAACAATAGAATCAAGGATTAGATCGCTCTGATTGTTGAAGTGGGTTATCTGTAGTGCAGTTCCTCAATGGGGTTTGCACAGAGGTTCAATTGCACCGCCGCTAAAGTGGCTCCAGGCGTGAAGAGCACCCCCTGTTGTTGTCCAGCTGGCAAGAAAATCGTGGTGAGCCCAGCCTGCATGACTTGCAAGGGTCTTTCAAAAGAGCCCCACACAATGCCGCCCCGCACCCACATTAACTCTTGGCTTGCCCCTCTGTCACAGGCCCGACCCGACTCCGGCAAGCCGGCTTAACAGTGACTGACCAACTTCGACAACTCCATCACAACTCTCCATGGTGAATTTGGCGGCCACACTATACACATAACGAAAGTGGGGCCATTGGGGAATGGCTTCAGCATTCTATTGTTTCATAGACTATGCCTTCTGATTTTCTGGCATTGTTTTCTTCTTCTGCAACGCGACCGCAGTAGTGAATAAACTACAACCCCATCGGCTCGGTTCGATATCGCCTACCTCGGACGACCTCGGCATCTCGAACCACCCTTGGGTTTCCTCTCTTCGATCCGAAAAACATCAGATTGAAACTTGCCTCTGCTAGCCGAAACCGTAACCTCGCATCTCACCAAAATCGCCAACATAAACTCGACTTCAAAATGGCCGACAGCATGTGTGGTCCGTCTAACGGCGCCAAGAACCTTTTGTCGCATGTCGACCGCGATCGCACCCATCACCAGGATCGCTTCGTCAACGCGCCGCAGGCCGGCCCGGGCAATGTGAGTATCCGGGAGCGATAATTTGTAGCCATAATTCGTCGCTGACCTCGGCTCCACCAGGCTTTCCGTTCGCAGGCTCCCTTTGCCAATGGCGCCGAGACGGCCTTTGGAGGCTTTCAGCAGGGCGGCGCGCCCATGGATTCGGCTTTTGGTCCCGGTCTCGACATGAACACTATCGCTGGCGCTAGGGCCTACGGCCATCCGGCTCCGGCTGCTCCGACCGCTATGACCAACATTGGGCCGGGCGTCCCGGCTGCCCGTCTTGCTTCTCCGGCCACTGGCGGTACTTCCCACCAGGAGTGGGTTAACCAGTTCTCGGGCATGCAGATTGGCGGCGCCAGGGCTGGACCCAGCACTGCGATCGCTCCCCAAATGCAGTCGACTCCCATGGCTGCGATGAATCCGGCCATGAATATGCAGCAGGCTGCTTTCGGCATGCCCATGTACAACGGACTGTCTGCCGGTGTCTATGGCCTCCAAGGCATGAACCCGATCGCCCAGCAGCAGCCTCAAATTGCTGTGGCCCAAGACTCCGACCTCGACGTCGAGGCTTTCAATCGCGCGTTCGGAGAATACGATGACGTCAACTTCAAGACCGAGCTCGCCGACTGGACCGAGAAGCAACAGGTTGCCAACACCGAGTTCGCCGAGGCGCAGGACAAGTGGATGGCCCAGCACGGCCCGCGAGTCGACCCCACCACCGGGGTCACGGTGCCGTCACCCGATGAGATGGAGGCCATCGACGCCAACTTGGAGAAGCTCGCGCAGGAACAGGACAAGCGCCGGTCCGACGACGACCTGGTGCATGCCGCCATCGACATTGTCAACTCGGTTTCCGACAACACCTCGGAGAAGTTCAAGAACTCGCGCTTCTTCGAGCTGATGCGCCGCATCGGCAACCGCGAGGTCGTCGTCGAGGGCGACGGCTTCGTCAACGCCGCCACCGGCGAGGCCGTCAACACCTCGCACGACGATGAGCAGCACGACTCCGGTCTCGGCTCCGATGCGGCCACCCCCCAGAAGGCCCCGGAGGTCCAGCCCGCCTAAACGCGAATCACGGACTGCTAATCGCCTCCCCGCCATGATGGGGGGCAGGGCGATCGTTGCTATATTGCAAGCTTCAGTCTTGTCCTGTTACTCCTAGGTACATACGTACACCTGTATTGTGTATTGCTACAGCCGTCGCGTCGCCGCAACTCGCCTACCATTTGCTCACTTGCTGCCTTCTCTTTCTCGGTTTCCTCTTTTTTTCTTTTTCTTTTTTTGCTCCTGGCTATACCTCTGTATTCCATAGATGGCTTGTATTCGATGGATGGCTTGCTCTGTTGGGGAGGCGTCTACTTGGCATCAACCGGTATCGGCGTGGCATGATGATAAAGGGGGTGTGTTCGACTGCGCATACATGGGGCGTTGGATGGGAAGGGAAAGGTTCTTCATGTTTTCTTGTCCTGATTTTCGCGCTGACTTTCCATTTGCATTTGCATGGGCACTGCATTACATTGTATGACACGGCAGTTGCTTTAGAATAACAGGCATTCCGGCGGGACATCTTGTCGTGTTGGTGTTTGTCTGTGCTGGCAAAACAAGCCTTTGCTATTTTTGCTCTTCCTGGGTCTATAGAGGCGCGCGCACTTTCGGTGTCTAGACGGCTGGCTAGCTCTTGTTGCTCTTGCGATGGTTTCATCCTACCACTGTCTCCTGTCTACTTTGGTCGTTGAGAATATATTGTCTTAGAACAACTGCTGCTGCTGCTTCCACGTCGGTGTCTCCGCTTTGGGTGTGCATGTAGACATCTGACCTATGGAAGTGTATGCGTGGGGAAGCGGTGAAGTTCCTGCATGAAATTCAACACCACCCTGAACTTTGACTCTAACTCAGCTCTCGACCCGCCAACACCCAACCCCCAAGAAGCAACCCCCACCAAGAATGGATCCGAATAACGAAAACGCCGGCATCTTAGCCGGCACCCTCTCCGGCCAGAAACTCCACATCCCCGATTTGCACCCCACGTTTGCCGCATGGAAGCAGAGCGTCAACCCTCTGCATGCGCAGGCCAGGCAGGCCGCCGATATCAGACTGGCAGGGCTCATCGAGGATGAGAAAGCGTTGGCCAAGACTAGGGCGGTTGATATCGCGCTGTTTGCTTCCATGTATGGATATAGGTTCCCTTCCACCCCGTCGTATCTTGAATCACATTGCGAGGATATGACCTATAAAAAAATACAAAGAAAGTACCTAACTTAAAACCCTCCCCCGAACGCAGGTTGGCCCCCGACGTGGGGTACGCCGAGCTAGAAACGCTCACCTTCTACTATATATGGCTGTTTCTGTGGGACGATGCCATCGATGGCGCGGGCGAGGGCGAGGTGGCGGCCGAGGAGTACTGTCGCCAGTCGATCGCCTTTGTGGAGCATTCTCTTGGTCTGGGTGAGCCTGGGGCGCCCGTGCCGGTGGCACTCACCAAAGTTTGTGAGAGCTTTGCTGAGGTGGGCAAGAGAGTGGGTGGGTATTGTGGGTTGGAGGAGAGGGAGAGGTTCTTGGAGAGTCTGAGGAAGTATATGCAGGCTTGCATGACAGAGTATCGGTGGAGGTTGTCTAGGAAGTTGCCGAGTGTGGAGGAATTTTACTCGTGGCGGCTGGGAACGTCGTCGGTGGATGCCATGTTGGACTTGAGCCGGTTTGGTCCTCCGAGAGACAGGTTATGGTGGGTTTGTTGCTGACGTTTTCCAGGGTTATTCATAGAGTAAAACTGCCTCGTGGTATCCTCGAATCGAAGGAACTGGCGGCCATGGGCTTTTGTGTCAACAAGCTTCTTATCTTGTGAGTCCATATTGCCTTTGTCCGTAAAGAAGGCTGGGCAACAGGGTTGACATAGCTCCTTCAGGATTAATGAGTTAGTCTCTCTTAAAAAGGAGTTGGTAGGTTTGCTGTGTTTTATGATCTACGATGAAAAGCGGTGTTGCTAACTTATTTTTCAGAAAGATGGTGCGTTTGGAAACTTGATACCCATCACCATGCTGGCATCAAACATGGACTTGGAAAGCGCAACGCAGAGTTTGACAAAAGACATCCAAGAGTGCGTCAGGGATTTTGAGAGCAACGTTGTGATTCTTCGGAGAAACTCTGGGATGGATGAGGAACAGCTGAAGCGCCTAGTTCAGGCTTACCAGGTTGTTGACACGGCGACGCTCAACTTTTCCATACAAAGCCCGCGGTATGGTATTCTCAAGGATAGGCAAACGGATGGCTCATTTGTGGTTACCCTATGAGAGAGCTAAGAGGGCCATAGTGCGCTGAATAAATCCACGTATTTTCCGTGCTAGTTCTCATTCCTGGTCGACGAACTCGTACACGGCACGCACTGCTGCCTTTTGCCTGTATATACACACGCCTTCGTTGCTGGCACGGCAGTACGGGCACGTGCGAGATGTGCCATTTTCTTTCATGCTCTCATGGCACCTGGAGGTTTCCAGATAAGTTAGCAATAACAAACGTCTCGTCGTGGTCCACAAACATACTCGTAACAAACCCAGTGCGTAGTCCCTGTCCTGAGGTCACGGCTAGTTTTATCCGCTCCCAAATTTCCGGCGAAGCAGTATATGACGATTGAGTTCTATGTGGGATATTAGACAAATTCAATTTCCCACGGAACGTAGGTAGGTAGTTTGCTCACGGTAAACTGTTGGCACACTCCGCAATTCATGCTTGCGAGTTATTCGAGCAATTTATTTGGGAGAGATGGATTTAAGGTATTCTCTTGAAGATTGAAATGTTGCTAGACAAATAATTAAGATGTTTAAGTCGAAGTCCGATGAAAATACCCACGCTTCTTATGCTAAGTGCCAGGCCCTCCAAGGCTCTGCTCCTTAGATCCTCCGCAACAACACGCCAATACTAGGCATTGTCACCGAGCCGATGGCCAATACATGATCAGCATTGCCTAGATGAGGCTGCCTCGGGCTCTGTATCTATCAACCAGCCCAAGGCGCAGCCGTCGAAGGATGCCGATGCGTCGCCGAGTTGTCTACTCAAAGCGGTAATACGCCCGGCGGGGATATGCAGTGCCTCGCAACTAAATGGTCAAGAACAGTGAGATCTGCACAGGGCTTTGACTTGATGCGGGCCGTCCCGGCCCTGAAAATTAAAAGCGAACCAAATTACCAACCTAGGTATGTCGGTTCTGTGAGGTTGCAGAGTGAGAGAGATCACAAACGCAGTCCATCCAGCGATGTTGTCAAAATGCGGGGCTCCTTCCCTCGCACTTACACGCAATGATACCTGGTGCCCATCAATGGCGACCCCACTAATTACACGGTCTGTCCCACTAATTACACGGTGTCCGTTTAGGATTAGTGCCGCGCAGGGGTCAGATTGTCATTCCCACCCAAATTTTGCAGCGCAGTACATCGGCAAACATGTGTATAAAACCGAACAAGGTAACTATCTGACATCTCAATCCATCAAACTGGGCGCAATTCGCTCAAATCCGTGATAATATCAAGCTCTGTCGTAACCCCCCCCTGTTGCTGCAATCGCTGCCACTCCTCTGCGGTCCAGCCCTGCGGTGGCGCCTCCTAAGCGACCTCCTAAGCCGCTTGCTGTGGAATCTGTGGGTAGCTCTCGTATGATGGCGCCATAGAAAACTGCGAGCGCGAACCATACGGGAGTTGCGGTGGACATTCCTCTGGCGAACTGTGACGGGGGAGGCATCTGGTGAGATGGATCAACACACACGGGGGGCACAGGGATCAACACATTAGATAGCAGTATATAGTCACTCGTTCTGGAGAGCTCTGAGAGTTTTCCAGTAAGCAATACACACTTGTGTTTGGAACACACTTGAGACACTTGAACGAATAACTAGTTGTTGTGAACTCTTTGGCTTCCATTTTCGATCAAACTGATGAAAAGGTTTGCCGATGTACTGCGCTGCAAAATTTGGGTGGGAATGACATTCTGACCCCTGCGCGGCACTAATCCTAAACGGACACCGTGTAATTAGTGGGACAGACCGTGTAATTAGTGGGACAGCATCAATGGTGCCACATCGGATGGTGGAACCTTCTGTTCCATGCTTACAAACGGGTCACCTAATCAGAGGGTTCACTTGCATCACCTAAGGTACTCTAAGTCCTCTTAACTCAAGATCGAGCTTTGTATTTGTATACCGTTGAGTTTGCAATTTAAGTCTCTCGGCAAATTCAGGTATATATCAAGTCACGCACACATCACACCACAACATCCACAATGGCAGGTTACCCTTCCCCGCTGACCGGTTATGAAAATGCCCCGCCTCTCTCCGAGGAGCGGGCCGAAGATGGCAAGAGCTTCCGGAACCCGCAAACCGGCGTGCTCAGCAGCGCATACGAGAGATTCACCGAACCCCTCGATAACGGCATCAAGGGCGGGTTGTAAGCGATTTTACTGACCGGTCCTTGCATCCCAACACCTACCTCCTTACCTTTACACCAGAAACTAACCGGGTTAAAAGTGATATCCACATCTATTACTTCCAAAACAACCCCGAACGTACGTTTAACCTACCCAACTACGAATAGGCAGTCTAGCATAGCCACATAACGACAAAGTCACCTTACCCAGCACCCCAAAACTAACACACATCCCCTTTCCCCCCGGGGTTCAAAGAATCGGAATACGCACGGGCCCTACGCGAGCGCATCCGGCGCGAGTTCCCGGAGCTGCGGGTGTACGCGCTGTGGGACCGGCCGATCGGGCCGCACCCGGTGGCCATGTTCGAGGTGAGCGTGCACTCGCCGGCGCAGTTCGGCGCCGTCGTCGCCTGGCTGGCCGTCTGGCGCGGCCCGCTGTCCGTGCTGGTCCACCCCAACACCACCGAGCCCGAGTCCGACCTACCGCCCCACGACCGCGAGCGCCGCAACCACACCGACCGCGCCATCTGGATGGGTAAGCGCCTGCCGCTGGATCTGTCTATTTTTCGGCCCAAGACGTCGGCGGCTGCTGCTGCTGCTGCGTCTGCTGCTGGGGGAGGGACGGCGCCGGCTTGAGAGGGAGGGGTGGGAGGTGACGGTTACCGTTGGCTCATGAGGGCACAGTGAGGGGAGGCGCATTGAAGGTCATGTTCATCAGGATCCTATCAGCTCCCCAAGCGCTCGTGGCTTCAGAAGAAGCCCCCAATAAGAACACCAGAAATAGCATCCTTCAAGACGGACATTGTCGATGGGAAAATGACTTTTAGGACCACGCGTCTCGGTTATCGCGAAATGAGCTCCCGGCGGCATCGAGTTCCACCGCGGCTGACAACATGCATGCGGGACGAATTCAGGGGCGGCAAGGAATGCCACACACCCATCGCAGCGATTTGGCATCCCTGAAGCGGAATTCTGCTGTTTCCTCGAGAACAAAAAAAAAAAACCGTTTGCTTTGAGGAGAGCGAGCTCCACCACGTGAGACCTTATTTGAACGAACGGTCGGCCAAACCCGAGAAGTCTCAAGTTCCAAAGTGCGAACGGACCATCTCCTGTCAACTCCCCTTGCTCCGATTTCGCGTTGCATGCCCTGCTCAGCCTTCCGGTCCCCATCCCGAGCCCATTGGTTCACTCGGCAGCTCGTCTTTACCCATTGGTCAATGACACCTTGGCAGCTTGGGGAACTTCGGTATCAATGCTTTACGGTTGACGCCCAGCTTCAGCTGGCAAGGATCTTGACCCCACTGTCGTCAGGGGTATCAACACGCCAAGAAGCTCAAGGCACTGTTTCTGTACCTGCATTCTGTACGCCTTGGGCCTCCGCCATGCCTCTTTCGGAAGAGCGTCGCGAAGGCCGTCCTGGGGGGATGGGATGACCCTTTCCTGTCAGTTTGCTTCGGCAGACCCTTTCCGCGTTGTGGCGTCCTGCCTGGACGAGGCACGCAGATGGCCCCTCCCACATGGCACACCATCTCGTACCGCCCCCCTCAGGTGTTTTTTTTTTTTTTTGTTCATTCTTTCCTGGGGTTTCGTTGCGCAATCAGGCCCGAGTGAAGCCCGGGGTACCCTTTGGGCGGACGCTGTCCCTTGGTACCGTCCTGTTGTTGACCGTTTCTCGTTAATCCAGTCACACATTCGTGGACTTAGCCTCCCTTCTTTGATACCAAGATGAGGCAAACACGGTTCTCGGCGGCCGTTCTGGCTCTCGCCGTTGCTTCGGCGAGGGCGGCCGAGATCCTCTATGTGACGGACATGCCTGCGTACGAAGCTCTGGTAAAGCCAAACCCGAGGCCCCCCCTCCGCCCCTCTAACTGGGACTGACCGAGCAACACCTAAAGGCACCATGTGCGCAGTCGGCTCTCCGCTACAACGTCCAGTCGCAAACCTACGACGCATGCCCCGAAGCTGTGTCGGAACTCCAGTCGTGTGTCTGCACCAAGAACAACAATTTCGCCTCCATATCCTCCCAAATTTCCGCCTCGGTCAGCTACTCGTGCGGATCGACGGCCAGCGAGGACCACGCGTCAGCTCAAAGTGTATGGCCGACTGGACATCGATGAGCAAGCCAAATGTGCTGATTTCCTGCTAGGTTTTCAAGGCGTACTGTGACCCAAGCCTAACAGTCTCATTCCCGTCTCCGACCGCCGTCAGTGTCTACATCACGGATATCCCCGAGTACGACTACCTGGCACCATGCGCGAAGAGCGCCATCAAATATGGAGTTGGGTGAGTTTTCAACGCCCCGAATCTTTATAAACAGCAATGAGTTAGCGGCAGTAACTGACAATGAAACAGGACGGTGGTAAGTTATGCGTTTAGACTCACCGCGCCACCCTACTCCGCTAACCTCCGCCTCAGACCTACGAACTCTGTCCAACCAACGCGCCTGCACTCGCGAGCTGTGCCTGCAAGAAGAACCAGAACTCGCTCAAGATCAGCCAAGCTATCAACTCGGAGGCCAAGTCATCGTGCTCCGGGCACTCGATGGACATCTCGTCGGCCCAGGCCATGTTTGCTGCTTACTGCGCCATGAACGACGGCACAACGAAATTCCCTGTCCCGTCCAACCCCCCCGGCGACAGTAAGTCGACGAATCGGCATTGTTAGGTCATGAAAATCGTTTGCTGACGAAAACAGTGACCTACTACATCACAGATCTGCCACAGTATAGTTCCCTCGCGCCATGCGCGGCGTCGGGGCTACTGTACGCCGTTCAATCTGTAAGTATATGAAGCTCACCTCTATGTCGTTAGAGGATTCTTGCGATCACAACCAACTAACAGCCCCCCTTTAGAAAATGGATAACTTGTGCCCCAGCGGCCCACAGGCTCTTGCGTCGTGTGTGTGCCTTAAGGAGGGCATGACGATGGACGTTCTGAGGGACATTACTTCGTCCGTCAAGTGGGATTGCTCTTCGACTGCCACCGAAGACGTTTCTTCTGCCGTTGCCGTAAGCGTCCTGGAGACTCGAGGTGTTCGTCGCCGGGTCACTGACAAGCCGACTAGGTTTTCGACTACTATTGCAGCGCTGCCGAGGCAAAGGTAACGGCCGCTGGCGTTTCCAACTCGATAGAGCAGACGTACCCAGCGACCCGCGCTACCACCAACGGCCCGAAACAGACAGGAAATGGCGGCAACAGCGATAGCAGCGACGACGGCAACGGAAACTCGGGCAGCGACGGATCGGACGGTTCGTCCCAAGGGGGCGACAACGAGAGTTCAAGCGGGAGCAACACGGGCGTCATTGTCGGAGCTGTGGTTGGTGTCATCGGCGGCCTTGCTGTGATCGGAGCCATCATCTTCTTCGTCCTCAGAGCGAGGAGGAACCGGCCTGATTCGTTGCGGATCCCGGACAACGCGAACGACCCGCCTGTTCCTCTCGGACCGTACGGCGGTAAGGCGGAATTGGCCAGTGACTCGGTCGCCTCGCCACGCCCTCCAAGCCCGTCCCCGAGCACGCTCAAGGTGGGCGCCATTCCTGGTCGTGTCAGCACCGTTTCACCCGTCTCCGCCAATACTACCGGCGCCTTCGCCCCGCCTCCGAACAACCAAGCTGAGCTCAGCGGGCAGGCAGCGTTCTTCCCGCCGATGCCGAACCGCCCCGAGCTGCACAACCAACACACAGGCACGCCGTCGACTCTTTCTCCAAACACGCCCGAGCTCCATGGCCAGGCCCAGGCCCAGGCCCAGAACGCCATGTTCGCTGCTCCGGCACCAAATGCGCCGGAACTCTATGGCCAAGGCGCCCCGTCAGCCAACCGACCAGAACTCCAGGGTCAAGGCGCCATGGTTCCGCCATCACCACATGCTCCCGAGCTCTACGGCCAAGGCGCCCCCGCCCCCAACCGACCAGAACTTCAAGGCCAAGGCGCCATGATGCCTCCGCCACCAAACGCCCCCGAGCTCTACGGCCAAGGGGCGCCAGCGCCCAACCGGCCCGAACTCCAGGGCCAAGGTGCCATGTACGCCGCGACGCCGGCCAACATGTCAGAACTGCAGGGCCAGGGCTCACAATACCACAACGCCAACCCCAACCGGCCCGAGTTGGCGGGCCAATACAGCTACCCCCCACAGCAGCAGCAGCAACAGCAGCAGCAGCATCAACCCCCCTACCCGCCACAACAATCACCCCACATGCAGCCCTACTCACCCCAACAATCCCCCTACGATCAACAACACCAATACCAGCAACAGCCACAACAACACCAATACCCACAACAACAACAACACCAACAGCAATACCCCTCGCCAACCCCATCACCCCACCCCCCGCAGCTGCAACCGGGATACCACGCCTACAGCCCAGGCACACCGCCCCCCAATAGTGGTGCGTACGGCCAACAGCAGCAGCAGCAGCATCCACAGGCGTCTTGGCAGGCTGGGCCGGTGCCGGATTTGCATGAGATGGATGGGGGGAGGGAGGGGAGGTGACCGTTGTGAGGTGGATGTATATGGGAGTATGTGGATATCTATCTAATGGATGGGGGAGTGGGGGCGTTTGTTGTTTGTTTGTCTGTATATGTAATGTGAGCATTTGAGACTGTTTAGACTGGTTGTGTTGGTTAGTGGTGTGATGCATTGGAGGGTTGTGGCTTGTTTTTTTCAGAGCGAGATGTAATCTGATGAGGTCGGCATGGAATCTGGAGTGTGGCTGTTGTGAGTGTGAAGTCTTAAGTGGCTGGATGGTTGTTGTGGTTGTGTGTGGATACCTAGATAATAGGCTGGTCGAAAACATCTGCTTGTCACAGGTATTCTTTAGTTTTAGGTACCTAACTACTTGAGGTACGGAGCAACGTTTGGTAAGAATACTTCATACTTCGTCTGAATACTTGATTCAAGGAACTCGGGAACAGTTCAAAGGGGACGGTGGCTGGGTGGGTCGCCTCGTGCGCACGGACGAACTGACCGCTCCCAGGCGCCGGGCTTTGTGTCATTGCCCCATAAATACCGGTGCTGCGCTGATTGGTTGCCGCGTCAAAGCTCGCGGCTTGGGGCTGGTTCTTGCCGAAAACAGCTTCGGCCAGTGAGAAAGGCTCCCTAACTTCGAAGCTCTCTTCAAAGGAAAACTTCCCATCCAACAATCACGCGATTCCACCTCGACCGAGAAGCGCATCGATTCCCATCCTCTATCATCTCCATTTCCGACGGCAAATGCACTAGGCCATCAATCTTGACCTACATATGCACTGATATACCCACGCCGCGAAACACGATGGCGGCGGCCGAGGTCGACCTTGCCTACCTCTCGACGCATGCCGGCGTGCCAGAACTCGACCTCGATGCGGTCGTGACCGCGCCGACAGTCGAACTTGTCTCCTCGGTCTTGGGCGCCATTGTAACCAAGCTACGCGACCTCGAGCAGGAGAAATTTCAACTTGGTGTCGAGCTAGAAGCCGCGTACAGAAGCGCAGAATCAAGATGCGAACAGTTCAAAGCGACGAGTGATAAAGCACTAAAGGAGGTTGAGGAGGTTCGGCAGAAACTGCAAAATGAAGGCATGTTTGCATTTCAGCAATTGTTGCTCAATGGCGTCCGCCGGCTAACCTGTTTGCCAACACAGAAACTGCCCGTCGCTCCCTTGAAAATGAGCTTCAAACACTCAAGTCCTCCGGGACAACGTCGCTTTCGGAAATCGACACTCTCCGGACTCGCATCGCCTCCCTAGAGACCTCCAATCGCGAGACCCTTGCCATCGTCGATTCTAAGACGACAGCAAACGCGAGCCTAGCCGAGGAGCTGCAAAAACAACACCAGAAAATTCTGAAGCTCAATCAGGAGATCACCACCTTGAATCAGTCTGTCCAGACTGCCCAGACGGCAGCGAATTCGGCCAAGTACCGCGAAGGGTCTCTTAAGCAGGAGCTTGAGCTTTCCAAAAAAAACAACGACTGGTTCGATGCGGAACTCAAGAACAAAACCGCCGAGAGCCTCAAGATCCGGAAGGAAAAGGGCGCTCGAATTGCAGAACTGCAACGGCAAAACGAAGAAGCCCTCTCTAACATTGAATCGCTGACCCGGACCGAGCAGCAACTACGCAAGCGGCTAGGGGAAGCTCAGTCAAAGGCGGAAGAAGCCCTGACCAAGGTGCAGCAACTGCAAGAATCCGCGGCCCGCGCCGAGGAGAGCTTCAGGCAGGAGCTCGAGTCGTCAAAGCGTCTGGTTGAGTTGAAAGACCAACAGTCGCAAACGCACCGCAACCGCCTTAAAGAGGTGGAGCTTCGGCTGGAGCAAGTCAAGGACGACGGTGCTGAAGAGGTTCGGCGCGTGCGACGGGAGCTGGAGAAGGAGAAGGAGGACCACGCTCAGACGGAGCAGCAGATGCAAGAGCTCCAAGCCGAAGCGGACCGTCTCAGAGCCATTGCCGATTCCCACAACGGCGTGCCTGGCTCAGCGCCGCAGACACCCCGCGCCAATGGCTCCTTCCTGGCTCGCCCGTCCTCACCTTTCGGTACCCCGGCGTCAATGCGTGGCAAGGCGTCGCACCGCGTCACCGAGACACTCGACGAACTTTTCAAGGTGAAGGCCCAACTCACCGGGGAGCAGCGTCGGAATCAAAAACTCCAAGAGGAGCTCGACGACGCCCTCGGTATCTGGGAGGCCAAGATGCCCGAGTACGAAGAAACAGTGGCTGAAAACGAGCGGCTTCGGCACGAATCCGCCCACATGTCGGAACTTGCCGAGCAATCTTATGAGCAGCGAGATGCTGCCGTCAAGATCGCACGCAAAGCTGAGGGCGCCACGGCCGCCGCTCAAGCTGAGATCAAGATCCTGCAAACGCAGCTCCGGGATCTTAGCACGCAGATCCATGTTCTCATCTTCAACATCCACGCCAGAGAGAAGGGCTTGGATCAGCTCACCGACGAGGAGACGGCCCAATTCGAGCGACTTCAACGCGGCGAGGTCGCCGAGCATGCACTGGATGACATGTCCGACACTCATCGCTTCATTACCGAGAGGTTCACTGCCTTCAAGGACATCTTCGAGCTGCAGGAAAAGAACGAGGCGTTGCTGAAGCTCACCCGGGAATTGGCCACTAAGATGGAGAATGAGGAAGCTTTGGCCGCCAAACAACAAGCGGCTCAGGACCACGAAGAGGTCCAGGAACTCCGAGGTACGGTCTCGGTACTCCAGGATGAGGTGCAGTCCATTACCGTGCGGATGAAGAGTTACATGACCGAACGTGACATGTTCCGCCGTATGCTGCAGCAGAAGGCCTCCTCGTCCGAAATCCAGCAAGCCCTTGGCCTTCCCCGGGAAAGTGGTCAGCGCGAGGTGCTCGCTAGCATTGAGCAGCCCCAGCCTGCTGAGGAAGCGAACTTGGCTGTGGCCTTCAGGGAGTTGCAGGCACATTTCGACTCGTACCGCAACGACCAGTCCATCGACAGGAACGCCATGAAAGATCAAATTGAGAAGTTGTCGACCGAGAAGGGGTCTCTCCAAAGTGAGGTCTCGCGCCTCTCTAGCAAGCTCACCCTTTCAACCGAGCGCTACGAGATGCTGGAGTCCAATTTTAAGGCGCTACAAAACGAGAAACAAGAGCTGCAGAAACGGAACCAGTCTCTCTCTGAATCGGCTGCCAAGCAGGACATGCGCACCCAGCAAGTGGCCGAGGATCTCGTCGAGGCTCGCGGCCTAGCCGAGAGTCTGCGGAGCGAAAGCGCGAACCTTCGGGCTGAGAAGAAACTGTGGAAGACCATCCAGGAACGCCTCAGCCAGGACAATGAGAATCTCTCGCAGGAGAAGGACAAGCTAAACAACATGCTGTCGACTCAACAATCCATCTTCAACGAGCGCGAGCTGGGCGAGTCAGAGACTAGACGCAGACTTCAGGCTCAAATCGACTCCTTGGATGGCGAACTCACCACCACCAAGCGCAAGCTCTCTGAGGAGGTGGAGGAGGGCAAGAAGATCCAGCTTCGAAAGGAGTTTGATGCTCAACAATTCCAAAAGCGGATTGACGAGCTGACCTCGATGATTGGGCAAATCAAGGAGGAAAACGTTCAGGTCAAGACGACTCGGGATCATCTTCAGGCTCGCGTCGGTGAGCTAGAGATTGAGCTTCGGAACGCCCAAGAGCGTGCCGAGCGTCTCCGTCCTCTGCCGACTCCCCGGCCCGGGACCCTCAACGAACAAGCCGCTGCCGATCAGGGTTCTCAGGCCCGTATTGAGGAATTGGAGAACGAGGTCCAGGAACTCAAGAATAGCCTGGATCTTCTCAATGTCCAACTCGAGAACGCGAAGCAGCAGGCTGAGCAGTTCAGGCAGCTTAGCAGGGACATGGAGGAGGAGCTCACCAGCCTCAACGAGTCACACGACCAGTACCGCGAAGAGATGGATGCATCACTCGCGACGAAGACAAACGTTGCGAACGAGCTGCAACAACGCGTCGAGGCACTTACCATGGAACTCTCCAATTCGAATAACGAGCTAACAGGCTACGTGATTCGCAGGGCGACGTCATTAGGAAGTAGGAAGAGAAGGAGATGATGCTCAACAGCGACACCACGCGTCTGAAAGACGAGGAAGAGCGCTACAAGGAGACCGCGCGGTTCCACCAGCAAGACCTGCGTGCGCAAGCCGAGATTGCCACCAAGGCCCAACAAGATTACGAACAGGAGCTCGTCAAGCATGCCGAAGCTGCCAAGCTTCTGCAACAGATTCGCGCTGAGCATAATGAACTCAGGACACAGTCGGCCGCGTGGAGGGCGGAGGCGGAATCCGCCAAGCTCTCTCTCGCCCAGAGTGAACAATCTTGGGAAGAGCGGCGCCAACAACTCGAGCAAGAGATTTCGGAAATCAAGACAAGGCGAGAGGACGTGGACGCACAAAACAAACTATTGCACAAGCAGCTCGACAGCGTCACGGCCCAGATTACTTCGTTGCCAACAAAACCGGGCCCAGGCGGATGGGGAAGGTCCCGTTGGCCTTCGGTTGCAGACACCGCAACCGAGGGTTCTTCCGCGAGTTTGAATAACTATTTGCGCCGGGAGAAGGAGATTCTCGAGGTTCAGTACGACATCAAGCTCCAGGAAGCTAAGAGGCTCCAACAACAAGTCGAATACTCTCAATCCCAACTTGACGAGGCCCGCCTCAAGCTTGACCAGGAGCGCAGGGCTCACGCCGATAGCTCGAGGAGCTCCCTTACCCACAAGGAGCTCATGGAGAAGCTCAACGAACTCAACCTTATCCGCGAGAGCAACGTGACTCTCCGCAACGAGAACCAGCGGGCTCAGGCTCAGCTTGTCAAGAAGTCGGAGAAGATATCCGAGCTTGAAGGCAGGATCCAGCCTCTCGAGGCTCGCATCTCGGAGCTCGATCTCGATCAGGGCTTCAAGGAGCAGGAAATCCGACAGCTTCAGGAAGCCCGTGAGGGCCTGCAAAAGAGGATCGAGTCGATTCTCAGCAAGTACGGTCAAGCTGACCCCCAGGAGGCGGAACAGCTAAAGGAGACCATCACGAGTCTGGAAGCGGAGCGGGATGCCCTCAAGCAGTCTGAGCAATCGTTGCAGCAGAAGGTTAAGGAGCTGGAGGAAACCTTGGAGACGAAAACGAACGAGTGGAAGACGATGAAGGAGCGTTTTGCTGAGGACTTCAAGACGCGGTTTAGGAACATGAAGTCTCAACGTGACGAGGCTAATGTCGAAAAGAACACCCTCCAGGGCAGCCTCGACTCGGTCAACGAACGGTTGGCCGGCGTGGAAAAGGAGCTTGAGACAGCCAAGCAGCAGTTGAGTAATCTCACCGAGAAGAACCAGACCCTCGAACAACAAGTTCAGCAAGCTCAGCAAACGGCAGCACCCCCGACAGAGGAGCAGCCCCCAGCTGTGGTGGACTCGACCCAAATCGCAGAACTTACTCAGCAGCTTGACAGCCTTAAGCAGGAGTTAGAGGCTGTCTCATCCCAGAAGGCCACAGCCGAAGCCCAGGTTGAACAACTTCGGGCCGAACTTGCTACAGCCATTAGTGAGCGTGACCAGGCCCTGGCACAGGCTTCCGCAGTAAACGCTGGCGAGGTTGCCATGGCTGATGTCGCCGCCGCGTCGTCTCAAGTGGCAACTGGCCTCACCGACGAGGAGCGTAAAGCTCTGGAGGAGAAGATCGCCACCGCCGAAGCCAAGGCCGCTGAATTCGAAGCGAAGGCTAAGGAGCTCGAAGAGCAGTCCGACAACATCATCAAGCAGCGGTCCGACAAGATGAAAAACGCATTGAATAAGAAGCTTACGGAATCAAAAGAGGCAATGGAGAAACAAGCGCAGGAAGAGAAGGCGAAGCTGCAAGAGGAGTTTAACCTCAAACTCCAACAGGAGCTGGCTATTGTCAAAGCGGAACAGCAGACCGCCACGCCCAAGAACGGCGTGCCTTCGACACCTATCAAGCCGTCGGCCGAGACAAACCCCCCGCAGACCCCCGCTACCGACTTCAGCTCCCTGAGTGATGTGCAAATCCGGGAGTTTGTCGCCACCAACTCGACCGTTTCGAGCATTGTCAAAGCCAATGTCAAGAGGATGGTCGCCGCTGAGACGAAGAAAGCCAAGGAGGAGGCCGAAGTGGCAGTGAAGGCCGAGTATGAACAAAAGATTGTCAACGCGAGCAATTTGGCCGAAAAGAAATGGGCACTTCGTATCAACATGCTCGACAGGCAAGCCAAGACGGCACAAGCTAAGATTTCGGTCGTCGAGACCGCGGCTGGGGACACGCCGCAACGGCCTGTGGTCGAGGTGTGGAACATTGCCAAGGACGCGAAGCCTCAGCTGGCTCCTACTCCTGCAGCTCCCGCTCCGGCGCAAGCACCTGCCACGCAAGCAACGGCGACCCCTTCGGCTTCCGCTGGTACACCCCCAGCAACTGCGGGCCAGGCTGGTCAAGCCCCTTCAGGTAAACACCCATCCCCCTTGCCCATATCGACGCTTAACACAGATGCTAATAACTCACCAGCTGCACCTGTCAAAGAGGAACCCAAACCCGCGGCGGCCGCTCAGACTGCGCTCCCACAGCCGGCGAAACCGGCCACTGGGATCCCAACACCGCCTGTGAATAACCCCTTCGGCGCACCCGCAGCTGCCCCGAGCAGCAGCCTCCCGCAACCCGCCGCAGCCCAACAGCAACAACAACCCCAACAGCAACAACAACCCCAACAAGCTCAGCAAGCACAGGGCCAACAGGGACAGCAGCCGCGAGGCATCCCAGTCCCGTCCGGCCGTGGAGGCGGTGGCGCGAACCGAGGCAGAGGGGGTGTCTATCAAGCCGGTCCAGGCCGTGGCGGTCAAGGACAGCGCGGCCGTGGTGGATTTGGCCGTGGCGGTGGTGGATTGAACCCCGGTGCTGGCGACTTTACTCCCACTGGCGGTGCTGGGAACAAGAGACCTAGGGATGGAGCGGACGGGTCTGGTGAAGGAGGCAGAGGGGGGAAGAGGGCTAGGGGTGGCGGATGATCGCCTATCGTTGGGTTAAGGAGGCTGATGAATATGCTGATGACGAGAGGCGAGATGAGAGCGAGTTTCTTGGGTTTTTTGGCTTAAGAATGAATGGGTCGGGAGATACCAAAGCCATGGTGGGCAGAGGTGGTGGATTAGGGGGATGGAAAAAAAGGGGAAAGAAAAAGACAGCAGAAAAGAAGACTGGTACAGCCATATGAGCTCTCTATCTCTCTCTCTTTTTCCCTCTGTCACTTTGTATTACTTCTTTACTTGTTCTCTTGCATGGACAGGGCATGATTCATTTGTTTGCGAGGAGTGAAATGGGAAAGATGGGAATGGATGCGGTTTTTTTTTTTTTTTTTTTTTTTTTTCGGCTGGTTGGTGGGTTACCTTTTGGGGGCTGAATGAATGGTAATACATGTCCACAGTGATAATTTATCAAGTGAGTGGGGTGTTGACGTTGTTGCCGTTGTTGCCGTGGTGTTGTTGTCTCTAAAGAAGCGGAGTAAACGAGCGAGTACGTGTTGTCTCTGCTATAAATGAAACCATATGCACTGAGTAAGTGGGAGAAACATCCGCTCATATGAATGTTCCCTGTAAACTGCGATGGCTGGGTTTGCGTGTCCAACTTTAATGGCAATCATCTCCAGTAAGCCTGTTGGATATAGCTAGGGAACCTAGCTGAAGTCAGACTTATGAGTGACCAACCGCTTTATTCCAGCTTGAACCAAGGCTAAGGAAAAGGAACTGAGTAATCATGGTTTCTTGTTTCGTTTCTGCGGTCAAGGGTTTGACATCTGACTCCCTCGTGGCTTACACTTGGAGTTCGACATGCTTTGCCCTTCCTCTCTTCCCAGTGAACTCCCTCTAGAATATGAACTTAAGGGGTAACGGCCAGGGTATCTCATGGCTCTCTTGCAAGAAAAACAAGGCCGCCCAGCGCTTGGTTGTGCCGCCGGTGATGCAGCTCCCTGTCTGCGAAACACGGCTGAGTTCTCGTTCATGACACCGCGCGTTGGCCTGGCCGTTCCCAGGTGATGAAACCGAGGCCACCCGGAAGCTTCGCTGCATAGCCATGATCCATAACCAATGCCTATAGCACCCTGATTATATTCGCTCCTGCGGGCCCACATGAATGGCTCCTGGGTTGTTGTAAGCCCTTCCTACAGGCTGGTATGCGAAGGATTGGGGCTAGCCAACTCGCTCGAGTGATGCAACGTGAGATGGGCCAGGAGCAAGTAACCGTCTGACACTGCGACTACGGCAGTGCAAGGATGAAGCACCCATAGGGCTGACTGCTCGGCGGATTGCCCAGGGGTGAAGGGTCTAACGAGACTAGCTCCCTCTCCACAGTAGGGAGGTTGTTGAAGCTGAGATGACGGCCCCACGCGGATCGATCTGGATGAACATCAAGTTTCGTGATCGACTCACCCGCAAAGCAAGAACCCGCACCAACACACACGAAGGGCCCAGAACAAGGGAAAGACGCGACCTCGGAGCCGGGCAATTTCTTGCAACTCGGACGGAGGATTTTGTACGGGAGAAAACCTGCGTTCAGACCAGGTTAGGACGGATGCTGAGAAGATGGAGGTAAGTTAATTTAACTCAAAACCAATGGCTCGTCAGGGTCAAGTGCCGCTTTGACAGGATTCAAAGAGTCATCAGGTAAACTTGCTCTTGAGTTCAAATCTTCGTGTTTGTTTGAGGTGAAGTGAAGCTCAGGGCACGGGCTTCGTTGAGAGGCTCGATCGCACTCCTAATTTGAAGGAAGACAGGTGGAGCGAGCGAGCCAATAGTAATTGCCCATTGAACATCCTCTTATCTTGTTTCCTGTTGAAGGAAGGCTCGAGGAAAGGCTGAGCAAGGATTTACTTGGGACGACAAGATGCCTGATCCGGTGCAAGGCAGCAGTTTTGTTGGCTCTCATTCTCCGACAAAAGGATGGCATGGGGAAGGAAGGACCTCCGCCATGGAACAGCCACAAAAGTAATTGAGAATGGCCGCCGTGGGGGCTTCCCGCCAAGTCGCCGACATCCCTTCCGGTCCCGGCCGCTCTGTGGGGTCCGGGGTCTTCGGTCCCCAACAGCAGCCCGGCACTAATCCGCAACACCAAGATCGGCGGCCGTGATCGTGCCCACTAACCACGAACGAACCACTTGATCACAACCAACAGAAACAACACAGATCACCAACAAACAAACTGCGCTTCAGCTGCGGCAAGTGTCGCGTTTTGGACGCCACTCAAGTCAATTCAGCCCCAAATTGGCTTGGTTTCACTTCATCCCAACACCGTACTCCCGCACTCAGACAACCAACCCCCTTCTGCACCATGGGTACCCGGAACGGAGTCTTGGGGCCCGTGACACGGAATTGCAATGGAATTGCAGTGGAATTCCCATGGAAGCAACGTACAAGGTCTTGGCTTTTCGCCCCCACCAACCCACCCGATTGCCCAAAAGAATGAACCCGTTACACCGTAACGTTGATCTCCAAATGCACAGCGCTTGTGTTCCCCCTCGCGCGTTCCAAATTGATGTCTGCACCGTCTGCTTAAAATATACGGCGGGGGAAAGGACCTCGTCCAAATAAAGAGAAGACAAGTGAGCGCAATCAATTTTGCCACGACCATGTGTGTAAAAATACACCATACTTCCTATACCCTTCTCTCCGATGGGGCTCGGAGGGTTCTGACATTGCCCGGCAAAGCTCGTTGCAGGATAGAACAAAACGCCCCTTTTACGCCTCCAGGTCGGCGACGTGACCAGCATCGGTGATGGGGCCAAAACAAGGTACCCCCGCCCGTGCCGTCCGGCAGAGCCGTGTGTCTCTCGACTCTTCGAGTCCAGACAGACGAAGCCCGTAACGAAAGCACGCTAGTTCTGCGTCGACCCAGACTTCGCCGAACCACCCCCTCACCGTACCAAATAAACGAACCCTCCACCTGCTTGGACTTTGCCGTACCCCGACATGGCGCCACCGTCTCCGGTAGGCCAACCTAACCGCCGCGGTCCCCGACGAAATGGAACCCCCGAAATGAACCCGCCCTCCAGAAGCTCAGGCGCGGCACTGCATCTTCCACGCCGGTTTTTGGTTCTGCGTTTCTGCGTCGTGCGACCTTCCCAGAGTCGACGGGCCGCGCAATGGTCTTAAATCCTCCACGCCGCAGCGGCGCACGACAGATCGCGACGGCGACACGTGGAATGATCGTGGTGTTCCCAGCCTTGGCCCCCTACCCAGTCGGAGGGAAAATGCTACTCACACACATACAACACAGGTACGTACGCACAAACCCATACGCCGTAGGCCGGCGCAAGCGCAAGCGCACCGCATCAAACCCCCGTCCCACCTAGCCTCCCCCTAAAACAGCCCCCGAGTAAAACAGCCGCCGTGCGACTTCGGCGACAGCGAGCGAAGCCGCCGTGACTTGTAATATGGAGAGCATGCGCCAAAGTGCCGCCGGAGCCGAACCGAGCCCGAACCAACCCAGGCCAGGTTCGGCGTACGAATATGGGATGTATACTCACTTTACCCCCCCTGATGCATGAACGCGCTACGTATGCAAAGTGTCGGATCACTGACTCCTTCGCCAACCTCACCACGAAACCGGGTTGCGGAGTGGGTATCCCAAACCAGCCCCCAGGCCCGGAGGCCAGAGGAGGGTTTTCGGCTTTCATGACCCCCCATAACCGGGCGCAGCAAAAGCGGAGGATCCACCGAGTGTAGAAAGAAGTCAGCGGAAGCGGGTATGAGAAGATCGAAACAAAAGTGGCGAAACGAAGCGAAACTCTCTCTACCGGCCTAGTACATACCACCCCCCACCTCCTCGGACCACCCAGCGGCGTAGTCAGGAGAAACTTGAGTAAGACAAGAAAACGAAACGAAACAAAACATAGCGTTGGCGCGGCACGGTAGTCAGGTGAAGAACTACCAAGTAGAACTAAGTAGGACAATACACACACACACACACATACAAAAAAAAAAAAAAAAAGGGGGAGGGGGGGGGGGGGTAGGGACCACCAGTCAACGACCTTGGTTTGGGCCCGGAGTGAGATGCGGGTGAGGGGAGAAGGGAGTGTTTGGTGTTTCCTAAACAGGAAAGAAGCGAGCAGAAACAGTTTGGCGATTTGTATTGGCGATCAACACCCAAGAGAAACAACAAGCCCAAGCCCAACCAAGCCCGGCCAAGCTTCCATCCGGGCCACTCACTGCAAGAGACTGAGTGATGAAACAAAAGCGCTGTTGCTGGAGCCTTGTTTTCGCCTTCAGCCCTATTGCTGACGGGCCCGCGCGCTAGTATAGCGGCCGAAGAGGGGAAGGGGGGGGGGGAGGCTAAAACGCAAAACGAGGCCCGTCTTTTGTGCAGATCTTTATCGCGCTCGGGTTCTTCCAGTCTTCCAATTGTTTGCTGGATTCCCCCGTTTCCCACGCGCGCCAAGCGGATGGTGGTGAGATTTTCGGAGGTCGTGGTGGGGAAGGAGGGGCAAATCGGACCGAGGAATAGGGCTGAAGATGTGAACGTGGGGAGAACGTCACGAGGGGTGGTGAGCGATGATAATGACAATGGTGGTGGTTCATAATGGGAATGCGTCATTGGATTCGTGAGAGTGACGGGCTATCTAACAAAGTAGAAGGATCTAACTGAGTTGTGAGCGAACAGGACGAGGATGAGGATGAGGAATGAGGATGACCCGAAACCACCAGGCAGCACCGAAAAAGCCAAGTAATGGAAGAGTCAGATCTCTTGCTTCCTACATCCATCCATAACTGATACGGAAAGAGAAGACTGGATACAAAATAAATAAAGCCCTGTCAGGGGAGGCCTGGGGGTGTGTTCTCTTCTCCGGGTCGAGCACTTCGACCGTGGCTAAAAGACTCGCTGAAAAACCCGCCATACAATGTGTGCGCCATCGACGCCTCCAAAATAAACCCGAAATACATAAGCTTGCCTCCCGACGTGTATAAATGCTTCCCGGCCCGTTCCCATCCCATGAAAATGCCTTTCGTGTCCCGTCATCGGGGGTTGACCAGCGTGAGCCGGTGAGTGTTCCCCCTGGGAGGAATAACAAGTGGTAGGAGCGATGATTCCATTATATGCATCACCGTAAAACGTATGTTGCCTTCCCAGCGGCAGTAGAATCCAACAAGTCTCATGTCATATACATTCCCAAAGCTCTCATTCACGCGTGCTGCACCATACCAGGCGAACCCGGCATGGAGAGCGGGGTGGTGGGGTAGGCATCGTAGCTCCCCGAATCCGAGCAGGTTGTGGAATGGTCATAGGAATGCGAGAGAGGCGGAGTCTGTGATTCGAAAGAGTCCCCCGGTCAGCAACGAGCTCGGCCATGAGGGAGAGAAAAAGGCGCGGGGTGGCGCGCCGATGAGGAGGAGGCACTCACATGCGGCATCTGGTCGTACGGCGAGGGGTGGGCGGCCGTCATGTCGATCCCCGGCAAAGGGTAGCCGTTGAAGCTCATGTAGGAGATGGGCTCCTCGGCAGGTGCCCCCGGGTAGGCCGTCGCCTCGCGCTTGATGGCGTCGCTGAAGTGCGTCATGGACGGCAGGGTCACGGGCACCGGCGGCGGTGAAAGGTACTCCTGATACGACTCGGTCGGCATGGCCCGGTGGTAGCTCTGCACGGCCCCGTACGGTGGCATGATCATCTCCTCGGGGGGCGGGGGGTATGTTGAGTAGGCGAACATGGGCGGGGTGTTGGACCGCTCGCGCTCGTCGTAGGAGTGGGCGAAGAGGTACTCATCGTCGTGGTGCATGGGAGGCGTATATTGGCCCTGCAAGGTCGGCTTCATTTGCGCAGGTGGTGATTGCTTTTGTGTCTTGGCTGCCTGTGTGCGCTTTGTCTTCGCCGGCGGGCTCGCCTTCTCGTTGCCGGATGATGAGGCATCATCTGAGGTCCCCGCGCGCCTCTCAAGCTCCTCCAGCCTCTTCTTAAGCTTCTTGCCTGTTGGAGGAACGTTTAGCTCCCGGTACACTCGGCTTCCCAGCTGGCCCTGGGGGTCGGGCATCTTGTACATACGGTAGTTGCGCTGGGCAATGCGGTTCTGTATCCTCCTGCGCTCGGCCAGATCTGAGATCTTGGTCCAGTCCTCGTCGGGGTTGGCGGAACTGCTGAAGGCGCTGCTGGTGCTGTGGTTGGAGTAGTGTCTTGTAGGTGCGGGTGCTGGTTGCGCCGCGTAGGCATATGTGTGTTGCGACATGGCGAACATGGTGGTCTTGGGAGCTGCCTGTCTTGCTTGGCTAGCTAGCTGTGTAAGATGCGAGATGTTTGTGGAGAAGTGATGTAGGCGGCAACACAAAGGATGAGGTGAGAACCAAAATGACGGATGGGGAATGAGAGGGTAGTGAGGTGGAATATAAGGTCTTCGGGGTGTCAAGAGGTCCTTCTGAGTCCGAGTGGGATCTTCCTTGGTGGCAGGATAGCTTCACAGCCGTTTTGGAAGATGGGAAGGCTCCAGGATTAAATATTACGAAGCCAGTTCCTTCGGCCCTCCGGGGTGCGAGGCTTGCTTCGAGCCCACATGGCGGCGTTTGCTGGGGGGTCGAGGTACCTCGATTCTGGTCCCCCCCCTGTCAATTCCGTTGTTGCGGTCACCCACACCCACCTTAACCCAAGGCCCTGGCAGGGGGTGGTTGATCGAGCGCTCGAAACCGTGTCCGGCAATAAACTCGCAGGGATCTTGGGAATCCCACACCCCCGGGGACGGAGTACCAGGGTACATCTGGCCGCTATCCTGCAGCCTGGCCTGAGGTACCCGCTACGGTGCCGCGACAGGGGGGTGGGGGGGGGGGCGCCGTCTCTCTCGTCTCTGTTCTGGGCGTATGCACGGAACCTGCGAGCTGGAGTGGTGCCAAGCGGGGTACGGCGCTGTCAATTCTCGGGCAAGTCACTGACACCAACTGCTTCGCTGCTGGCTGTGTGTCGTGGCAGCCAGGGCTCTCGGTGCTTGTCACCCCGCCGTCCGTCTCGTCGGGCAATGCCCAGACACGAGCATTGCCCAAATCGAGAATTAGCTGGTGTCTGTTGGTATCTGCTCCATCTGCTCCATCTGCTCCATTTCGATCAGCTGGGCTTCGACTGTGGCTGGAGTAACCGTAGTGACGTATCGCAGCGCATCTCGGCCCTTAATGATGGATAATGTGAAATAAAAATAAAAAACGGAGGATGCAATGTACCTGGTGATGGGTCGCACTGGACTTCGTTTGGTACCAGGAAACATTGTCGGCCGTGGGTGCATCCAAGAATCGCAACAACGTGCGTGGTCCATTTTACGAGATGCTGCTGCGTAACTGCTCTGGGTCCTGGCTGCGGAGATCCACTCAGTGCAGCAGAGCTGGAGCTCAAGAGGAGGGTGGGAAACGGAGGGGAAACGACGGTCCAGGCAACCACCAGAACTGCCTGATGAGGTAAAATTAGCCCAAGTGCCCTATTTTGCCCACATGAAGCGCCCAAACTAAAACAGCAGGGGTGGTTCAGACTGAGCAGGTGCGTTTCGTCCCGCCTGGCGGCGGTGTGTCCCATCTCGAACCCTGATTGGACAGAGATCCGGTCCGCACATACCCCGGATCATTTTCTTGGTGCTCGTAGGGCTGCGGTTCTGATCCCCGGCGCCCGATATGCCCATTTTCAGCCAAGTTCACCTGTCTCGAGAAATCTCAGGATTCTCTCAGCCACGAAACAACAAAACAACAAAAACAACCTACACAGCAGCGTGGCGGCCGCTATTCAGTATCCTAGTTCCATGTTCACAAGGTTCAAGTATACTTTCCCCGTTGGGTCCGCTCGTTTCAGCAAAAGGTCTTCCCGTCGTGTCACAGACCACCGGGGCTGCGGCAAGGACCGGCAAACTGGCGGGTCTTCGGGAGGAAGCCGAGTGTTAGTGCGGGCCTAGATGGGTGGAAGACGGGTATCTCTCAACAACCCCCTTTGACACACCCTTGCGCTGACCTGGGGCCGGCCTCCACAGTACATACACATCAGTTTCGCCGACGTCGATAAACGAGCTCGCCGTTCCCGGGGCCATGGCTTGCAGGTCTGCATCGGGTTCCCTGTGGCACGGGTCGCAGGGCCGGTCTGGCTTCGAGAACAAATCTTGCTGCCAAAAGAGATTTGTTGGGGCTCTTGGGCTTGTTTGCAGACCGTGCACTCCAATCACAGCTCTTGTCGATCCTCGTTTGCTGATACTGTCCCTCGCTAGCTCTACAGGGCATGGTTCCGTTGGATCTTAGGAGGCGTGCTGTCCACGGGCACCTTGAAGAAACTTGAACTCTGCAGAATCTAAGTCCGGAGGTAGGTAAGGTACATACCACCTACCTATTTGGGTCATTTCCTTCACAACCCTAGGTTTATTGGAATCTGCGATGGAGGCTTTGAGATGCAGCCGCGCTCTTTCTTCAGCAAGACCTCAAACAGGCATGGTCGATGCGAAGACGGCGATATTGACAACTCTGGTTGGTCCATTTCCTGGGTTACAGGGCCTTAAAATAAGGTTTTTCCGTTGGTGGCTTGGCATCGCGGCTGCCCTCAACATCAGGCCCAGCACTAGGATCGGCGGAGCCAGTCCCGATGTGCAGAATTTTGTTGCCTGTTTGCGAGAGCCCCCCGGGCTCCATCAGGTCTCTCCTCCTGCTCCAGCACTGCCGCCGATTCCACTCGGAGTTCATCCGTCCCGCCACGTTTTTCGCCTAGTTTGTTAATTGTAGACGAGGCTTTTCAAAATGTTTTTGGTTGACTTTCGCCTGCCTTTCTCGTCCAAGTTTTCGCAGTCGGTCCTCGCTAAGTCGTGGGGGTCATCGAAACATGGAGGAAGTCTTGACTCTTGGTTGGGGTACGAAGTAACTACTAATGTCTATTACATTTGTGCTGTGCCAGAACTAGCCCCACTTGCTAGATACTAATCCGTGGACACGAGAGACTGGATTACTGATTCAAAGGGCACAGGAGGCATCTGCCGCTATCAATCATCACAGAGCGAGCTTCACCAGACCCAACACATGGGCTCCGCTAAACGACTCAATTCACCCAATCAAGCTGGAATTCTCGTAAGCCTCTGGGCGGCGCGACCTGGACCTGCCAACTAACCCCGGTGCCCTGTCGTTCAAGACTCCACCAGCTCTTGTTGATCGTCGCCCCGTCGCCGAAACTCATGCCTAACACAGTATACAGTCTCGACAGTAAAAGTGCCTGGCCCGGACCTGAACCGCGCACCCGCCGCGACCCAACCCTTGGATGGGGATGTCCCCACAGAACCCGCCCGGCCACCACTCGCTTGTCCGGCCCGACGCAACAAGTCCGCAACGGTCGAGTTCGTGAATCGAGGTTCATCCGCGTGCACCGAAGCCTCAGGCAACAAGTTACCAGAATAGATTCCCATGCTATGCTATGATCGATATTGCTTCACATCGGACTGACTCTGATCACAAATCAAGTGCGTTCTCCTCTTCCCAATCTCTTCGGATCCTCCTCCCAGACCCCGCTGGTTGCTATGGCGGCACGGTGAGAGGTCGGCGTCTAGCCACCCGTGTGGCTTTACGGTGGTAACGCAATGCAGCGACTCGAAGCCCCGGGCGCAGCCGTCTGGGGCTCGGCAAACTGGCTTCCGAACTACCCAAGCCACCGGAGCTGGGATCACGAGGCTCAGAGCTTACAACTAACAAAACGACCGTGGAATCTAAACCCACAAAGCTGCAGCCGTTTGGAGAACGGTGGCCGACCTCAAACCCGGCCACTTGGCGGGTGCGACCAAGTGTTTCCACTCACTTGCAACGAATTCGCCTCGTAGGGCTGCTTGTCCAGCTCGGCGTCGTTGACATGCCATATTTTTTGCGTGCGGTTCTTTAAGGTGCTGACAGAACCACGCCTCCCCCTACCTCGCGATGTATGTACCAACCAGCTGTCTGACAGAAGAAACGGAACCACTCCCTTGGAAGTCTGGTTTGGCACTCGGTGATTTTACCCCTTTTCATCTCCCGCCATTGAATCGTCGATATGCTCGTGGGAATCCTTGGGTTCTCCAAAGTCTCGCTCTGAAGGATTCCCCGGGGCATATCGCGCAATCTCGAGAGATTTAACCCACAAGGGACGAGTAGGCCAACAGTCGCTGAGAGACCGTTTATCCTCAAACGGCCACTACTCGACTGATGTCAGAAGTTTACTCCCACCGGGCGGCCCGACGGGGATGCTGCGACATCGCAGATTTGTCTCGCTAACCAACCTTCGTTGACTGGCTTCTTTTGCGTGTCTCGCCGTGTTAGCGCAGCCGAGCGAATAGCAGTGCGCCAAGCTCGCCTAAATCCACAACACCCCGAGGGGGAAGGATTCCATCGTTGCATCTGCCATCGGCGAATTGCCCCAGCACAGCGTCATTCTTCGACATGAGCAGAACCCGCTCACAGGGGTTCGGCCCCGGGGGCGGGACAGGGCTACTCGGGGCTACTCCAGAACAAGGCAAGACCTGTCGAACGGCTTCGTGCGCCTGAAGCGCGTGCGCGCGGAGTGCGCAGCCACACGTTGAACGGTCCCCCGATTAGGCAATTAGACAACATGCATTCCCTGAAATTTCGAGCGGAGTTGGGGTTCTTCGAAAGTTCTTCCCCTCTGCTTTCCCTGGTTGGTTCACCAGTCAACCAGCTGTCCCCCTTCAAGGGTTCCTAGTCAAGTAAAGCCCCTCGACTGATGAGGCCGGCGATCGCGGGCCGTTGAGACGGGCAGGTTAGTTATTTATTTCGAGGGAGTTGTGGCGGTCGACCAGTCAGCGACCAATGATTATGGTTCTTACTTGGCATGATTTCGAAACATGTTTCTCGAGGCGGGAAGGCCATCGCGGTTCCTTGCTCGGACTGTGCTCGCTCCGCTTTTTACAAATCATTGGGGCTTATTTGTTTATCCATGGTGTATTTGTGAGTACTTTGCAGCTACCCTACCGACCTAAGGAGAGATTGATGCAAAATCGTGAAACATCGCCTTGGAAATAACCGCCATTTACCAACAGCCTAGTGGGGGCGAAATCTACGCGCAAGTATACATTCGCGCAAAGAACGTACACCCTTCTAGAAGTGGCAGGTCAAGCTATGACTATGTATGTACTTTGCCGCAACACGAGGCCTCAGTTTCAGGTGGACGTCGTAATTAACCTTTCGCTTCTCGTTGTGTAGCATTTACCGCGCCGCCTCCTTGGTCCAGATGAGATGGGGATATGCAACGCTGGGGCGGGGGGGTGCAAGAAACTTGATACCGCTTTCGGGCACTGATCTGGAGGTCCTCCCAAGCGGACGATTTTTGTGGTTGTATAGCTACCACAGACACGCAATATGTCCATACATAGGAGGATAGGGGGTGAATCCCACGAGCGAAACAGTTTGATGATGAGCCCATGCGCCATGCGCCGGCCGGACCACGTGAGGGTCTCGGGATGCCCGGCACGGCTGGTGATGATCTGCACAGCCCGGCCCAGAACGCGAATGCCCGGTCTGGGCTGCCGGAACAAAAGGTACGGGTTTACAATCTCTTGCCGAAAACGGCTTGGTCAAGCGCTCTGTGCCAGATAGCGAACTACACTACTATGTACTGTGTATCAAGAGAGAGCCAGGGAGTCGTTTGCAGCGGCCGCTCTTTCGGAGGAGGGATCGAAACACGCGGCGGTATGCATCTCTGTGTGGCAGTGAAGGCGGTGATGGTGACGGTGACGATGACGATGCCTCATGGCAATGCACCCCTCCCCCGGCAACTGCGGATGGGCTCGCTATGTCGGTATGGACAATCTCCCAAGCTCTCGGGTGCAGCATACCCGGAGGCACGGCACTGAAACTCGAGCAAAAGTTCCCTTCCCCTTCCCTTCCCCCTGGGCCGGAACCGAGCAGATTTCCCAAATGCTGGGGAAGGTGCTGACTGGGCGGGTGGGTGAGCTGGGTTTCTTTTTTGTGAGATGCTCCGGCGTGAGACCGAGTCCGTGGTACCGGTGTATGGGCGCGCATGGCTTTGATCAGTAAGCAGACGGCAGGGGGGGGAGATAACAAGACTGCTGGCTGCTGCTGCGAGTTGTTATTTCCGAGAGGAGATGTCTCGGAATGACGGGAGGAAAATGGCATCAACAGAGTCTATCACGGCCCGGGAATGATGGCGGAAAGTCTCCGACTTGGTCAGGGAACACACGACTATGGCCGGTAGGGATGATAGCGAAGGTTTGAGTCTGCAGCTAACTATGGTGATGGCGGCTTGTCCAGGAGAGCGTGGGAGTCTTTTCGGAGACTTTCGCTCGAGCCCGGACTTGGGTGAATGACAAATGGACAATCATGCAGCAGGTGATGCAACGGCAATGTACCCTTCCCGTCCCAGTGCCCTAACCCCGGGTCCGGAAACTAGCGCAGCGAGGTTCAAAGTATGCGGGGATCCAAAAGGTCCGTTAACAGGACGCGCATCAACAATCACGCTCCCGTCGCGGGGGGGGTCTTGTCAGGGGTTGGGATTCGGGACTGGCAGGGTCAACGCCACGGCGTCCACCTCGCAAGCCCCTGGCACTCGGTCACTCGTAAAATTGAGGTTATGGTGCCGAAAAAAATGTCGTGCTGGTCCGATGCTGCGTTGAGGACGGGGGTTCTGCTGGAACTCACAATGGTAGCTAGGTAGTTTCGTAGACACTATCTTGGTTAGAGAGATGATTGCTGTTCGCCGTCCTCGAGCTGCGACACACTGAGCCACAGAACACCCAGCTGGGTTTCAGGCACCGACTTTCTCTGCCGCCAGTGGCGTTAAATGGTTGGGGATCTCGTTTGTTGATACCCAAAACGGCCTACAATTTTGGGAATTTGGGAGCTAAGTTGGGTCCCTTGGCTCATCTTTTCCTTCCTCTCGCGTACAGCCTCCCAAAAAATATAGCAAGATCCCCATGGCACCAAATGCATCATATGTTATTCATACCCCCATATCAACAGAAACCCGTGGGAATACAAGATGACGCCGAATCATGGCCACGCCGTTGTAACATGGAGTGAGAGATGGGCGGCCAGGAACTGCCTTTAATCACCAATCAGAGCCCTCCAACAGCAGTCTGAAAGAGGGCAAAATGGCCGCTTTTGGAGAGCTTGTCGTTACTCAGAACGGGCCGAAACGGTAAACCCCCTCCCCTGTTCTGGCCGCCGTTTCCAACGTCCTTTCGCCCTCACCGGCCGATCCGGGGTATGGAGTTACGTTCAACGCCCTCGTCGCAGCAAGGCGCAGATGGTAGCATCAACAGTCGCGGTGTGTCTAACAAATAATTTGACGCAAGCCCGATGAGAAGATGCGCATAGAAATCCACTTCCATTGGCTTCGCGCACTCTGGACTCCAGTCCACCGCACGCTGGCGATAAACGGACGCTTGATTGGATGCGGAAAAGACGGCGAGCAACTCGGGATGGTGCTGCGAAGATCGCGGTCCGTCTCGCAAAATACGCTGGGTCTGCGTATCGCATCCCCCCCCTTCCCTTCACCCCCTCCCCCCCACGTCTTGTGGTACATCCCACCGTTACATTGGTACACGTACACAGTATTGGCCAGGCCCAGAAACCAATGCAGCCGTCTCGTAGGGCTGGCCGGTCGGTGGTGGCTGTTGGCTTTTGCTCCGTTCCCCACAAGGAGCGTCTCCAACTCGGGGTGCGACGTGTAACCTTGACGCATTTTGCCATTCTTCCCCCCCGGTCCCCAGTCCCCACGGAGCCACGACATCATCGGCCATCACAAAGGATCGGGACCAAGCCACAACCACTAGCCCGCTAGCGAGGATCGTCCCTCGGATCGTCTCCGGGGTTTAGATGACCGCGCTTTTCATCACGGATGGGCAGGGAGAAGCCGGGCCATCCAACAGGAGGATGCGATGATCCAGGACACCTCGCAGATTCGCTGGGGAACGGAGACGGGCCTGCCCTTCGTTCGATCCGCCCCCGGGCGAGACAGGTTGGACGGCAGACGCCGCCCTGCCCTGCCCTGCCCTCCTTCCTGATCACCGATCTGCACTCGCTCAGTAACTCTCGGGGACGGCTTGTGTTCGTTTCGTTTCGTTTCGTTCGAGATGGCGGTGAAGAAGAAGACGGCAGCGGCGTGGTGGTGGACACACTCGACATGAAGCGCCACCCTCCATGTGTACATACATGACTTGCATGGCAACGCATGGGGCACCGCTCAAGGGTTTGTTGGTCGAGCGTATATCACTATGTACATACATGCCGTTCCACCTCGGAAGTGAGGTATGGAGTGGTACCACAGGCCAGGCCGGTGCTCTGGACGGCCCGCCTGACAAATGCATGTTTTGGGATGCACATGCCGGCGCTGCATGTCGGCATGTACCTCGTAGGGCTGAGTTCCTCCGTCTCCGGACGGGGCCGGACGATGTCGATATTGCGAGTGCACACTTGCAAGTTTGGTTGGCCGCTGCCTACGCACCTGAGACGCACAAGGCGAACGGGTCCTCTGAAGCTCTCGAGAGACTGCGTTTTGGAAACTCACGGCCCCCCTCTCTCGATGCATGTGCCGGGAGCAAAAAGTAGGGGTTTGGATTGTGCCGCCTTTGCAGCAACACATGGTCCTCGCTGCGTTTCGGCGGGTTCTTCGGGAACGGCCGTGGGACCGAGGCAGCTCATGACCTCCGGCGGTAGGGGCCCAATGTAGTCGCTACTTGCTACCTCCAAAACTTCATGACGCGATGTGTCGCAGTGTTGGAGGCGGTCAAGATAACGCGGGTGCTATCATCTGGTGTGGTAGGCAAAGCCATATCTGGACGGGGTGGTTGTTTGAATGCAGATATTGAGTCGAGGTGTGTCACCCCAAATTGAGAGAGTTGCCCTCACGGCGCTTAAGCATCTCAGAGTGTGTAACCGATCAAACTGACCAACTATCACCTCCGCCCATCCACGTCTACATACTCTACCACCTTCCCGTCCATCTCTCCCTGACTCACCGCTCTAGTGTAGTTAGCTCTTGTCCCGCCCATGACACACCACAATGAGCAGGGTAGCAAAGCGTGGTTGATGGCGTCAACGAGCTGGTTATTGGTAATCATGGTGGCTGTTTGTAATCTGGTGGCTGCATATATCTGGATGGATCGGGGCTTCTTCTCCGTCCGGGGATGGCGCAAAGCTGGGGCACTGACTTCCCTGGCGCGCCTAATTGACGCCTCGCAAGGGGGACTTCGCGGTTGAAGGATCCTGTGCAACCGGCATCGAAGGGGTTGCTCGGCAATTGGTCTCTCTTTGGGGAGCCTTGATTGCGAATGATTGCGTAGGATTTGCCGCGACAGCAAAAATACCCCAGACCCTTCAAAGTCCTCCCCTCTGTGTCACCTAACCATCCACCCATACACCACCCCTTCAAAAAGTCGAGGACAAGAGCGGGGTATTTGCCGCGTCTCCTCGGGTTGCCCGTATCTCGACGAGTCGCAAGGGCCAGAGCATCGCAGACCCGCTCTGGGTAAATGATGGACGGGACTGACGCATCGCGAGCAGCATAGGTACGCATACGCCCGGTTTAGCGAAATCGCGGGCGAGAGTACATGCCTCGTCAAAATGTCAAAGCATTGACGATGGTTGCAGACTTGGGTGCAGGGGAACACAAGCGGTTGCGAAAAGCGAGCCTCAAGGCGCATGGGAGCCGTGGGGCTGGGGCTGTACAGCCCGAGGTGCAGGACTTGGATCAGTCGAGAAGAACAGAGGCAGGACTTGGCGTGCGTTGCGATGCGACAGTGCATCGAAACAGGCGGGTTTGGCGGCGCAGCACCTCAGTGCAATTCCCGCCTGTTCTTGGTGTGAGCGCGGGGACTGCCAGCAAAAATGAGCGGAGTGGGGCGGCGACTTGGGCGTGCCGGGGTGCAATGCACTCCACTCAGTTCCTGGTATTCGCCCGTGCCGACAGGGGTGGCGGGGCCACTCGTGCCAAGCTTTTCATCCCTCCACTTTTCTGGCTGCAAGGTCCCTCACGGTTCAACCTCACCCAAAACACCACTCACACCACTCGAGCATCATTGAGCGAGAAACATGGATGGGTTGCAACGGGTTCGAGCCAGTCACATCGCCGCATGCCTCTTTTTGGGGAGAAGCAACCACCAATGTGTGCCAATCAACCACTTTGACAAATCCCAGACATACATCGTATTTTCTATTCCGAGACGAACGGTGGCCCGGTGACCGGAATAGGGAGGTAGGGACCACCCACCGTTCTTGCTTTGGTTTCAATCATAGTCCAAATCCGGCAACACCACACGAATGGGCGAGTGCCTACGACGCCTTCCCGCCTGCCGCCCTCGAGCTACGGAGCCACCGAGCCACCGGGCCACCGAGCACCATACCCGGAGCTCCCACCACAGCCATACTGTCGAGTCACAGGCCGATCCAATCATCGACACCCCGCCATGCACCTCTTCTTCCCTCGTGCCGATCAAGACCTTGCAAAGTGTCAACTGCGTCAAAACTCACTGGGACTGCCTTGACTGCCTTGACTGCGTACTGTCTGTAGTACAGAATGGATCGTTGCCACAATCCTCCCGATGCGCATCGGAGACTGATGGGAAACTTGGCGAGCGTAGCGTCATGGGATGAGCACTCCCGCTCCTCACACCAAAAAACCCGTGTAATGCATGGCGCTGAGACACCTCGCGTGCGATCCCACTCATCGAATTTCATGATGGCGCCCATGTTCAGATCAACAACAAACCTGGCCGCCCTAACTAACTAAACCTTGCTATTCCCATCACGATCCTTCCGCCTTCTTCTCAACGCCCTTCGTCGGGCCCGAAGATGCACCGCACCGTATCTGGTGTAACTCGACGTCAAGCAGGCAAAACCCGGGATATTGCGATATGCCCGCTTCTTCGTTGCTGTCGTGGCCCGAGCGCCGCCTGATCGGACTGGCACCGTATATCCGGTCCACGTCGGTTTTTCAACCCGGTGGGCGGTGTTAATAAAGGCATTAGTTATAGAAATTCCAAATGACAGACAGAACATGTGTGTTACACCACGTTGGCACCTCTTTCTTCGCGGTAACCAACTGGGCACGCACCATGATTCGCTCCTTGACACATCGACACAGTGCCCTTAGCAGCAATTCTCGAAATCCTTCAATTGCACCCTTCGGAGAGCAACGAAATACCGGGGTTAGGCCTGCCGTCTCTCGGACTCATCATACCCCTGCTCACCCAGACCCGAGGGCAAGGCCATTTCCCATGTCTTCCGGCGTCCCGTCTTTTCGGATTTTATATCTCCAAGGACCAAAACTCCGTCGGCTTTTATACTTCATCTCCGTATCAGACATGTCCCCGTGCCCCGTCCCGGGGGTGGGGTGGTGGTGGAAAGGGCCCCCATCAATCGATTAATCACCTCCCAACAAACAAAATTGCTGCCACGATGCCGGGAAGCGGATGACCCAGGAGGGCGGAACATGGCGTTGGCAGTCAGCACCCAATCGCCCTAGCGCCTCGAGTGAAAGTGAGAGAGAGGGCGGATGGGGCAATTCCTGGCCTATTGGGGCTGAGACCCGCTGTCCGACAAGTCGCAGGAAGCGGGTTGATCCTCTCTGACGTGTGACGACGAGCCTGCCTGGCTTTCCCTAGAATGGCGGGGGGCTTCTCGTTGCGACTGGGCTTGCGATCCCTGAGTGAATCCACAGCGACAACAAACACGAGCGCCTGTCTTTTTCTCTTTTTTTTTTTCTTTTTTTTTTTTTTTCGTCCAAGCGGGTCTCTCACTTCCTTTCCTCTGTTGGTCTTGTCTGACGGAGGACAGGGCAATGTACATGTAGGAACGAGCGGGGAAGATTACGGCTGTCCTGGCATCCCGTTGTCTCAGAGCCCGTCTGGTTCAACGGCGCGCCGGGCGCAAACGGCCGCAGGGCTGGCCGACCTGGCGGGGATATCCTTGCGACCTCCGTAACTATGATGCGTTCGACGACGCGAATGGCTTTTCCGGTGACTCTCAAGATCCAGGTAATAGTTCGACAATATCCTGTGTCGCATCCACTAGTTAAGCGGTCTGCAGCGCACCGAGTGGACTTGGGGCTGTGCTCTCTCGGCTGGCTGAATCGTGAAGCTCCATTCGACACACGGCCGGGCTGCTCCATACCTTCATTTGCCGATTCGGGAAGTTGGCATGGGAATTACACCACACCCACGAAGTACCCTCACCGAGTTGAAGCTTCAAATGTCTTGGGCTAAACGCGCCTGCGATGGTTCGCAAAAGTCAACGTTACCCTCGACCCGTTTGTGCTACCCGGATAGGCTTCATCTGAGCATTTCGTGCATAATGTACAGCCCACCGTGCGGGTACGCGTTGCGTTTTCCCTAGGTGTGCGCCGAGTAATGTTGATGAATTTCTCGTGGTTCATGACGAATCCATGTGGCTGTACCGTACTTGGTCTACTGAGGGAATGCTTGGTAGACTCGACGACGAGTCTAACGTCTTCGGAGCGGACAGATCCATTACGCCGTTGCGTATCGCCGGCGTTCGACAACTTTCCGGCTCCGTGAACATACCAAGAGAGACTGGGCTGTGTCCGCTGCGGGCGGTCGAGATGTACCACAATAGCATCGCGGTGAAATGGACAAGTGCTGAACAACTTGAAGGGGAGTGATTGCAACAGGGTTTCCACGATGCTCTGGAACAGAAACCATCCGTAATAGAGTAGGCCTATGTAGTTTACTTGAGGCAGTTAAGAGAATACACTAAAGAATTACTCTCTCCCTTCTCATAACACAGATGTATATATCTCTGGGTAACGAACGCGGAGTGCTCATCACTCGTCAACCTCCAGCGCAACCTACCCAGATAACAAATGGTACCTACCGGTTAGCATTCGCCCATGTCGGGGAGATGGCTTGTCCATCCAAAGCAGGGTGGAAAGCGAGGATGAATCCCGTTTATCAGGGGCCGCCCACGGTACTTGTTGGACTACAACTGCGCAAGTAGCAAGACAAGCTACCCACTCACCAGCTTCATCACATCGATGGCATGCGCAGCACCAGACGCAGTGGCCCATGTGGGACGGAAGACTGGACACGGCAAACCTGTCACGTTTGCGTGGGAAGACCCGACAGCTACCCCGTAGCAGGACGAAGAATATGACGACGAAGTTCCCCTTGGAGTGCTCTTTGCCATAAAGGCGGCCGCCGCCGGAGGCTCGACTCGGCTGATTATTGGCCTCCTCCCGTTGCCAGCGTGTTATCACATCAGTTCTCTACGAATGTGGCGGTCATTACCAACATCAACTCACATTGTCGAGACCCGAGCCAGCTTGGCCATCGGGTAGCCGCTCTCTTCTCCGCTAGCTATCTATGTATTGTCTCGTCATATGCCATAAGGACTATCACTCAGCCCAACACTGGCTGTTCGGTAGAACAGAGCCCCTTTCACCTCCAGCACCCAAGATTAATCCAACACTCTCTCCTCTTGGGGCATATGCCGCCACATAATCTGTATGCCAGTCATAATGTCGCCGTAGACAGCACTCATTGTACAGAACACTATACAAGCCGAAGTGAAACAAGGAACTGGCGGCGAAACTAAGGTTGGCAGGTATTAGACACTATATACACAAGGTGCAAAGTATTTCTGCCTTATGGACGGAGGGCCCAACTGAGCGGCGTTAAAAGAGTGTCCCCTTTCACATCAGTTACGGATATCACTAACGCACACGAACTCCCTCGCTCCAACTCAAACGGACTCAATCCACGGCCACAGACTGCGGACAAGGAGAATAAATAACGGCAACCCGCCTACTCTGATCATTATTCACCCAACGAAGAGACTTGAAACCACACTGGTAATGTTGCTTGTTGCTTTCAGGTCTGATGGCTCCGCCTGTGATCCTTTTGTCGGTGAGCATAACACATGCACGTCCACCATCCCTTCTTTAGAATCCCCCAAACACGGTCCTCGATGCTCCCATCGAAACAACACAAACCAAACTGTGAATAGCAATTTCTACCCGCCGGTTACAATCTACCTTCAAAGTCCAGCTCCTTTTCCACCCGATACTTCAGCGCTCTTCTTTTCACCAGCCTCTGCCGAGCCTTTAGAAGATGCTGCATCTCCGCATTACCCCCGCTTATCCATGCCATGATACCCCCGTACCACCAATCCTCTCTCTATCCCCATCGAGCTTGACGTTTGCCCATGTTGCTGAACTTCACAGCCTGGCCCCGCGCGTCCTGTGGCCGAGGCCAAGACTCGCGCCAGCACCGCATTGGACAACCTTTCGGCGATGTTGGTGATAGCCTCCTCGAGTGACCGGGTCTCATCACCATCGTGGCCATCCCCGCCGTCGGTTCCCCCAGCCCCAAACGGCCTGGCGCACGCCAGGATGGTGTCATGGACATCTTTGAGCGTGGTGGATGGTGCAAGGCAGTCAATGCCGTCTATGAGAATCATTTTCCCCGGGCGTATAGTCTGTCGATGACTCGGGTTCGCAGGGCCGACCCTTTCCCCCCATCACACATGCCCATCCAGAGCCGGTTGGTCAGGACCTCCCGGTTCTTAGGTGAGGTAATTCTTTGATGTAGCCTGTCTGCCCGCTTCCGGTATTCTGATAATGGTTCACCGCTGTGTCTCTTGAACGATACGGCTTCCAGGTTGACGGCGGGCGGGTTTGTCATGGCTGTGTAGGGAAAACGCGCTCGAAAAGCACTCTAGATGTGTGCATAGTTCTCTCGGTTGCCTGTATATTCGGTGCGCCACCAGTCCTGGGCTTCACCCCAAAGGCCACTGCGAAATTTGCCTCGCTCCACCCGTTCGACTGCGTCTCCGGTAATTCCGGACAAGTCAATGTTGACTTGGATATCTTCTAGGTATTCAGCAGCGGATTCGCCTTTCCAGCCGTGGAATGTGGGCCATTGTAATTCCATATTGAACCGGCGTCTTCGTGACTGGTTTATACACACAGGAGATGATGGCGTTGATGGCGTTGATCTTGGTGTTAGTTGGGATTCTCAGGCTTGTGACGATGAGGTGAGTGCCGATGATGATAAGTGGTCTCCCGAGTCTAACTGACTATCATCCGCGTTCATGGGAGTGCATGCCTGTGATGATGTTTGCCCCCCCCCCAACAAGATGGAGAATCCTCGCTCCCAGACATCATTAGATTGTAACGCGAAGGAAGGAGAATGGCGGTAGCGTTGGTGTGTCGCTAAAGGGCAGTGATGACGTGTGCTACAGTCCTGTTGCGCCTTCCGGTATTAGTGTCCCACGTATCCTAGCCGGCCAGTTGACGTTCCGCTCACCTCGTTCGACTAATGATGGTCTCCGCAACGTCGGCGATGATGAGTTCAGTATAGTGGTGGTGGTTTGGTGGGGTGTCGGGGCAAGGATCGTTCGTGGGAGTGATGTCAGTGATAGTAATCTTAGTGGTGGTGATCTTTAGTGGTAATGGTTCTTGGTCACACTAACACGATGTGGAAACTAACAATTCCTCTGGACCACGCCAGGTAACTCTTCTGTCATTAATGACACGGTAATTAATCAACAAACTACACGGTTGGGAGCGGTTAAAGCGCTTCACCTTCCTATTACTGGGCACCATAAAAACACACTGGTAAGGTTGCTTGATTCCAAGTCTAGCGGCATCGGCTAGCCACCAAGCCTTACCCACAGCGCCACAAAAGTGGGTATATTAGGTCCATGTCCACCCATCCCTTCTTCAGACTAGCTCACAGGGGACCAGTTCATGTCCAACAGCTGCCGTCCGACTGTGGCAGACACAGAGGGTTCGAAGCAAGCGAGTGAGTTTACTCCTCGTGCTCGAGGGGAGCCTCCTCCTCGTACTCCTCCTCTTCCTCATCGACACCAGCATCCTGGTACTGCTGGTACTCCGAGACGAGATCGTTCATGTTGGACTCGGCCTCAGTGAACTCCATCTCGTCCATACCCTCACCAGTGTACCAATGCAAGAAAGCCTTGCGACGGAACATAGCAGTGAACTGCTCGCCAATACGCTTGAACAGCTCCTGAATGGCCGTCGAGTTACCAACGAAGGTGGACGACATCTTGAGGCCGCGCGGCGGGATCGAGCACAGAGCGGTCTGGACGTTGTTGGGGATCCACTCGACGAAATAGGACGAGTTCTTGTTCTGGACGTTGCGCATTTGGTCCTCCACCTCCTTCATGGAGACCTTGCCACGGCTGTGGTATTGTTAGCATGACGCTTAGGCGTGCATCAAAGACGAACGGGGAAGCTTACAAGATGGCAGAGCAGGTCAGGTAGCGACCGTTGCGGAAGTCGGAAGCAGCCATCATGTTCTTGGGATCGAACATCTGCTGTGTCAACTCCGGAACGGAGACGGCGCGGAATGAGTGGGCACCACGGCTGGTCAGGGGAGCGAAGCCGACCATGAAGAAGTGGAGACGCGGGAAAGGAACCATGTTGACAGCCAACTTGCGGAGATCCGAGTTGAGCTGGCCGGGGAAACGCAGCGAGACGGTGACGCCCGACATGACGGCCGAGACCAGGTAGTTGAGGTCACCGTACGAGGGGTTGGACAGCTTCAGGGTGCGCATGCAGATGTCGTAGAGGGCCTCGTTGTCAATGCAGAAGGTCTCGTCCGAGTTCTCGACCAGCTGGTGGACCGAGAGGGTGGCGTTATAAGGCTCGACGACGGTGTCCGAGACCTTGGGGGAGGGCACGACAGAGAAGGTGGCCATCATGCGGTCGGGGAACTCCTCGCGGATCTTGGAGATCAGGAGGGTACCCATACCGGCACCGGTACCACCACCAAGGGAGTGGGTGATCTGGAAACCCTGGAGGCAGTCGCAGCCCTCGGCCTCGCGCCGGACGACATCGAGGACCTGGTCAACCAGCTCGGCACCCTCAGTGTAATGGCCCTTGGCCCAGTTGTTGCCGGCACCCGACTGGCCGAAGACGAAGTTGTCCGGGCGGAAGAGCTGGCCGAAGGGGCCGGCACGGACGGCATCCATGGTGCCGGGCTCCAAGTCGACGAGGACAGCGCGAGGAACATACTTGTTGCCGGAAGCCTGTATAATACTATGAGCACGCCATCACTCGGTCGTGTAAAATTATTTGACCCGACTGACCTCGTTGAAGTACACGTTCATACGCTCGAGCTGGAGCTCGGAGGTGCCGTTGTACCTATCGAAGCGGTGAGCGGGGATTTATCGGTTGGGAACTGTCATGCCCACATACACGCCATTGCTGTCGAGGCCGTGCTCGCCAGAGATGGTCTGCCTGAAAAGAAGTCAGTCTCGATTGTCATCAGCCAAGAGTGTTTGCTTTGCTTGGACGTACCAGAAAGCGGCACCGATTTGGTTACCCTAGAGAGCTCCATGTCAGTTATCCTGCGCGGCCGGTCGGTCGTAATGTTCGATTCGGTCCAACTTACGCACTGGCCGGTCTGGAGGTGAACCTATAGTACGAAAAAGCAGTCAGCATCATCAAGCTTCGCATCATCGTCGTGTTGCTATCCGTCAGGAGCTGTGGAAATGAGGGTCGTCCCGATGGGTGGGGTAGTTCAGGGGCCCAAAAAAAAAGGTTCCCAGACGCGTCGTCGCCGTGCGGCTCAGGAATGTGCGGGGTGACTTACAATTTCGCGCATTTTGGCGGTTTGTGTTGGAAAGCTGGTCTGCGAAACGATGCAAAGCTGCAGGAGGAAAACTGAAGTCGAGGACGTGAGCTGGTGGAAAGCAGTCGGGTTGTGGAGAAGTCGGTCAGGAAGAGGAGATTGTTGATTTTTGGGGCAAGAAATGAGAAAAGGCGATCGCACACCGCTTGCTGCTGCCGGGTGGGTGGAGATCAGGCACCGCCAATCAAAATAGAGTTGGGCAGGTCTGGCTGCCTGGTGGTCCCTGCGTTCTCTCTCGGTTGTTTACACTATGCCCGATTTGATGGGGTGACAGAGGGGGCGCGACGCGCTAGGCCGGTTATGTGTGTGCCAAGGGAGATTTCAATGTGGGGGGAAGTCTTGAACCTCCATTCACAAACCACACCACCTTGACAACAGCAAAGCAGCAGGCCAACGGTTCGGTAAGACACGTTCAAGGCCGGTTTCAGCATTAATCTGTCCTCAGATGGATTCCCTAGCCAACTGTAAAGCTATCATATATTGCTAGCGGATATAGATTTGCTCCTGAGCCGAGGAAGCCTGGTGGAAATAGGAATTTGTTGCTTTTTCCCTCAAATCAGATAACGTTAATTGCTGCTGCCTCGGCGGCCGGGGATTTGGTGGAGGCCGGTTGATTCGAGCGAGCAACTCATCTGAGATGTCACATTTTACGGAACAACATGTCTTCAAGCTTGAAAAGCTGGTGGGCAATATACCACCACCAGATTCCTATGGTAAAATACCACGCTAATGTGCCTTGACAACACCCGCAGCATCCGCTTGTGCTGTGATCCTCTTTTTGTAGGCCTGTACATCGCCAGGGAACTTCTCCACCGTTCCATTGTCACATACCCACAACGAGGTGCAGACGGTCTGCAACATGGTCACGTCGTGGGATACCATTAGCACACCGCCCTGGAACTCCTTGAGGGCCTCGGCCAAGGCATCCATGGCTTCGATATCCAAGTGGTTGGACGGTTCGTCCATGACCAGGATGTGGGGGTTGGTAAGGGCTAGGCAGGCAAACGCAACACGGGACTTCTGACCACCAGACAGCAGCGCCATCTTTTGCAGACCCGTCGTGCCTGTGATGCCGAAGGCACCCAGCTGCCGCCGGTACTCCTCGTCCGTCCTGCCCGGGTAGGTCTTGGCCATGAAGGTGACGGCGCTTGCGTCAAGGTCGAGGGCATCGACGTGGTGCTGGGCAAAATACCCGACGCGCAATCGGGGGTTTTGAGAGATGAGGCCGCTTGTTGGCTGCAGCTTGCCGATGAGGAGTTTGAGAATTGTCGTCTTACCAGCTCCGTTGGGCCCAACAATACCAATCCGCGAGTCGAGCTGGACGTCGAGGTCGACATTCCTCAGCAGAATCTTGTCCTTTGAGTAGCCAAATGTGACATCTGACATCTGGACGATTGGCGGCGACATCTTTTCGACATCTGGGAATTTGAAGTGGACACTGTACTCCGCCTCGGGGGGCTCCAATACTGGCATGCGCTCCAGCTTCTTGATACGGGACTGGGCTTCCGATGACTTGGCCGCGTTGTATCGGAACTTGTCGATGAAAGCCTGGAGATGCGCACGCTGCGCCATCTGGTTTTCGTATTCCCTCTTGGCCGTCTTCTTCCGCTCCTCCTTGGTGGCGTAGAAAGCGTCGAAGTTGGAACTGCGATAGTAGTCGAGTCGCTGTGAGTGCTGGTGCATGATATCGGTCGCGATTTCGTTAAGGAACGCCCTGTCGTGGGATACTACGAGAACGGTGCTAGGGTAACCCTGCAGGTAGTTTGAAAGGAAGGTGATAGAAGGGACGTCCAACATGTTAGACGGTTCGTCGAGAAGCAGCAGGTCAGGTTCGCAGAAGAGGGCTCGAGCGAGGGCGAGACGCATTCTCCAACCACCAGAGAAGGTCTTGGTAGCAAACTGCTGCCTCTCGGGCGAGAAACCAAGGCCCGCGAGAATACTGGCTGCCCTGGATTCCGCCTTGTCGGACTCCATTTCGCTGAGCTTGGCTTGGATGTCTCCAAGGCGCTGATCCTGGGCTTCGCGGTCCTTGTCCAGTTTCGCAGCGTCGGTGGAGGTGTCAGCCATCGACGCTCGTTGTGCCTCTATCTCCGCCAACTTTTTGGTAATTTCCTGCAAGTAGGTTGGTTAGCTAAAAGCGAGGAGGGCGTATCACTCGTCGGGCCGCCGCAACCTACCGTTTGCTCCTTGAGCAGCACCTTGCGCCAGACATCGGCGTCCAGAACGGCCTGGAGTGCCGGTGTATCGTCGCCAGTGATCTACCATTCTGTCAGTCGTGTTATGAAAATTTAGGGAGGCGGTAGGACATACTTCTTGTTCGACGTGCAGAATAGAGATGTGGGTTGGGATAGGTACCTCTCTGCGTGAGAGAGCCCTAAGTAGAGTCGATTTACCAATACCGTTGTTACCAACGAGACCGTAACGGTGTCCGTAGGAGAGAGTTAGGGTGGTGTCTGTCAGGATCCTCAAACCCCCAATAGACACGTCGATATTGTCGATCTTGATGTCCTTGGATTTCCCGCCCTGACCACCCATTTGCAGGGGGTTGACGGCCATGTAGAACTCCTCGTACGACTCAGTCGAGTCTGGTTGGTTGATCAAACGCGAAGCTTCGTATTCAACAGTCTTGAAAGTCTTCTTGTTCTGCTTGGCCGCGATCTTGCGCTCGGCCTTTTCGAGTTTCTTCTTGTCAACCTTGGACTCGACCTTGCGGACGTTGGCAGACTCGAGGTCGACAGCACCGGTGGCAACAGCCAGGGTCGAGGACATGTTCCTCTGAGAGCTCACTTGGATGGTCTGGTCAAGACGCTTGACCGCCGGACCTCTCCTCTCCTCGCTGTTGGTGGCGGCGGCATACTTCTCAACCCATTTTTCCACCAAGCTCCGGATCTTGTCGTGGGTGGCAGCACCAGAGCTCCCAGAAGCTGAGAGAAGCAGCTCCGTGATGGTGGATGCGGCCTCATTCAGCGGGGACGGCCCGGCGGTTTCCTCATCACCGGCCCATGCGGTGGAGGCATGGGTTAGATAGCCGGCCGAGTACTCCGACAACACGGGGTCGATATTCGGGAGCACGGCGCGGATCTCGGCATCCATGGTGAGCTTGGGGTTCAGGCTCGAAAACCTGAAGTTGATATATGTTATACGACTCACGACTCAGATCACCACTTGGTAACAGGATAATGCACACAACAATGTACCTCTTGCCGGATTGGGATGGATAGCTGGTGAGTGAGGAGCACGCGATTACCTCCAGTTCCTGGTCCCTGGATTTTTTGGCGCTGACCAAAGCGGTCGTGGCGGGGCAGAATTCGGATGGTGGGATGTGGTCGTGATTGTGGCGGGATCTGCCCCGCTTTCCCGGCAGCCGCCCGACATCTGGCAAGATCTGTGGGGTTCTCATTGGCCAAGATGCGAAGAACTCTCCCTGGTCTTGTTTCAGGGGTTCCATCAAGACGCTTGGTTGCCCCACGTTTCCAACACAACCTCAAAACATCAAAACATCATCCCCGATTGGGTTGACGATTCTCATGGTCCAGCTCGCCTTTTTTATTTTATATTTTTTTTTCTACCGCCGGCAACGAATCGATTGAAGTTGTTGGCCAGCTGTGAGCTGCCACGGCGAAGCTGTTCCTAATGACGCGATCCCAACGCGGCTCAATACTGTTACACACCCGCGTCGACGTGTAGCCCCTCGCCAATCGGAACACCCAAGTCTCACCCCAGACCATCGCTCCAATTCCGGCCGACTGGGTTCTCCTAGCGGCAGCATATTGTTGGACGCCCTAATGCGACCCTATGCCGCTGCGAGGACTTCGCAGTTGACCGACCGATGGACCACGGTGCCATTGATGTGATCGTCCTCCCTCCAGCCTTGACGGCCTCCCCTCCCAAAGATCCTCTCGCCTTTGATACCCCGCGCGTCCCCTTCTCTGCACGCGTGATTGAAGCCTAGGTGACACCCATCATCCATCTTGATCCTTCGCCGTGGGAGCCCGGCGTGGTTCGGGGCAGATCCCCGAAGAATCCGGAAAATTCTTCAGCCCTGGCCATGCTTGATGACTGCATCGAGAGATTGCCCGCATGCATGGCTTGGCACATATTGGTTGGTATTCTCTCACAAGTGTTGGAAGCTAACAGGAAGCAATTTGATCCTGAGAAGCCCGGGCGAAGCGGCACAGATAATCCACCATGAATACCCGGATATGGAATGCGGAAACATCGCAGAGGGGACCCATGGTCAACAAAATGCCTCCTTCCTTGGTGGCGGCTCATTCAAAAGAGCCGGCTTCCCTGTCCCTGCTTCTTGTTCGAGCGCTGGCCCGGCTTTTTGATCTGCCCGAGGGCATTCGACCTGCCTTCTGCCGGTTCAACTTGTTTCACAAATGTCATGTTCCGTTAGGGCCGGGCAGGAGATCTTTGTCCAACAATTCTCGCCGGATCGGACTTGGCACCCCGATATCGAAATCCTGGTCGCCCGCCGGTTTTTGTGCTCTTTACCTGGTCACGGAGCATGAGGACAAGTGCCGTTATCCTGAATCGAACGATGTAGGCTAAGATTTCAAAAAGGAAACGGCGTCTAGGTTCCCAGAAGATCACTGAGGCGTAAGCCTCGTTTTCTAGCCTTGAAGTCATGGCAAAGCGAGAAGGCTTTTTTGGTCCGAGATTTTTCTTTATGTTTCAAGGCTCCGCGACGGCTATTTTTAATTATTAGAGTCGCCAGCGCTACCAGCCGGCATCAAGACTATCTGCTGCAAGCCCATGGGTTCTGGAAACATGGTTCCCAGCGGCACGGTGGTGCCCTGCATCAGTACCCTGGTTCACCTGGACATCACACCAGGACTGTCGCTGGGCAACCCGTCCCTTGTCTCATTTCTCAACCTCGCAACATGGATAAATCTGACAACAGCCTTTGCACGAGAGCACGGGCAACAGCTTTTGGCCGGATTTGTTGCACAGAAGCGGCAAGCTTTCGGGTTGTTAATGGGGCCACCGGGCTTTTCCTAATGCGAAGGCCCGTCCTCCCGGGATGCTGCTCACATTCCCTAGCCTCGCCTTGGTCTCGGCTCGCTTGTTAACAACGACTGGTTCTCTTGGTCCGAAACCTCGTAAGACAGCGAGCAACCGATACATCATGCACAAGTGTGGAAGAGATATGCCACCATGACGTGGCGCAAGCAGCACCCCGCCGGACGCCACCGGGAGCTTGGTGAGGCAGGGCGGCGCAATCCGGTGCAGGATCCCGAGCCATGCATCACCGGTTGATATGACGATGCCGGCCTGAGGTGATATTGGGAGTATGAGACGGGGAGCAGTTCGATGTCGTATCGAGCTTCCGAGACAGCGCTACCAGCCATTTCTTTTGCCATCATTTTCTCACATCCTTGATCACCTCTGACGAGGAAAAACCTCGCAACACTACCGGGTATCACAGGGCGGCGGCTGGCGGCTGGGTTATGAAACCGGCTCGTTGATGATTGTGATAGAGCGGCAGACGGCAATATATGAACTTTGACGGGTGCGCTGCCGTTGAAGACTCCCACACTTGGAATATCCCGTTGCTGGGCAAGTCGACTCGACTGGGCTCTTGCCATCCGCCAGCAGGCTTGCAGAGCACAGTATATACGTACATAGGTACTGAGCGAAGACGGTCCGAAACTTTGGGGGGGGGGGGGATGCTTAAGCACTGCAGAGCAAGCAAGCAGACACCCGCCTGATCGTGCAGCGCAGCGCTACACGGCTTCTCACTCAACCTACGTGTCGCCTCGGCCAGCGAGGTCTCTGGCGAGGGCTCATCCCGCTGCCGGGTGTTCAGCCTCGCCACCCACACAGCGGGAGCCCACTTGCCGAACCCGCCCCCATCTCGTACCCGGCCGCTGATTGACTTATATCCATCCATTCCTGGTTAATTGACACACCACACAAGCGCGGCAGTATGCGGCGGGACGAGACACAGGGCGTCTCCTATTGAGTAACATAGTCAGTGGGATGATGGGGGGGTGGTTGGGGGCTATGCTCCGAGGGGCAATCCTCGCCATCAGCGTTTGTTCGGGCGTAACGAAGGGAGACGACGCGGTAGAACGCAGATGTGTGTAGTGGAAAAAAAAGCAAAATGGGCGAGAAAAGCGGCTATTGGGGGTTACCTATCCGTCAAAAAGTGTCTGTTTGTCTTCTGTCGGGACCCTCAAAGCACGCGAGACAGCATGAGGTGTGCAACGTGGTCTGAGACATGAAGCAAGCCTTCGGTTACAGTATCCCGTTGGGCAACTTGGGGGGTGGGGGGGGGGTGCTCTCCACGCTCTGTTTGATGTCTCGGTGTCGAGGAGGCGCAAACAATAGTTGCTTATAGTTGCTTCCCGAGAGGTATTGAACGCCGCTCGCAGGCCGGGCTCAGTCATGTGTTTTTTCTTTTGCCCTGTGGTTCTCAACCCTAACCGTCTGCGAGGGGTTGATGAGCTGGTGGTGGTTGGAAGCAATGGAGATCCTGAGGACCTTGGTTCCCCTCTCCTATGAATAAGCCCGGCTGTCCGGATGTAGACAAGAGGGCTGAAGCCTCAGTGGTTGGAACGTTTCGAAGGGCAGGGGGAAAGCTTCCATGGTTGAAGTTCCTTTGCGGGGAAGGGTCCACTAACAGGGCTATGGAAGTGCTGTTCGACGCTTGCTTCTGGGGCTTGGACACAAGGGAGGTGACAACAGAGGTGGGGGGAGGGGATCGAGCAAGAATCCCCGTGTTCGAGGACAGGAATTCCGCTCGTGAGACCGCGCCACTGTTTAAATGTTTGTCCGCTGGTTCGGTACGGCTCAATTCCAAAAACGGGACGTTGCTCAAGCGCAGGTGGTTGGCGCGGGACTTTGCTCTGTTTGAGCCATTAGTTGGAGACTGTGGCTCCGATATTATACATGTGCTGAACCTGATATAAGGCTTGGTTGTCCCCTGTTTTGGAAAGAGACACGGCTCAGCTGTGGGAGCAACCGGAAGAGAAAAATTGAAGAAATGAGACCGGACGAGAAACTACCGGCTTCCTCGATAAACTATCTCAAACTTTGATATTAGTAAATAATTTGGATGGAAGACGTCATTTTAGAACGCCAGTGGAAAAGGAACCACTAGGGATCAAGGGAGAACTTGACCAAACAGTCGGGGCTAGATAGCGCGCCATCCGAAGTGTGTGTGTTGGAAGGCTAGCCGCGGCATGGACCTTGACCGGTCCCGGATGCTGTTTTGGGGACTTCATTCGCCAGTACGACATGCTGAGGTTGTTTCGCGTTCCTGGAAGTCATGCTGCCTTGCATGGCTCCTGTCCACTGACAATGCGGGATTGTGTCGTGCCTTGGAAGGATCGAGTGGATCGGGGGCGGGTGGATCGTTTAATTGCTGCTGGGGCCCAGCTTCCAGTTCCGATTGCATCCCTGCGGCCGGTTGAAAGGCTCGAAAGAGACAGGTGCCCGTGGGTGGAGTGTGGAGGGTGGAGGATGCAGGGTTGTATTATGTTGTGTTGTGTGTTGCTCTGGCCTGAGAATAGCAAAGGTTTGCCGGTTTGCTGTTCCTAGTCGATCTGCCCGATCTTGGTTTGCACAACACTAGTTAAAACATGAGGTCGGTAGGTGGGCGCTAGGAGCGATAGATCGCTTAAATTTACCGATCTGTAGCCGTCATAGATAGCCATGTTTTGCATCAGACGAGGCACAAAAAAAGGGGCAAGCCGTATTATTCCAGGGTTGCTCCCTCCCGAGTCGTCAGGTCAGGATGTGAGCCTCATCAGACGAACTTGTGTGAGAGGGAGGCGCTGATGCAGTTGCATGTTGGTTCAGCGGACCTGGATGACTGGCCATCCGTGGATTTTAACCCTTGGGCGGGCAAATTCCTGCGAGCTTACTTGTTCCGTCCAGCCAGATGCGCAAGCGCGCAGCAACGGGATGCAGAGCACTGCATTCTCATCAAACAGGCGCAGCTTTGTCGAGATTGGAGCAGGGCTAAGGCAATCCTCCGTGCACACGCTAGAATCAAGAATGGGTCTTGCTCGCGGTCACCGAGTTCCATGGCCCCGGCATGCTGCGCGGTTGCCCGATACCCGAACGAAGCGACGATCCCAAAAGCCAATCAATCCACGCCGGCCTTCTGTGTTCTCCAGAGCGACCAGAGGCCTGGAAAGAGAGGGAGAGAGCCCGGCTCGAGCCTGGCCATACCACCCCTGTAGCCCCCTGTGAAGTGAGCCAAGGAGTTCCCGTCTCCACCCCTAAGCAGCACCACATTGATCCTGGTGCTAGACAACCTGACTTCCAGGTTGTTGCTCGTTGCCGCTCCCACCCTTCCATTCCCACTGTTGTGCGAAGGTGGACTGCCGCTCGCACCTGTTTTTGTTGTTGTTCGGGTTGACTTGGATTCCTGACCAATTTCGCTCTCTTTTCTATTCTGTCTTTTATTTTTTCTTTCCATGCTCTGACGGCGTTGCCAGAGCGGGACCTCCCTCTTTTTAAGGTTAGCTTTTTAGCTTGTTTTTGATGATCCACTGAAGTTGCGCCTTCCCCGAGTCGCGTTTCTGTGGTAGGCTTCTGGCTGTTTTGGCTTGTTTTTCTGGCAAACGGACGTTGCTTCTCCACCGGCTCAGAACGAGGAACGTGTGCGCCAGGCCCGGCTGCGGCCTTAATCGCATCTCGAACCGGCCCATTTTCACCAATTGCGGCTCGCCGCGCGGACGAGACGACGGGCAATAGCAACCTACAACCGTTGTTGTTGTTGTGGATTGCCTCGCCGCCAACTGCTGCCCGCTATACCGCCCGCCGACCGCATCCATCCCCCACCCCCTCCCCATTGATCCCGACCGTGTCTCCCCGCGACGACGACGCCACGGAATCGGGCCCGTCTAATCGGCCGACTCCCCGCGTAATAATTTTCCATCGCATTGGAAACGGCTCTCGGCGCGCAAGGACCTTCCTTAGGTCGATCGTTTTCCAGTCGGGCGCTCGCTGACCTTCGACTGCAACAACGCGCTTGCAGCATCCACATTCCACATCCCCTCCAACAAGTTCCTCTTTTCGTAATGCTTTGACGATGCAAACCACGACCCTCACGATTACCGAATTCCGCCTCGCCCCTCTTTCTTCTCCCGGCTGCTTGCCGTCGACATAACCACCCGCAGCTGAGATGCAGGCCGTGCCGAGTGTAAGTTCGACAACGATTCCCTGTTGGGCCTTGGGCAGGAACGCAAACCGACAGCCCTGTTTGGTTCAAATTGCTCCCTTCGCAATCCAAATATAGCCCTGCCCTCAAGGCCCTGTTCTGTACCCGTCCCGCATGGCGGGTTACATACTCCATAGTCCAGGGATACTAATGTACTTGTCCGTAGCTCGTGGGAGCCGGCGCTACTGCCGCTGCCGCTGCCGCTGGCTTAGTCTTTGGCCAACCCCCCGAACCCGAAGCGCCGTGGTCGAGCCCGATTCAACACGGATTTCCCGCCGACTACGACGGTTTCCGAGGACAGCCTACGCCTCGCCGTCCGAGCACGAGCGCCGTCCCAAACTATTACGCTTGCCCGTCGCCAGCCGAGGAATTCCCGTACGCCTCTTTCCACCAGCTTACCGATGTACCCCCAGGCCCTCTTACTTCACACCCGACAAGCCCAACAAGTCTAACGAGTGCCCCACGACCTCTTACCGGGATTTCTGTCTCATCGCCGCGGTCCAGCAGTAGGAGACAGTCGTTCGTACGACCAGGTGATCTAGCGTCGCAGCCCATAGCGGAGAATTGTAGGGATTCGATATCATCGAAGGAGTCTTGGATACGGCGACTGTCTCTTCGGCCCTTGTCCCAACATGGGAGCCGAAGGTCAAGCATGGGCCCAGACTCGTCGTCCATGACCTTTTCGCATGGCTCTGGCGTTCCGATACTTGGACAATCACCCACTTCCCATGCTTCTCCGAACAAACTGGTCAAGAGAACAACGTCCGGGAAAAACGGGACCGCAGGGGAGCCGACACGTCGAGGCTCCATATCGCAGGTTTTGACACTTCGAAGGCCTGCTACCAGCCACCAACGTTCCGCGACGATGCAACAATTCCAGAATCAGAGTGCTTTCGTTGAGCCGCTTTCGCCAGACGCGAAGGCCCCATTTGACAGCTATAGCCCATCGCCGACCTCCATGACTTTCCCGCCGACGGCGGAAAATGGCCGGCAGCCAAAAAAATGGACCTCATTTTTCCATGCTCGGCGCTCAGTTTCATCAGGGCGAGATTTCTCTAGCTTACCCCCCGGGAGCGGCCCCCACCACAACATATTTCCACGAAAGAGGTTGTCATTAGCCCGGGGTTATATCTTCCGCGCCTACCTCACAAAACCAAGTGATATTGCCGACGTTCCTGTCTTGAAAGACGAAGTTGAGGCGCCGTCGGATCATTTCGCGAGTGGGGAAACGGAGGAGGCGTTTGCGACAACAAGCGACCCGTCCAATTCGACCAACTCCAGCGAAGAGCAACCCCCAAGAAAGTCCATGTCGATGCATTTCAGCTCAGCCGGTAACTGGATTTCGAGGACCGGAAGCACTCGGCGCCCAAGACGGAGTACCATTGACGCAAAGACAGGAGCGGGCCGATATACCCCGGACTCGGGGGCTGCGCCGCGCGACCAAGCCCACTCCCCGGTTAAACCAGGGCTCGAAGGAATTCATGCGCCACCAGAGGCTCGAGAAAACCCTCAGCGGCAACCCGAATATGAATTCAGCTCAGCCGAACTCCCCCGAACCCGCAAGAGAAATTCTTCGTCTCCCTTACCCCCTCTCAACCGCCTCTCTAGTTTCAATCTGGATATCCCACGGATTGGCTCGCCCGGCCCCACTCGGGCGCTTCATAGCCCCATCAATTACTCTCAAACCCCATCGGTCACTACTCACAGCCGAGGGCCGTCGGGCGAGCGATCCGTGACCCTCGCTGGCTCCGACGTGTCGGCTCGTGATGGTGTTTTTGGAGACGAAGAGGACACGGACTTCAGGAGTGACGGCATGTATGACTCTTTCCGCACTGGCGCTTCTTCTGGTCGTATGAGATCTGTCGAGACGCCGGTCGAGTCCATGTTTGATGATTCCCCCCCTAACACCGCGAGCAACACCAAGACAAAACGGTTGTCAATCCAGGAAATGCTCGGGCGCTCTTGGGATGGCGAAACGAAGATTACTGAGGAGGACGAGGGCGTCGACACGCCCATCAGGCCGACGCATGTGGTCGAGGCGCCCGGGTTTGGCCCCAAGAGTCGGAAGGAGACCGCTTTTGAGTTTGACGCTACACATGAGCTGTCGCTGGGCAGCCGCGACTTTGGACGGTTGTCGTTTGATGATGATGAGGATGATGACTGGGCACGAGATGACGAGAATACTCTTAGCAATCATCTTTCACCGCCGAGCTCGACCAACTCCCGCCGCGTCAGTCCTACGTTCAGGCAAGCCCTCAGGAATGTAAGCGGCTGTGCTAGCCTCGATTCCCAGGGGGATAGCTTCAGCGACCGACCGAGGAGCAACATCTTCGATTGGTCCGAGCCTTCAGTTCACGACAAATTCGACACGGATTTGCCACGGCCAAAGACGGTACACGGAAAGCAGGAGTTGGATTTGAGAGGAGGCCGTGCCACAAACCGCAAACCACCTGGTGCCGCTCACGTACGCAGTCAGAGTGTTCCCCTTCTTGTTCCCGATTTATCAGATGGCTCGAAGCCGCCGCCAAAGTTCGGGACTTGGGGTTTGGGGACCAAGACGGCTAGCGAGGACTGGGACGACGACTTCGAATTCGATGATGAGGACGAGCCTGCAATCTGCTCTCCGGGAGGCAAGGACTCGGCCACGAGCTTTGCAATGGTAGTCCCCGCTTCGATCCGGGCAACGCAACCGAGCGTAAGAGCACACTCCGGTCAGATCCGGGAATTGTCATTACTGGTCAACGACTTGAAACGGTTATGCCGGCATGGCAAAGACCTCGATATTCTGAAAGGACCGATGGCAACCAAGTGGGCAGAGGCCGAGAGTATCATTGCCTTGGCGTCTCCGGACGAGGACGAGGACGAGGAACTAGACTCAATACGGACATCGAACGACTTCGATCGGTCCAAGATCGAGGACCGGTTTCTGGAGGAAGGGTTTGACAGTCACCTTCTTGATCACATGGATGACCCCTTTGGGCTTCCGGAACCTGAAATGTCCAAGACAGCGGTTATACGGGAGCGACATAGCCCTCGGCGGCGGTCCGTATTCTCGCCCGAAGACGATATCTTTGGCAACTGGCCGCTGAACGAAGGGGGTGGGACCCCTGCAAAGTCATACACGCCCAGTCGATGCTCGAGCCCGAGTCGAACCTCTACGATCATCTCTACCGTGATCGAAGCCATGAAGCAGCAGCAAAAGTCCGACCGGATCAAGACCCCGGCTCCCAAGATCCCGGACGCGAAGCTATTTTTCGACACCAATAGCTCCCAGGAACTGGTCAAGCGGGCGGGGCAGTTACGAGACTCGCTCTCGGACGCCGTCCGCAGGGCCGAGTTGCTCACTCAAAGCCCTGCCGGGACGCCCCGCCGTGAACGGCACTCCCGCCACCATAATCCCGATGGCAGCCCCGCGTTCACGCGGGTCTTTGTAGACCCGGGCTCGAGTCCACCGAGGCGCCTACCCACCAGTCGCAGTACTCCTTCGATTCTGAGTAGGACATCAGTCGATTCGCCGCGGATGCAAATGATGACCGTCAACTAGACCAGTCGACTACAATGGCGCCGTAATAGCGGCGTTTTCTAATTACATACCGCCGCCTTTTTTTTTATTTACTTCCCCACCCCATAACGAACCGCCCACCGGACGAGTTGGGTGTTCTTTTTTAGCACGCCTCCAATATCCGAACCGAACTGTTCATGTACGAATATTTTCCTCCCGGTCCGACGGACATGGCCTGCTTGCTTGCTTGCTTGCTTGCAAAAGGAGAGTTGTTAAAGTCAAGTGGAAAGGGACAGTCGGGACAGAGAGGATGTGGCATTACTTTTTATTATTATTGCATGGCGTGGCATGGCATGGTTGTGGTTGTGGACGCGACGTGGCAGTTGTTGTATGGCATGGGCGCATCATCATGTTGATTGAGGTGTCAATAAAACGGAATGGGCCAACAAGAAGACAGGCATGCAAGACGGGCTGAACCAGGGGATGAAACTTGATGGAAAGGAAAGGAATGGTTCGGATTGTGCATCGATGTTGCAAACAGTGGGTTGGGCAAATTCTTGTGCTTGTCGCCGTTGCCGTCGCCATCGCCGATTTGTGGCTCATGGTGTTTGGGCTGGCGGCGCCCGCCCTTTTTCCTTCCCCTTTTTCTTCCCCTTCCTCGGTCTTTGGGTTGACCTTTGTTCTTTTCTGTCTGTCTGGCTCTCTCTCTAGTACTAGTACCGACTGCGGTCCGTACTGGGCTTGTGATAATGGCAAATGGCAATGGTTTGGCATGACACGATGCTTGTGTGGATTACTTGTTTTTTTTTCCCTCTCTCCCTTCCTTAGGTGTGGTTCCTTCCTCTTCATGGTGTGTGTCTGTTCGATGAGTTGAGCGATGCGTTAAGCGATGCGTTCTGGGGATACATAAAATGCCGGGGCACTTGCTACTTGACTGGTTTTACTTCGGGCTGTTTTGCATTTGTGATGTTTGTGGTGTTTAGCTTGGGGGTTGCGACAGCGTGAAGGTACCGAGGTGGGAGGCATCGGAGTGGGAGGCAAAGGCTGTATGTAGGAAGAAAGCAGGCGATGGGTGATGGGGAACGGGGCAGGAGTTCAGGGCGAGAATGCTCGAGTGCATGGTGAGAAAACGAAGAGGCCGTAGGCGCTTGAGGTGAGGTGAGGTGGGTGGCAGGGCTGCGGACATAATCTGCCTACCTGTGTTGACAGTCATGCCGTGGAACGCTACAACGCCGTGGCGTGCATCTGCATGGGCGAGTTGTTTCAGCGTTCGTGTTGTCTTGCTGGCGGTATTCGATCTCTTCGTCAGTTGCTGGCGAACGCTCCAGCGTTATACATAAATGTGGTGTGCAGCTACGTAAGGGGGTTTGCTCTCTGCTTCTCTGGTGCGCGGGCGATGATCGTCTCGAAAGGACATGGACCAAAACGATGGATATCAATGCGAAGGAGGGAATTTATGAATGTATTTAACGCCATTCGATTATGACGAGCCAACGATGGTATATTATGTAGATTCTAATTTGAACTGGATGCAAACCGGAAACGGAACTTGTTCTATCGCGAGTGTTTCGTAATAAACCACTCAAAGCCATTGGGAATTCCACAGACGCCAGGTTTGACGGCAAAGCAGGTTGGGAAGCATTGTATTAACCAGAATTGACACAGTTCCAATCTAGAGCATGCAACACAATTGTCTCTCGTCGTAGTTGTCCTAAAAGTACTTTGATAATGTTTGGGTGATGCAAATACCCACTCTTCAAGTAAACGACACCACAACAAGTGTTGAAGAATAGCGTTGCACGACATCTAAAAACAACAAGGTTTGGTCTTGTGATGCGGGCAGGCAACAGGGATGGATTCAGACAGGCGATGAAGGTGACGAGTGTGCCGCCAACTACAATCACGAGCAGCAATCGACATCGTAAACTCCAACATAGAGGGCATTTGATAAATATTGGGCACATGCAGTATTGTTTAGATCATACATCATTGTGTTACGGTCCCAAAGAAACCCAGATATAACTGCCTAAACACGCTGATCGGGGGCCCGGATTGAATCAACAGGCCAATGAAACCGAGGTAATCCATGAAAATAAAAAGAGAAAAAAAAGAAAAGCAAATCCCCTCCTCAATGCTCTGTCGGCATTGAGGGATAATACATCATTCCAAGAAACTAAGCACCTGTTTTTTTACTCCTTCGCGCCGTGCGCAAGCGCGACGCTCTTCCAATGATCACGCTCAGCCGTCAGCTTCGCAATCTTCTCCTCCAACTCATCCAGACGCAAAGCCTTGCGCTCACGTGACTTGCGAGCGGCGAGGGTGTTGCGGGCGCGCTTCATGGCAGTGACGTCCGTCGGATCCGAGACAATGATAGGGGGCAGAGGCTTGTCACGGCGGCGCGAACCAACACCCGCAATTGACGACGGGCGGGTCGGAGGCGAGGTCCCGGACGACTTGCGGCGGTGTCCCAGTGCCGAGGCTAACTCCAGGTCATCTGACTTGGTGGCGGGAGACTGCTCGGTAGTGGCAGGCTTCTGGGACGCGTCGAGTTGAGCATTGTTCGGCGGGAAAAGAGGGAACCACGCATCGGTCGAACCGTTGTCGAAGTCGCCGCTTTCGAAGCTAGGCGAAACGTCATAAGTGTCACCAAATTCGGGAGACTCGTTGTAGATGGATGGCGAAGTAAGAGCTGTGAGCGCAGTGGAATTGGGCGCTGACATGAACGGCTCCTGGAGGAGAAGATCCTGCGGCGAGACGGTGCCCATGTTGGTTGCCGAGCTGGAAGCACTGCCGCTCATGTCGAAAACGCTTGCAAGCGCAGGTGAAGAGTATGCGCTGGTAGAAGCACCGCCCTCGAAAGCTGTGAAGTCGTCCATATCGAGTTCTGTGGTGGTACTGCGTGAGATTGATTGTTGGGAAAGCGCGATGTAGGAGCGAAAATTCTTACCCTGAAGGTTCATCTTGGCCCGCTGTATATTGCCAGTGCTTTGCCGGAAGAGGGGCACAGGTGGTCGGGTCACGCGATTCTGCTGGGTCAAAGCGGCAGATGACGTTGGGGCGGACGAAGCGTAGAACTGGTGCTGAGTCTGTGCGGGAGAATTAAACCGATTGGTAAAAGCCGAAGAGGTCGCTTGATGTCCAGTTGCCTGGATGATGCTAGCAACTCGCTGGTTCTGCAGAGACGGCGAGGTCGGGACCTGTGGTTGCGGAAACAACGGTTGATGACGATGTTGCTGGTTTGGGTTTACACCTCCGTTGGCGGAAGGTTGCGGGACAGAGCGATTATGTTGACGTGGTTTGATCGGCTGATCGAACAAGACAAAGTCCTGTTGATGAGGCGGCAGATTCAAGTGCTGTAGATGCTGTTGTTGCGCGGATAATGCCGGCAGGCTCGAGGAACTGGAGGGAAGCCATGTTGACTGTGTTTGATCCGTGGTGAAGACTGAAAAGTCTGGGCCGGGAATGGCGGCGGTGTTGTAAGAAGAACTTGAGCGCGAGCTAGGAAGCAAGTTGCTTAAGTTCAGTTCAACCTTTGCAGGTAGAGCTGAAGGAGGGGGTTGAGTGGGGAAAATGTTGTTAAAATCCGGGGAAGGAATTTTGACGACTTTGCGAGTGCAAGTCGAGAGACTGGGGAAAGGGGATGCTTTAACGCATCTTGAAGACTTCTTGGCGCTGTTGATTGTTGTGTCTTGGGGAAGTTTTGGGGGTGAGAAAAGAGAAAGAGAGGTTTGCGAAAAGTGGGCAGTGGAAGACTTTTTAATCAGGCAGCGAGTGCGCATTCAAGGTGCGCAAGCCAGTGCGCAATGACCCTAGGCTGCGCTACGGCCTGATTGGCTGTGCTCAGCGCTGCAGCCCCGGAAAGTGTGAGTCACACTTCCCACGAGGCCGTGCTCCAGAAATTACCCCACGTTCACCGTCGCTCAAACTCATGGCCACAATACGAAAATGGCAGTGCTGTTTGTGAAACACGAACTTCGAGAGTTGAGGAAAAGCATCATTATTTAGATTCCCAGGTCGGCTGAAGGCAATACAAAAGCTCCTCATTGAAGAATTTCTGGAATGGTTTTTCCTGTCCTCTTGGTGGATGAGAACCGGGCGATTTGGCTGCTGGCCTTTGCTACGATTATGAATTTTCTGTAGAGATCCGTTTTTCGAAATCCTCGATGTCGCAGCACTGCCCCACCACTCTGTCCCATCTCCAGCCCCTTTCAACCAGCTCATCCAATAAGATTCGGAGCTGAAGCAAGAGCCCCACTGCTGTAATTCCGGTTGGAGGGGCAGAGTGAGGACATCCGGACAGGCTTACGCCGACGGCACGGAACCAGGCCTCCAAAGGGCGCGACATGTCTTTGAGCATGTACAAGCAGGGCAGGAGGATCTCTGCCTAGGACTTGCGGTCCTGGGCTTTTGGTGTCGTCGGTTTGAGGACGACGGCCTGGGGACGGGCGCCTGGATCATCGGATCCATTTGATTTGGGCCCTTCGGTGAAGAGGCCACGACTTCTTAACTGTGTTTGACCTCGGTCACCCCCTTGGCCTACGCGGCTCTCATCTTGGGACGCGCAAGGGCGTGCGAAGACCATCGACTATGAAAATAGGCTAGCCCTACTTATCCACTATTGCAGTGCTGACATTCCATGGAGTGGAGGACCTGCGGGAATATTTGGCCGCTCCATGCGCTCCGAGGAAGATTTTCCCGTGGATAGGTTTTCCCGAATTTGGCAGCGCGCCGTTTCTCTGAGGGAGGGGTTGCGGGTGGTCAGCCCTCTCGGCCGCTCGCATGGTGCGCTGCTTCGCCCCCCTCCCACCATGGTGGTCGTCCTATTTGCCGAGACTGCTGGACACACGATCAACTATGGGATATCTCCCAATAACTAACCGCACGCAATCTTGCGACGGCGGTTGGAGTCCCATTGTGACAGACCGACACAGGACACATTTGTCGAATCAAAACGCCCAATTGGAGAGGAACGGCGGTGGTGTTGCAATTGAGTTTGTGAGTCATTCGGCTAAGAAACAGCCCTTGCGATGATCTGCAGAACAAGGCCCCCAGCTTGTCCTTGGCGTGCTGAGACAACTCGGCTCCACTGCGACAATTTCTGGCATTGGTTCCTTCGCACAATCGGTGCCAGTTGGGGGCGAGGGGAGCTTAATAACTATTTCGTATTTGTCACACGAGGCAGGCCTGGGCAGAGCCGCCCTGTGCCGCAACTCGTGCCAACATCGGCTGGAATGGGTTGCAAGAGCATCACAAAGGAGGAAGGGCAAGGAGGAACCGAGAAACACACAGGAAGTACATTATTTCCGAGTCTGCATTGCAATATGTCCCTGTTCCTCTCTAAGTACTTGCTTCGTGTGGTTATCTTGAACTCGGCCTCTAACATTGGTCGCTCACATTCGAACAAACGAAGTGGAGCTTGGCTCGGATGAGGAAGATCCCCCGTCCGATTCCATTCTCAATCCCCTCCACAAAGCTGGGGATCTGATTACTGAGGGATGATGTTGGGTTTCATCTCATAGCGGCTTCAGACCACGGCCCGGGCTGCAGTCGGGCACAGGCCGTCATCAAGGATACGAGTGACTCAGAGCGGGTATGGTTGAGGTTCCGTTGGTAGGCTACCTTCAACAGGTACCTTTTCACACAATTGTGGATAGAGATGGACCGCGGCCCTTCCAGTTTATATGCCTGAGAAGGGCTCCGCAGGCAACAGGTCCATCACCCAGCTGAGTATATGGGAAATCGAGTAGAGGGCATCGACGTCGTAAAACGGTGGGAGAGAGCCAAGCCCTAGGAGAGCAAGCAGTGGTAGCAAGCAGTGGTTCGTATTCAGCATATCCGTCTATCCACGATAGTAACTCGAAATAACCTAAACGCTCACGAGAAACGTAAGGAAACGCCAAAGCCTTGCGGCAGCATCGGTAGGAAACCACCCCCAAATAGCAACCCAGAACCGTGTAATATTAAGCAGAGGTATCCTTGTCGTAACTCATAGCACCCAAAAACAACCCGAAGAAAAAGGAAAAAAAAAAAAAAAAACTCAGCCGCTAGAGAAGATAGCGAAGCCCAAAGCGCATCCCATCCCCGAACAAACCTCAAACCGGCGGCAACACTGCAAGAGGCGTCTCGACGCCCACGGCCCCCTCAGCCTCCATCTTGTCAGCGTCGTCCTTGAGCGTGAACTCGCCATCAACGATGCGCTGGCAAAAGTCATCCCACATCTTCTCCCAGCTCTCGCGCACCTCCTTCATCAGCTCGGGCTCCATGCACGAGTGGGCGATGCTCCACTCGACCAGCTGGCGCAGGCCGTGCAGCGTCATGTCAGACTTGCCGGCTATGACTTGGTAGAAGTCGTGCGAGAGGCGGGATCTGTGGATAGAGGAATATGGTGAGCAACAGAGAATAGAATAGAATAGAGCAGTGTTAGATATGGGGCAAGGGAAAAACAAACCTGAACAGCGTCCCATTATCCGCGCTAATCGTGCACGGCACGTTATTCGCCAGCAAGCTGTACACGGCATGGCCACTCATCCTGGGGGTCAAGCCCAAGATCTCGTTGGAGATGGGGCAGACCTCGACGCAGACACCGCGCTGCTTCATCCGGCTCATGACGTAGGGATGGCGCGGCAAGGCGAAGCCGTGGCCGATGCGCTTCGCGCCGAGCAGCAGGGCGTCGAGCAGATTGCCGTCGGTGTCGGTGCCGATGTCGAGCGTCTCGCCGCAGTGCAGGAGGAAGGGGATCTCGACCTCTGCGGCCTTGCAGAGGGCTTGGAACCGAAGGAATTGCTGCGCGAAGGCTTTGAGGGGCTTGCCTTTGCCTTCTTCGCCGACTAGATCGAAGCCTGCGGCTGTGGGTTAGTTTGCGGGACTCGGTTGTTTGCGTTTCTGGGGAAACTCGCCGGCAATGTAGGGTGAGAACTTCTTATGCATCTTGAACTGGAAACATTGCGTGAGGGCTTCCCCAACTTGTTCCTCGCTAAAGGAACGTGGTGTGCAATAGATGACCTTGAGCCCCTTAAGGACCCGCCGATTGTGGTCTTTTTGGAAGGCCTCGTACTCGTCAATGATCAGGTCCATGATGCCGACATTGTCGACACGGCGGGAGCCGTCGTCCTCCCACACTTGGTTCGAGGACATGAAGTTGGGTCGAATTTCGGCGTACTGGATGTTGTCGGCAACAAATTCGAGGAGACACTGCCGTGTATACTTCCGGTAGGCGGTCTTGTAGTTGAATAACCCCTTCATCATTTGCGTCCGGGCATTGAACTTCTCCCATGTGCTGTTCAAGAGGTCAGTGTGACAGCTCAAGCCCCGTCAATATCCTTGATTCTGACTAACCCTTCTTGTGTCTGAAGCAGGTTGTGAGCTTCTTCCTCGTGGAAGACCAGCTTCTGCTGCAAAAATTGATCGGCCGCCTCTTGCCCTCCTGGGTACGCTTCCCTGAACTCCTGAAATTGCATCACGGTCCCGCACTTGTAGTTTTCGGCGAACGGGTTGCCCTTCCCCTTTTCCTCCACGGCTTTCTCGCTCATGATACTAAACTGTATCCTACAGAGATCGTAAGCCTCGGGCTGGTCGAGAGCAATGTTGCTCCAGATGAACATGCGCTCCATGTCCTTGGCAATGCCGAGTAGAACGCTGGGGAGCAGGTTGGCGTTGAAGTGGATGTGAAGATGAGCGCCCTTGGGCATGGCCCGGCACAAGGCAAAGAGCTGCGTCTGCTCTATCAAGTCGGCATTGGAGAGGAAGTGGTCGCCGTAGAAGCGGGGGTGCTCCTGACCGCGGTAGCCACGTTTCTTGGGCGCTGTTTCGTAGAAGCGAGCAATATCGTTTTTCTTAAGATGCTGCAACATCCCATTGGCCCGAATTTCAAATTCTTTTGCGCTCTCGGTGCAGTCGAAGTCAAATCCCAGAGAGCCCTCGTAGCGAGTGCCTTGTTGGCGCATGGAGTCGTATGTCTTCATCTTCTCCTGAGCATATGACGCCAGCTTGCCCTCCAGCTCCTCGTTAATCTGAAAGGGGACATCCCCTGAGGGCCGAGACTTCCCTAGCGCGTCGGAAAGTTCCCGGAGGTCATGCTCTGGGATCTCTAGGACGGTGTCGATGGCGGGCGAATCCACAGTTTCCTGTTTCCGCCGTTTGGCCCCAACATGGTCCCATCCCTTCACCGCATCGCCCTTGGCGATGCTAGGATCCGGGGCCCTGCTGCGGAACAGGTTAGCGATGAGGTCGGCCCAACGGCGTCGTCGGCGGGTGGTCTTGACAGTTTTTGAGAGCGCTTCTTGGGGCTCTTGACAAGCCTCTTCCACATTGCGGTCGGTTTTGGGCGTGACCAGGTTACTAACTATGCCCATGCCGCGGCAAGATTCCAAAGTGGCTCGAAATTGGTAAATGGGTAAAGGTGTGTGAGATGGTACCGAAAGTATCCTTCAAATCGCCTCGGGTTGTGCCGCGATTTAAGTGTGTAGGATGTCGTTAGCGAGCGAGGACAGTGAGAATTGAGATGCTTGGGTAAAGACTGTGTCGTTGTCACCGGATCCGGTGAGAAAGAGACGCCGAGTCCAATCTTATTATAGTGCGCGTGTTGGCGGGCGCCTTGCCAGTTGTTGGCATTGTGAGTCTTGACGATAAAGCGAGCATGAGCGATGGAATGGAAACCGCCCGGCCAGTTGCGCGAAACCCTCCAACGATCCCGAAATGCCTAACAGCCAAGCAGTGCCGCCAACGTGCTGGGGTCACACACTGCGCCCTGAGAATTTGGAGGCTGGCGGGTCGCTGAAATGGCCGGAAAGAAGGCGCCAGCTGGTCATGTCCGTGCACTGTTCCTTGAGACGATCGCTCAAGCCTCACGGGCACCAACAGATCGGATGCCCCACTTTTGCTTGAGGCTGATTCCTGGGCTCTCACATAACCCTCCTTCGGATGACCTGGGAGGCATCCGGGTTTCATGGGTGAGCTCCAATTATCGTCACGCTTCCATGACCACTTACCACGTCCCGAGCGTGTGGGAAGCCTATCTCGTATCCCCATATTATACCCTAACCGGGCAATGTGCGTGTCCGCTTTACGAAAGGCCCAAAATGACTCCCGATTTACATGATTTGGTCCGAATGCTCCGAAACCCAAGACGGCCAGCCGCACCTGCCTTTTCGGAGCCGGAAAGGCCAAATGAAAGGCTGACACGAGTCAAACTTTCTTTGCGCTTTTCCTGGTTATCTTTGATTTGATCCCGGGTTAGGGAAAATTTGGCCCAATTTCAAGATATCCCTGGATGCCCACATACAAGTGGCTCCAATGCACCGGTGTGAAGGTCAATATTTTATGAGGCGGGCAGTACCTGTTCCGAAACACGCGCTTCAATGATTCCATGATGGCTACATGCCCAGGGGATGTGTTGAGGCTAGCTTTAACTGGAGTTCTTTGATGTTTCGTGGCAAGGTAGACTCGGCGAGAGTGTCATCCATCTTAGAGATGAGGACTTACCTACCTAGGTAGGGAAGGCGGTGGTCACACCCGGTCAAGGAGGGCGTCTCAGCGTCTCCAAATTATTACCCGTTGAGAAACTTTTACCTAGGGTCCGAAGGATGGGATCGTGGCACTTCACACCCGTATTGGCGATTCCGGCTTCGTATCACGCGATATTAGTGAACTTCTCTGCTTCTACCATGTGAGCACATCGATCGGTGCATTCCACAGCAAGAATGACCCACCGTCCACCTGAGAGAACATACCTGTGGTCGTTGGCAACTTGATTGGCCCGGGTAATGGATGGGATGCGAGCGGCGTGGGGTCCCTGGATCTCGAGGCAGAGCAATGAGTCAAATGCTTCCTTTCTCACGATAGATATTCTCGTCCTGGGTTCGGCAAGCTCTCTTCGTTGGATCACGGGTCTGGAAGGCAACCCCTCCTTCTTCACCATCTCCCCTAGGCGGAAGCACCATTTCAGTCAAACAATTGCTGGCAGCCAAGCTAGAGAAGGAGCTAATTGAGTCCAATGATAGCCACATCATCTCCTCAACCTGACCAAAGTCTGCCTTGGCTGTAGGCAGACCAGCAACCAGGCAATTTGAAGTAACCCAACGCTGAGGGGAAACTTCGAAAGGTATTATAGCCAGCAACGGGCTCAGGGGCTTGGTTGGCGCAAGATCCATCACCCTCCCCCGAACCAAGGCATATTCGTATTCGAACCCTATGTCGAGGCATCCTCCAAAGCCAATAAAATGAACCCCTCCAAGCCACCGAAAGGGTTGTACCGCGTCCTCCACGATGCGATGGAGGCTGCGACAGGCAATATCACACAACCTATAGCCCCGCATTCGCATCACGATTCTTACCAGGCGGGTTCGGGGCGTAGTTACGGCCGTTTGATTTTTTTGAGCCCTAGAAAACAAGCTCACTGCTCCTGCAGGGGCCTTGTGTATTTCAAAACATTGGGTCGGATGCCAGTGGGCTGTTTCATGACTGTGGTTGTTGTGGCTGTGCTGTGTAAGTGACTCGCAACGGCAAGCTGCAAGGCTGAGTAGCCTGAGTGCGGCCGTTCCCACGCCGGCTGACAACGTGATATGGAAAACCGAGGCTCTCCTGCAAGAGGCCAACGCAAACCATATTTAGTGCGGTGAGTTTGAAGTTATATATTTACCGCTGGCTCGGTCTCGTCCCATAATCCGGGCTTAAAAAACAGAGAGCTGAAATAAAATGGGAAACGGGAATCCTCCAGTGGTATATAGGTATGCCTGACAGCAGGGCGGTTATAATGCCCTCTATCTCCCCAACAACAGAAACAACTGCCCGCCCGATGCGACACTACCGCACTCCTCTGACCCTACGCACATTGCACAATGACCGAAAATAGTATGTGAATGTCCGGCGTGAATAATCAAACACAAATTGCCTGAGACTCCTTGCTATGCCATGTCTAACCAGGCGAACGAAACCACCCCCTTGAACAGGCCACGATCAATTGTAGCAACCCTTCTTTTTTATTTCCCGGCTCGATGACAATGAAATATGGTCCGCCCCAATACCCTAGTCATCAAACTTGATCCCCCCGACAGCAGAGGTATCGATCCGCCCGCCGCGGTAGCTGCCCTTCTTCTTCTTATTCTTCTCCTTGGTGAAGCCTTTGCCGCGCGTGACGATCAGGTCCTCATGGGCCTTGCGGCCCCAGTCGTGGCCGGCGAAGGCGTTGGACTGGAAGCGGGGGTCGACCTCAATCCCGCGGTCGATGCGCGAGAAGGGTTGGTTGACCCCTTTACCATTGTTGTTCTTGCCGCGGTTGTTGGCTTTGAACGTGCTAGGGTCCGGGGGGAGCGGGGCGTCGCTTTCGACCGGGAAGACCTTGGGCGAGGATCGGTCGAGGGTGGCAGAAGATGTGTCCGAGCCGGTGGCGGCTGGGGAGGGGGTGGGTTTGTTGTCAGTAGTCTTAGTTTTGGTCTTGGTCTTGGTCTTCTCCGAATCAGAGTCGGAATCAGACGCAGAGGAATCCGATGACGAATCGCTGGAGGAGTCGGAGTCGGAGTCAGGGAGGGGGACCTTAGCCGCCTCCTCGGCTTCGTCTTTAGACTCGGATTCGGATTCGGAGGACGAGTCTGAGTCTGAGTCGGACGATGACGAAGAGGAAGAAGACGAGTCGTCTTTTTGGGCCGTCTCCTTCTTGACAGCAGTTTTCTTGACGGCCTCCTTCTTAACAGTGGTCTTCTTGGTGGCTGGCTTAGACTTAATTTCAGAGTCGGAGCCAGAATCAGAGTCTGAAGATGAATCGGACGACGACTCGGAAGACGATTCAGCGGTGACCGGGGCGGCAGCGACCTTTTGCTTCTTGGGCGCGGGAGCCTCCTCGTCGGAGCTGGAATCGGCGTCGGAATCAGAGTCAGACGAGTCACTGCTTTCGGAAGCGGCCTTGCGCTTCAGAGGGTTGGCCGCCGGCTTGGGCGCAGCTGCGGGCTTCGCGGTCTTTTTCTCGTCCTCACTGTCGCTGTCGCTGCTGTCACTGTCGCTGCTGTCGCTGTCGCTGCTGCTGCTGCTGCTGCTGCTGGACTCGGAGCTGGAGGATTCTTCGACAACATCCTTCATTTCAACATCCGCATTATCCTCGCCGTCGCTGTCTGACGACTCCGACTCGCTGCTGCTGCTGCTATCATTGTCACTGCTATCGCTGCTGTCGACTTTGGCGGCCTTTTTGGTGGTGGCATTGTTGAGAGACGTCTCCCAAGATTGGAAGACAGTTACTAGGGAATGGCCCTCAGGGATGTCTGATTTATCGCCCTTCCAGCCCTTCTTGGCCCGCTGCTTTGTGAATGCGCGATGGGCGTCGCTGAAATCATGCTCAGAGAGGAACGATTCGACCAAGTTCAAGAGTTGTGTAGGTGGCTCGGCGATAGTTTTGGGTTTCTCGGTGTCGGGGACCTTCTTCTTAGACCCGCCGGCCTTGAGCTTCTTGCTTCCGGCCATCGTGGATGTGTCGCTGTGAGTGGCCGGTTTTTTCTCGGTCAGTGCAGAGTTATTGGAAAAGAGCCACGCTGGGGGTGTCGACATGGGCAAAAGTCTCTATGTGAATTGGACGATCTAGTCGGCACTAGCTCCTGCACAGTTTGTGAGGGATGCAAGGGAGCAATGGCGTCAGAAGGCAGGCACGCGTTTCCAATCCCAAAAAATTTCCTGGAGTTTCCGCTCCTGGAATGCGCTCTCACCGCCTTTTTTTCTCTTTTTCTGCCATTCTTTTGTGGGTCGAAGCAAGAAGACCCCACAATGCCCCTTGCATGAGCGGGGTTATCCCTTGGAGAGGATTGGAAGTCATTCTTGCTCCCATTCCCGCAAACTACAAGTACTGGGGTATGGTTCACTTGGTGAACGCGTTTGAGGCGCTCAGAGAGCAAAACCTGTTTGTTTGTTACTTATTGCTTATTTATCTAGGTATCACCCATGTTTTGTTATGGATGGAACTCTTGACGTATATCCAATTTTACTCCCACAGGCAGGATGAATGATTGTTTGTTAGGTTGTTAATTGCCCTCCCTCTGTTAGACTTCAGTACCTTCTTACCTACCCCAAGTACCTTACCTATCTTTATTCACTCAGCGATGTGTAGTTTCTGGAGGTTCCCGCTCTTTTGGCGTTTCTCTCAGCTCCCTCTCACTCTGGCTGGGAGCTGCTTGCGTCAGCCTTTGGTCCTCCTTGGAAGTGTTGCGTTCCAAGCCTTCCTTCCTGCATCCTTTATGTTGAAACCACAGGAGCCATTCGAATCGTTTGGTCGTGAACCAATGAAGAACTGCAGGTGCCTGCTCTCCCGGGTGCGTGACTGGGGCGGACGCGTCACCAACCGCCCAACAGCCGTGTTGTGTCACCTAACCACAGGTTTGGGGGCCAAAGACCAGGGTTTGGCTGCGACCGTGGGCGAGGAGCGTTTCCTGAATCAACAAGGCATCTATATAAAAGCTTTGGCTTGGACTGGTCTAGATATGGTAACTTAGACTGTACAAAACAACCACGGAGCCTCACCGCATTTCGTCCAAGCATCCCTAAACCCGTCCTTATACCCCCTTCATCTCATCATCATCGGTGAATAGCGAAGAGTCCATATCGATCGCAGCTGTATCAATGGCGGCCCCCGGAACCGGCCCCGCGATGGTCTACCAGCCCCTTGGCTCCGCTGCTTTGGGCCACGGCAGCGATGACGAGGACAACGAGCGGAGGTGGATGGTCAAATCTGACCTCATTACGGTGTTACGCATTCTGGTTACTCTGCTCGCCTTCGCCGATATCGTGACCTGGCTTTCCTTGGGTCTTGCCAGCGGCACCCTCGTTGTTGCCTTCATTGCGCTGTTTCTGGTTGTTGGTTGGAACCTTACACTGGTTCTGCCCCGATCCTCCTTTACGCGGTCACTCCCTGCCGTGGTTTGCCAGATCGGTGACTGTGTTTGTGGCTTTGGCGGTGACCACAACCAAGATGACCGGCCCAGAAAGCCGAAGAGCCGAAAGCAGAGGCGGGCGAAGCTGATCTTCATTGCCTTGGTTGACTTGGCCTTGGGGCTCATTATCGTTATCTTTATGTGTGAGTCTACAGACGGAAGAGAAGCCGAGAGAGACGTTTGCGTTACGATAGCTAACGAGTTTGCGGTGAAAGCGATTGGCTGGATCCATGTTTCATACTGGTATAAACGAATGAACAACAGAAGTTGCCTTCTTCCGCTCAACCTTGTTATAGGGTAAGAAGGCTTTTGTATTCATAACTTTTTTCGTTCGCCGTAGGCCTCTGCTAACATATCGACTGACAGGGCGCTGGAGCTGGTTCTGGCTATACTTTCCCTCGTCGCTTGCTTTTGGACCCTGGGCTTGGAGCTCGGTGCTGTGTTGAGGAGCATCGATGAACCTGAGAAATACACTCGCATCCAGCTCGCCCCTGATACCGAGGACCGCAAGACCGCTGGCAGAACCGTGTCTGTGTCTGCTTGAATTACAGATACGGCTTGTAGAAGGTGGTTGGGATGGCCGAGTCGATGCTCGGACACGATGCCAAATGGGCTGTCAACGAAGAGGTATTGGGAGCAACTGTGTGTTGTGGATATTCATCTAAACAAAGAATTTAGGGTCATTCGTTTGCACTGGAATAACGAGATGGTGTGGTATTAAGTGCGGTTAGATTGTATACATAACGAAGGCATTCTTCGCTGGAATTAGCAGGGGAACTCATCAGAGCGGAGGAACTTCCGTCATGACCAGCAACGGTGCTCCTTTTCAAGCGCTTTTGCGCATATATACCTAAAATCCAACTTTTTTACTCTCCTTTCAACAACTAGCGCTTCTCCCTCACAGCCGCCTTCGCAGCGGCCACGTCCTTCCCACACCTTTCCCAAACCTCCATCCCCGTCAACACGGTACTCCCCAGCATCAGCAGCCCGACCGTCCCGGGGTCCAACGGCACCCAACCGACCACCGACCCAGGCACAGCCAAATCCATCACATCGGCCACCAGGCCGCCTCCACCACCTTTCCTTTTCTCTCTCCCTTCCTCTCCCCATCCTTCTCCCCCCCTTCACCCCCGACCATCAACCTCACCCCCCCGCCCACAATCCCACACACAAGCCCAAAAAAAAAAAACCTCAGCACATCCACCAAAACCCCCTCACCACCTCCGGAGAACCCCAAACCCCCAGAAAAAGGCACGTCCAGCAACGCCTCCACAAACACACGGGTGTTCTCACAGGCGCTACATTCTTGTGAGTGCGCCGGGCCAAATTGGTTTCGGGGCGTTCCGCGGCTCGCCCGGATATCGTCGCTATTAGTGGAGGTAGTGGATGATGCCTGGAGGCGTGACCTCCAGGGTGGAGAGGGCGGGCCAATGAGTAGGCGTGGGAGTCAAGGTAGCGGATAACACCGGTTTTGCTTCCCTGGAGAGAGGCAAAGCGTTTGCTGAAGGGGCGTGATTCCTTGTGGGGGTGAGGAGGGGGAGGAGAGAGGGGGGCAGGAGAGCGGTGATGGTGGTGGTGGTGGGTGGGGTGAAGAGCAGGATTGTGACGAGGGCTTGGAGGAGGCGGAGGAGGCGTTCGAGACCATCTTGTTGGGAGAGTTTGTTAGTTTTGTTGATACTGTGTGAATTGTTTATAGGGGGAGGGGGGGGAGGGGGGTAGTGGAGGTTTGGGAGTTGAGATGTGAATGAGTGATACACAAAGTGATTCACAGAGTGAGCCGATATCTCACTTACAAGCATCGGTCCCAAATTTGACAAACTGCTCGAACTTGCCCACGCCGTCCGCCATTTTGACTGCTTTAGGGCCTGGAGCCGAGACAATATGCTTAAATTATTTAGGGGTAGGTTTGTTGGTTGTGGTTGAGGTGAGTATGGCTTTGGAGATTTTTCATTATATTTGTATATTCGGCCTGGGAACAATCCCCATTCAAGAGGGAGCGGTGAGGATTCATGAAAGTGTTGTTCATGAAATGGTTTGTTGAGAGCAACCGTGGCTCTGAATGCCCCCTGGTAGCCCCGCTTTAATTATCCACCCAAGTTGACTCTCGAGTTGACCGCTGAGTCTTAAATACAGTTATTAACGAGGTAGAAAGAAAATAGCTGAACTTCATGTATGGGTGCGGCCAAAATCTTCGATTAGAGGAACGAAAAAGAAATCTTCGATTAGAGGAACGAAAAAGAAATCTATTCGGAAGACTAAAGTCTACTTTTTACTTCTTCCTCTCTTCTTAACTCCCTTTACTTCTTCTTTTTCTTCTTCTGCTTTTATTCTACTCTCTCTTTCTTAAAGTTTTTGCTCCCCTTTCGAGTTCGGCTTTTTTGGCCAGAGGGTGGTTGGTAACAACTTGACACTTTAGCGGCTCCCGGTGCCATAGAGTTGAGTCTGCTGTGACTCGCGTTTCGGTGATTCCCTCTTGGCCCATGGCTCCATTCCTACCTCAAGCAGCCGAACTGGGTAGAGGGCTACTCTGGGATAAGAAAGAAAGCAATAGGTGAGTTGAGTGCAGTTTTTGGCTATTTGAAGAGTCGTCACTTTTCGTGGCGGGAGCAAAACAACACCTCTTTCTTACCTAACCACCACCACACCATGAGATGGTCATCAGCACACATATCACACCCTCTCTCCAGGCTCTCTCTATACGCTAGAGGTTCGACAAAGCAACAAGTACAGCCCGGGGGCAGTCTACGGCGGACTAGGCCTATGTACAATGCACGCCTCCCTCCCTCTCAGCTCCCACCAAACTAACCGAACCAAACTAAACCGCCCACCCTCCTTTTTACATGCCAGGAGAGACAAGCTGGCCCTTCAGCTTGGCATCGTGATTCCAGCCACCAGCCAGCGCCTCGCCGCCGGTCTCCTTGGCGAACTGCTGCATGCGGGCCTCGAGCTCGGGGCGGAAGTGGCGGATCAAACCTTGGATGGGCCAGGCGAAGGCCTCGCCAAGGGCTGTACAGCAGAAGTTTATTAGTATTATATTCTTTTTTGCAGAGATTTGAGAAGAGAAAAAGAGACAGAGAAAACGTACCGCAGATGGTATGCCCCTCGACCTGCTTGGTCAGCTCCTGCAGCATGTCGATCTCGCGCTCGCGGCCGAGGCCCTTCTCGAAGCGCTGCATGATCTGCTCGGTCCACTTGCTGCCCTCGCGGCAGGGGGTGCACTGGCCGCACGACTCGTGGCGGTAGAAGTGGCTGAGGCGGGAGATGGCGCGCACGACGTCGGCGCTCTTGTCCATGACGATGACGGCGGCGGTGCCCAGCCCGGACTGGCTGTCCTTGAGCGCGTCAAAGTCCATCAGCTGGTCGTCGCACACCGACTTGGGCAGGATGGGCGTCGACGAGCCGCCGGGGATGACGGCCTGCAGGTTGTCCCACCCGCCGCGCACCCCGCCGCAGTGCTTGTCGATCAACTCCCGCAGCGGGATGCTCATCTCCTCCTCGACCGTGGCCGGGTTGTTGACGTGCCCGCTGATGCAGTAGAGCTTGGTGCCCTGGTTGCGCTCGCGCCCGAACCCGGCGAACCAGCTCCCGCCGCGCCGGCAGATGGTCGGCGCCACGGCGACCGTCTCGACGTTGGCGACGGTGGACGGGCAGCCGAACAGGCCGACGGCCGCGGGGAAGGGGGGCTTGAGGCGCGGCTTGCCGGGCTTGCCCTCGAGCGACTCGATCAAGCTGGTCTCCTCGCCGCAGACGTAGGCACCGCCGCCGCGGTGGACGTAGACGTCAAAGTCGTAGCCAGAGTTGCAGGCGTTCTTGCCGATCAGCCCATCGGCGTAGGCCTCGTTGATGGCGTTTTGCAGCACGGCGGCCTCCTCAATAAACTCGCCGCGGATGTAGATGTAGGCGGCCGAGGCGTTCATGGCACGGCCGGCGACCAAGCAGCCCTCGACCAGCTTGTGGGGATCCTTGCGCATAATCTCGCGGTCCTTGCAGGTTCCTGGTTCACCCTCGTCGGCGTTCACCACCAGGTACCTCGGCTTGTTGTCCTTGTCCCAATCCTTGAAGTTCATGAACGACTGTGCGGGGGGGGGGAAGAGGGGGAATTGGTCAGCCACATGCCGATCGACGAATCTCTAGGAACGGGACGACAGAATACACACCCATTTCAGCCCCGAGGGGAAACCGGCACCGCCTCGCCCGCGCAGGCCGGAAGCCTTGACCTCGCCGATAATCCAGTCGTGGCCCTTGAGAATAATTTCCTTCGTCTTGTGCCAGTCGCCCATCTTCTTGGCGTGCTTGAGGTCGGGCGGGTAGCGGCCGTAGAGGTTCTGGAAGATGCGGTCCTGATCGCGCAGGCCGCCGTAGGTGCGCACGGTAGCGGCACCGGCGTCCTGGACGGTGGCGAAGGAGCGGCATTGTTGGGGTGTTGTCGCGGCGGCAGCGGTTGAAACGGCGCTCGAAATGGCCCTTGCCGACGCCTTGGTCGGCGCCGCAGTGCGTGACAGCATGTTGGCGTTCTCTGCCCGGCAGAGCAGAGGTGTGGGATGCCAATTGGCCGGGGCCGGAAGACTGTCGGGTTTCGTGGATGGGGTGAGGTTGGCCCCTTCGGTGATGGAGCAGTCGTCTTCCGAGTTGAGCGCCTTTCTGAGGTTTGGATTCAGGGAGCTGCTGATTGGTTGGGGATTCCGGGTGTGGCGGGTGCTTTCCTGAGCTTTGTGTGTGGCGGGAGGGGCTTGCCAAGACCCTGACTGACGCAGTGTGGGGAAGCTCCAATCCGTCCGAAAGAGCGCTGCACAACGCGTCCCCTAACATCCAACAATGCTACACCAACGATTACCACCATCACCACCACCACCACCGTCGCCATAACCAAAACCACAACCCAACCCACAACTCAATCAACCCAACCCAACCCAACACCAACCCCCCAAACCAACAACCACCCCCAATAACAAAAATAAACAAAAACCATGTCCTCCAAACGCACCCCCCACCACCCACCCACCGGCCCACGCCCCCCAGTGCACCTCTCCTCCTCGCTCACCATCTCCGACACGGCCCAACTCACCGGCACGCACACGATCGAGATCCGCAGCGAGAGCGTGATCCACCCGCGCGCGCGCCTCGAGTCGTCGGCGGGCCGCCTCGCCATCGGCCGGCGCTGCGTGGTGCACGAGCGCGCGACGCTGGGGGCTGCTCCTTCTTCTGGGAGGGTTGCTGTGGGGGAGGTGGCGGTGACGTTGGCGGATTATGTGACGGTGGAGGTGGGGGCGGTGGTGGAGGCCGGGGAGACGGTCGTGGGGGAGGGGACGGTGGTCGGGGTTGGGGCGCGGGTTGGTGCTGGGGCGGTGGTGGGGAAGGTGAGTTTCTCTTTTTTCTATGGATGGTCTATATGAGTTGTTTGGGGGTGGTGATGCTGACTTGGTTGGGATGCTAGCACTGCACGCTCACGCCGTATACCGAGATCGCTGCCGGCGAGGTGGTGCCCGACTTCACTGTGGTCTACTCGAACGGGTTGAGGAGGATGGACAAACGGGGGGTGGCCGAGCTGAAGAACAAGGGGATGGTACGGCAGATCGATGTGTTGAGGAGGATGATACCCAGTAACCCGGCCAAGTTTGCTTGATTCTTGATCCATGATTCATTGCTTTTAGAGATACCCCCTTTTCGCTAGACAGAAAATCCGATCTGTTGCCATACATACAACGTCATCGCTAAACGCTATAAACCCATCGTAACCCACAATCCTACCGGCCGTACATTACAAATACCGCGTCTTCATCCACTCGCTAGTGCCGAGCCCCAGGTTAAGGCCGTTCTCGGCCCACCACCGCCGGACCTTGGTCTGGTCCCCCAGCGAATCCTCCAGCGCCTCCTCGACATCCATCGTCTTGTACTCGACCCGGTTCCCTTTCCTGCCGCCCATGCCCGGCAGCTCCCCGTGGGCATACTTCCGCCACCACTCCAGCACCGGAATATGCGCATGATATGTCGCCTCGATCAGGATCTGGTTATCAAACTGTAGCTTATCATCCCCGCGCAGCTGGCGCCACAGGTCCAGCACCTTCACCTGCCCCCAGCGAGTAGCCATCTTACAGACGGCATCCTGGTGGCCGATGGGGATCCCGCTCTCCTCCCACCAGCGCATGACGGCCATCTGGCCCCACTGGGCGGCCGCCAGCAGGGAGCGGCCGGGCTTGACGACGATGGAGGGGTCCTGCATGCCGGCTTCGCGCCACCACTCGAGCACGTGGACGTGGCCGCGCGACGAGGCCATCTCGAAGGCCTGCTCGTCGTACTTGAGCGGCAGGCCCGACCGGCGCCACCACTCGAGCACGGGCACGAAGCCGCACTGCGACGCGCGGTTGAGCGCCTCGACGTCGTACTGCTTCTCGAGGAAGGACGGCGACCGCGCCCACCAGTCCAGGATCGCCGTGCGCCCGTAGTAGGCGGATGCCTTGGTGGGGATGGTCTTGCCGTCGAAGCACTTGAAGATGTGGGGTAGGTTGGCCTCGATGTAGGTGAGCACGCCCGTGAGGGAGAATTTGAAGATGAGGTGCACCGCCAGCGCCGAGAGGTCGTGGAAGCTGGGCGGCGCGTGCGCGAGCTTGTCGCACACGGCCTTGGTGTCGGCTGTTAGCAGCGTCCACTCGAGCGAGTGCATGAACACCTGCAGCGGGTCGTTGGGGTCCTTGGGCTCGCGGCGCCAGCCTAGCGTGGTGGGCATCTCGAGGGTGGTGAAGATGCCCAGGCAGGTGGCCAGTTCCCAGTCGTTGGTGAGCTCGAAAATCATGGTCCAGATCTCGGGGGGGAGGGCGCTTCGGGCTTTGGCTTTCATGGCAGGGGGCGTGCTGGGTTGGGCGCTGATCTCCATGTCGTGGCCGAGCTTGAGAAAGTCGGCCTGGTTCTTAATGATGCCGATCACTTCGTGGAAGCCTTCCCACTCCACGACGCGCTTAACGGCGGAGGGACATTTGTCATCGTAGTTCCAGAGGATCGGGGGCATCACTCGAATCCAACCCCACTTGCGGTGCAGCTTGCTCATCTGGCGCTTGGTGACGGGGTTCTCCCACATCTGGGTGGTCATGCCGGGGACCATCAGGATCCTCTTGGAGGCGTCCCAGCTCCGCAGCACCTCGAGCAGCAGTGTATCGGATACCCCGCACATCATCTTGGCGAGTGTGTCGGCGTCGATGGGCGCAAGCACGAGGAGGTCGGCCCACCCAACTAGCTCGGCGGCCTGTTGTTGGGAGGACTCGATATCGTCGGTGTTGGGGCCATCGGGGACGTCCCGCCTTAGTCCTCGATTCCGATATGCTATGATCTCATAGGCCAGCCTTTGTGTCATGTCGTCGACGATGGCTCGTGTGGTAATCTGCGACTCTTTCGAGAGACGGACGGCGATGGCCTCGGCGAAGGCCACATCTTTAAGGCCATTGGAGGCGACGAGCAGATGTAGTGAGCGCGGTCGCGGGGTCTCGATAGCCGAAGCACTCGAAGGCGCCCTGTCAATTTCTAGTTGACGGATGGCCCCTGGGAACGGGGGCCTGGGGTATGACTCTGACATGAGGTGCCGTTATCTTCTAGGTTGATTTTCCCCAGGAATAGGCAGATGCCAAGCCAACCTCGTTGAATTCGAGGTGCAAGTGAAGTGGGTTGTCTGTGGCAAGATGGAATAAATGCCCAGAAGGTCTGCGCATGTGTGTGCCTGATGGAGGTGCCGAAGGTCAAAACTCCAGGATACGGGATGTATGGAGGCAAAATTGCACCACAGACCAGACTTGCACGCGCTTGGTTGTTGGTCGGCGGCGTCACTGTTGGAAATGGTCCTTGGGTTGTCAAGGTGCTAGGCCTATGCAATGCAGCGGATGATGTCCTTATCGGTTGGTTTCAGGACCCACTAGGGGAGCTGGGCGATGGCAGGGCGATGGCAGGGCGATGGCAGGGCTGAGACGAACCCGAGTGTGCCAAGCAACTAATGGTGGGGTAAACCTGGGACATAAATTACAGAGCACTGGAATACCATTACATAAATACCCACCTCCTGTGCAAGCATCCACTTCTCCCGTTTCCTCACCATTATCTCCTTTCCTCGATTGCATCCAACTCGAAGCGTAATAATTGGATTATTCTAGGATTCCCCGTTGAATTGTCGAGCTGTGCTTTTAGTGTGAGTGGCCATCGCCGGCAAGCCCAGCTTAATGCGGGACTGGTCGTGTGCTGCTCTCGGCTCCGACAGCCAACAGTTGACAGCAACCTGGCTCTGCACAGAAGTTTGTCCGTGTCATTGCCAATCATTTGCCTCCAGGTGCTTTTGCTCAAGTGCCATAGGGCAGCCGGTGGAATGTCTTGTTGGGTACACGACAGGTTTCTAACGCCATCTCCTGCACGCCTTCCTCGGTGTCTTACGTCTAGTGCCAGTCGCACGCGTGGGTGACTCAGGGCAACTCAGCCCCTCGTCGAACCCGAATATTGCGACCACCGGGAGACCCCTGAGTAACTCGGTCATTTCAGGCCGCAACATTCTCTCGCCAAAACAGGGTCCTAATCTCAATCATCAACCTAACTCACGTCTTGACTTGGCGAACCGGCGTTCAGGGCTCCCTCAAAACTCCATAAGACCAAGGCTCGAGCTGGCCCGTTATACCTGGTATGTCGGTGCGAGAAGCCGCTGCAGCCAAACAACCTGCCGAGGTGGTCAGTTCAAAAACCAGAGTTGGTGGATCATTGTTTGGGAATCCTACATACCATTTTTACATGTAGACAACCTCACCTCCTGAGCGCAGATCCCCCGTACACGGTATGTACGTGGGTCAAACGACGGCTAGCGAGAAGTCCCCGAAATAACAAACAAGAAGCGTCGTAGACTCGTGATGCCTCAGTCCGGGCCAGTGTAGTTCCTCTCCTCCCCGGACCAACCCACTCTTGGCCATCCCTTGGGCAGAGCCGCATATTTCGGCAAGACATATCGGCCGTTGCACTTATCCTCCTTACACTCCAAAGCGCATAGCCCGTACAAGTTACAATAACACTCGGCTGCCGACGGGCAAAAGACAGCCCCCTTCCCGAAGATGACTAGCACCATCAACAGCGGTCAACACATGATCCAGCACCAGAGAGACGAGGGGACTCAAACGAACGCAAGCAGGTACTCACTATGCCACATATACTCCAACACCCTCCCCGACAAATCATCCCCCAGCGGCGTCCGCAGCAGCCACTCTCTCCAACGGACATAATCCTCCCTCGGCCGGCGATGGACCGCCTCGCGCGAGACCGCAAACTGCGAGCAGCACCCGACGCCCACCTCCCGGGGCACCTCCACGCCGGGCATCAACTCCTCAAACGCGCGCTTGAACACCTCCTTGGTGGTGATCTTGCGGCCGTCGGCGGCCGTGGTGCCGATGCTGTCCAGGTCTGTGGCCGCGTCCTGGTGCGGCCGGATCTCGACGGGACAGCCGAGCACCCAGGCGCAGCGCAGGTTGACGTAGCCGGAGGATTGGACGTGGTCGAGCTGGAGGTGGTGGAGCGTGGCGAGGGCGTCGTAGTCCGGGTCGTCGTTGTGCCAGGCGAAGCGCGCCGCGTGGATGAAGATGGTGGTGGGGGCGAGGGTGTTGTAGTGGTTGATGATGTGGCTGATGTTTTGGTGAGTTCTTAGGCTCAAAGTGTGTGTGGTTGGTCAGGCCGGTGACGTACGTTAGATACACCATGGCCTCACGGCCTTTGTTCTTGGGGACGGTGAATTCGGCGGAGGGGTCATCCGCGACATAGACGCTGCGGGACCAGCCCGGCAGATGTTGATGCACCCAAGAGGTGTCCTCACGCCGGAGACTGGCCACAACAATGCCAGCTACTGGTGGCCTCTTGATCGATTGGGTGAGAGAGGAGAAGGACCAGTCTAGCTGCAGATGGAAGTGAAGGCCGAGCACTGTGAGGAGGATAGCAGGTAGGATTAGAAGGGGCGAAACTCTCTTCCCGGAGCACGTTCCCATGGTGACATTAACACTGAGGCGAGGTAGACGAGAAATGAAAGCGGGAGTCGGCATCCTCGCTACAGACGATGGAGTTCTCCGGGGTTTGTTAACTAAACTCGATCCCTTGATGTGAGAGGCATGGGTAAGGGTAGAATGACAGGCAACAACGCGATACTTATTATTGGCTATGAACAAAGAATGACTGTGATAGGTATGAAAGGGGAGGAACGGAACAGAAAAGAAGACTGATGTTTATGACAAGCGCTGCCCGTTAGGCACACCGTCTCACGCGCATTTTGAGTCCCCATCTTCTGCAAGCCCCCTGTATACCTGCTCCCAACAAGACGTTGCATCCGCTTGTCGCTTCGCAATAAAATCGTGGACGGGCGGTGGGGGCGGCAACTCGTTGGGGGCGGTAAGCTTATGAGCATAATTGGTTGGTGAACTGACGACGCAGTCAGCTGCAGCGAAGTTTGTCCTCTTTTCTTAGCCCCTGTCACGGCCTTGCAGCATGCAACCGCGGAGCTTTGGAGTCTCGTTTTTGGGGTCTGTAACAAGCCAGGACGTTCTGTACAAGTAGCGAACTGGGTTTAGGTAGGTTGTTTTATCGCAGTACTAATTCCATGATCCAAGGACTTGATATTTATTCCATCACCATCACGATATCTCATCTTTACTCACCCCGGTTTCTATTCTCTCTAGTCGACCGTTAGAATCGATATGTATGGAGATGGTATGTACCTTGGTTCAATGATAAGGTATATAACTATATAGGTAAGCAGCTAGGTTTGCAAATACCTAGGTGTCTACTCGGCACCTGCGGTCATTGCCTGGCGTAACAATACAGTACCACAATAACTCACGGCTTCTGATATAAACATCACGAGTTTAGATGTGAGAAAACAACATTTTGTCGAGGAAGTACCTGAGTAGCAGATCTCATCAGTTAGCATGCACGTGTAGTAATATGGCTCGAGAGCCTACGGAGCCTCTAGCTACCACCAGCCAACAGCTCCAGGGGGGACCAACAAGCCAAAAGGGATCGCAATAGTTCCGTCGAAGGCTCAGAACAGGAGCCTCCGCATAGTGGTTGGAGCTTATAAATCGGCCCCTATTAGGTGCCTAGAGACGGAGGCTTGGGTGCCACCATTGGACCTCTACCTCAACAAACGGCTTGCCGACTTCGAAGACCGGCTACGCAAAGAGACCCTACAAACAGGGGCGGGACCAGCAGCCCCAAAGTCTACCCCGGGGCACTTGATCACAGAGGCTTGCAACAGGGTCTACCGCAGGTTTAGAAAGAAGAAGAAGGGCCGAGGACAGAAGCCCCGTCATGGCCCGCAGGCCCCAACACCCACCGAGCAAGCCACTATTATAGTGGGCCGGTGGCCTAGCCAGAGGTGGAAGACAGGAGAAAAGAGAGGCAAGAAGTTGAAAACCGACGAAGTGATGAAACTAGCCTGGCAGGCCCGGTGGGAGCAACAGAGACCAAGGCAAGAGGGGGTTGGTAGAAGGATGGCCGATGAAGACCCCCCAGCTCTCCTTTTCACGAAAAAAGCCCTACAGAGGTACGAAGGCCTTACGAAGGCCCAGAGTACCCTTCTTTCCCAGGCCCATATAGGGGATATAGGCCTTAAGGACTACCTATTCAGGGTTAAGGTCCCAGAGGTCCGTTACACCTACTGCGGGTGCGGGGAAGGCAGGGAGACAGTGGAGCACTTGGTGGTTTGGTTCCCTGACCCAACGTTACAGAGCCCGTGGGAACACCGGGAGATTCGGACACATGGGGACTTACAAACCGTACTACGGGGAGTAGGTGCCCGGAGCGTTAGGCTTGTTAGGAAGGTCCTGGGCTGGCTGATGGACTCTGGCCGGCTACTGGAGTACAGTCTAGCCAGAAGGCTAGAACTAGAAACAGTGGAGGGAGAGGGCTAGAGAGTCCGGAGGCCGGCAAAGGGCCTCCTTTCTTTTCGTAGTAAGATGGATTCATACATTGTAGTCGCGAAGGGGTAGGCAGAGGTTTTTGTCCGGCCCATAGGGTACGGTTTCCTTTGTAAATAGCGGTAGAAGGACCGGCGCGCCCACGGGCATATCGGTGTAGGAAATAATAATAATAATAATAATAATAATAATAATATTCATACTCCGCTATGCTCTAGGGCGTGCCGGACCCTCAGCTATTTAGTGTACAGGAAAACCGTGCCCTCCCGGGCCGGGTGAAAACCCATCCCAACAATCAAGGAGCGATGCGTTTTAGTGAGCCTACATATGCAAAGAGAGGAGGCCTCCTGGCCTCCGAACGGGGGCGCTTCAGGCCGCCGCTTCCAGCTCGAGCCTCCTGGCTAAGTTGTACATCGGCAGCTTCCCCGAGTCCATCAGCCAGTCGAGAACTCTCCTCGCGAGCCGTGCAGTCGTGGGATTGATGCCGTGTAGAACAGAGTAAAAGTCCCGTCGTGTCCGAATTCCAGTTCTCTCCCATCTTCTAGTCAACGGTGGGGCCAAACACCACACTACCAGTTGTTCGGCAGTCTCTCGTCCCTCGCCACACTCGCAGGCAGGAGTCAGAACCTCCGGGACTCCCCGTGTAAACAAGAAGTCCCGTAAGCCTATTGCTCCCGTCCGGATTTGAATCAGCAGTGAGCTCTTTGCCTTGCTGAGACCGTCGTGCCTCCTTAGGGTTTCGTTCCGGAAAAAATAATAATATGGCTCGAGGGATGATGACAAACACGAACAGCGAAACAAGAGTAGCACATCAAGGTGGCTAATTACGGTCTAACTGACGACAAGCGGAGGCGCACCACAAGGCTCTGCTGCGAGACTGACTGCGTGGAAGCCGCTGCTGGCCCTTCTTTTTTCCAGCTTAACTAACGCCGATTTAATACCATCAGCATTTCCCTCAAGGTTCAAGACGGCCAGCCTACCTAATGTAAATCAATACCACGCCTTCCCTACTCCAGTCGTCTTACCATTGGATATCTTGGTTTTGAGGATTTAGCCCGATTGCTTTCCTTACCAATAGTTTACAGTTTATCATTCTCAATTTGATTCTACCGTATTTAAGAGACTGCCTCGCGAGCGAAGAGCGATGTTATGTTCGTCCAAAGTTTCCGGTTGGCACGGAGAGGCGATGAGATGAACATATAGCCTCAATTGCCCCTATAGATCACCAGCAACCCAGCACAAGATGGATGCAGAAAAGGAATACCGTGACACCCAGACGTAGTTTCTAAATTCAGAATAGATACCCTGGCCAGGCCCCAGTTTCTCCCGCTGCCATGGCAGTTTGCGTTGCGTGTATCCGCCCTCCTCCCAGTCTGAAGCCACCCTACAAAACATACACCAGCCCAGACAACGCCAGCCCCCAAAGCCCAACCGCCCTCACCGAGTCCGCCCCAGCCCTGCCCGCCGCATTGAACTGCCAGCCGGCAATGGGAAACCCAGTGACGTTGCGGCCGTTGGCCCGCAAGCAGGCCTCCGACGCCTGCACGCTTGTTGCACGGCGTCGTTCGACTGGGTGCCGTTGACCCAGTACGAGGCCGGCAATTCACACCACACCCAGCACCTGTCGATGACGTGGACGGGGCTGGGCTCGCAGCAGAGGTTCATGGTGGAATCCTCCGTGCTGGTCCCTGGGATGACCATAAGGTTGATGTCGTGGGGGACCGCCAGGGTGGAGAGGTCGGGAATCGCGACGCTGGGGCATGTTGTGGTGCTCGCCATGTTAGTGGAGTCTGGTGAGGGAGCCAGGAACTTTTGGGAGAATGTTTCGTGGAATGGGAGCCTAGGTACCAAGTGGAAATGCGATGAGACTCGAGCTGCCGACGTTAAAGGTCGAATTAACGCAAAAAAAAGTTTCTTAAGTTCTCAACAATGATGATTATGCGTCTTTGATGGGAAAAGAATAAAACCTATTAAAGTATGACGCAGACAATGGGGACATGGCCGGCGAGCTGGCAGACTAATAGCGTATAGATAAATCAAAGTAAAGCAGGTAGGTCAACCTGAATTGAGCCCATTGCATGGAGGGCCCTAACAAACAGGATGACATGAGCCGATCCCCGAGGCTGGAGACCACATTATAGTTACACAGTATGCTCGGGAGTCGAGCTTGAAACGGCCCACGCTTCCGCCATCCATGCCCCTGGGCAGGAATCTCCAAGCTGGAATTGTAACCGTTATTCGATGCCTCCTGATTGTGACGAACCTACTTCACGACCCTGTCCTGTTAGGGTTCAGCTTCGGTTGAATGTAATCTCTCAAGGGTGCTTAGGTTTGGTGCAGCCAAAAGGTGCACAACAAAGACTTGTCTCAACAGTAGGCTTCCGAGCTTGTAGCGAACTGTAGCTGTGATTGCTATTTGGACAACTCCCAGAGCTCTCCAGAACGAGTGACTATATACTCTCTAGGCCCTGAGGTACCTCTGTACCTATTATCCTTGGGAACGTTGGGAACGATGGGAACGACGGCTCGTTCCTATCGTTCCTGTCGTTCTTGTACACGAAGGGAACGCTGACATACTCCTTTCGTTCCCTTCGTTCCTCCTCTTATTGGTCCAAAACCCTGCTTCAATGATTGGCTGGGGGACGCTTCCGGCGCGCCCCCATCGGGACCCTGCATGCGGCCATAACCGTGACACTGATTTAGTCGATCTGTTGGCCGGAACTGCGCCACAACACCACGGGCTCGTGATGGGCCGTCCCGGGTGATAATTGGACGCAAATACGGCCAACATCCCAGGTGGATTATCACCACCAACGGGTCTGCCAATGAAGCATTCCGGTCCCTGGGTGACAACCCCGAGTCCCCGACGAGGACTGGAGTTAAGAACTAGATTAGTCTCTTTTCTGCCATCATTTCCCATCACTTCTCTACCACAAACTTCTTCTCTCCTCTTAGAACCCGCCTCTTCTCACTACCTTGTTTCAAGCTCCGGCAGATCACACGTGCATCCTGACAACCATGACCTCTTTAATTCAACACCGACTTTTTCTCATGGCCCCGTCTAGCGCTCTAAGGTAGGTAGGTAGTTTCATATAGAACGTAGGGGACGTATCATACCTAATGGGTGACACCCCTTGGATCGTAAATACCTGCCTACTACCTGGTTATCCTGTTCTTACTACCAGGGTCCAGCGGACTTTAATAGGTGGCCACGGTAAATTACCCCCTACGATAATCGTCAGGGGTTGGTTGGTCATAGGGTATTTTGACTCTACGATTATCTTCATTGGTTAACGGCGCTGTGGTAATTTGATGTGCGGCATGTGGGGTGTGTTTACTCGTTCTCTGAACCTTGCCCTACCAGCCGCTGCCACGCCGTGCTGCGGTGAGATTTTTGGATGTATAATCCGTCTTTCCCAAAATGGAAATAAGAAGTCACCTTTCAAACTCCCACCGCTTAGATTCTTAATTTCCTAGCTCAGCCTCACAACATGAGGATCACAATCCTTGTGCCCCTTCGGCACGACCCTCAGCAGCTAGCTTGGCATATCGATATCTTTTGTTTATAAAAGCAATGTCTTGATAGACTTGATGGAGACGTCCTTTTGGAATTTAGATGACACCTCTGACTAGGGAATCAATCGACATTTCTCTATCGTCGATCCTTAGAGTTACTTTTAAACTCGCTTTGTTCTTCCCTTTGCAGTTATGCTTGTCACCACTCTTCTACATGTACTAATCGCTGCTGGCGTGGCGGCGAGCAAATGTTCGAACCCGCACCACCCTCCCCCTCCCAAAGGCCTTACGTGGGGTCCTTGCCCGCCTACCCAGAATCCCAACAACGTTACTATCGACTGCACTACCCTCGAAGTCCCCCTTGACTATGCCAACAAGGAGAGCAACGAGAAGCTCACGCTAAACCTGGTCCGCTACCCGGCGACAGCAGAGAAGAAGCTCGGCACCATCCTCACCAACTTTGGCGGCCCCGGCCAGGAGGGCCTCTCCAACATGCCCATCTACGGACCTCTCTTCTCCCCCATCCTGAAGGACCAGTACGACTTCGTCAGCTGGGACCCGCGTGGATCCGGCCAGGCCCTCCGCTTCCAGTGCGTCCCGCCCGAGAACATAACCTTCATTCTCGGGAGCAACGGCGCCAACGCGTCGGCAACCGCCGCTGAAGAGCTCTGGGCTGAGGCCGCCGCCGCCGCCGACTTGTGCTACGAAAAGAACAAAGACCATGGTCACCTCATCGGACAGGTTTACTCCGCGCGGGACATGGACAGGATCGTTGATGCCCTGGGCGACGACAAGCTGAAATACTGGGGTATTTCTGGTGGCACTACCCTTGGTGCTGTCTATGGCGCCCTTTTCCCGGAGAGAGTCGGCAGCGTTCTTCTAGACGGCGTCTTAAACTCGCACCAGTACTACAGCAAGACCGGGTATGACTTCCCCACCACCAAACCCACGGTATACCACGGGGGGCAAACTTTTAGTCACTAACCTCGAACCCCTTCTAGCGAGGACGAGTCATACGCCGCCGCCGACCGAGCCGTGCGCGGCTTTCTCGAAGGCTGCCTGGCCTTCCCCGAGCGATGCGCGCTCTACCGCGAGGGCCGAACCGCCGATCAGCTCGAAGACGAAATCTCCACCCTCTTCCAGAACCTCAAAACCAACCCCATCCCCATCACCCTCCCCGGCTCCGACACCCCCGCCGGCTTCATCCGCTACTGGGACGTCCTCAGCATCTTCTACCTGGCCATGTACCGCCCGGGCCAATTCATCTCCATCGCGACGGCGCTCGACGGCCTCCTAACCGGCAACCTGACCACCGCCATCGCCGCGCTGACCCCGGCACCCACCAGCGGCACCCCCAACCCCGACGTCGGGCCCCCCGCCGCCGAAGCCATCCTCGGCATCCGCTGCGGCGACAAGAAGCCGCGCGTGGACACCCTCGATGGCATGCGCCCGACGTACTTGGATTTTGAGGGGACGACGAGGTGGTTCCTGGATTTTTGGGGCCATTCGAACCACTTTGTCTGCGCGCAGTGGAAGTTTGAGGCGCGTGAGCGGTATGAGGGCGACTTTCATGTTGAGACGGCTAATCCGATCTTGTTTGTGGGGAATACGTACGATCCTGTGACGCCGTTTGAGTCGGCGAGGAATATGAGCGAGAGCTTTGTCAACGGGGCGTTGCTGCATTTGAATGGCTTCGGGGTACGTCTACCTTTTACTTCTTTTTCTTTTCTTTCCTTATTTCACCCCCCTTTGACTGAAATGGTTGTGCTAATGGCTGTTTGACACACAGCACTTGAGCATCTCCGACGAGTCCGACTGTGTGAATGATGCCATCTACAACTTTTTTGTGAAGGGCGAGTACCCTGAGAAGGACACCGTCTGTCAGCCCAACCTGCCCATCTTTCACCCGGATAGAAAGGAGATCTTCAACGCGTAGAGGGGTATTTTGTATAGATTGATTTAGATTTGGAGGGAAATAGAGATTCGATGTACAACTTTGCAGAGATTATAAGTGATAGATGTATATTATATCAGGCTTCCACCTTCATAAACGAGTGTTTTGCGGTTGCTCGGCGACGATGGATAGTAGAACGGTTCAACATGAAATACGTTCTTGGTGCGTTTAATTTACGACTAACTACCTAATAGGGGAGGCACCTATCAGTTAATAACTCGGAATTTACCTATAACTATAGTGAGGTACCTTTGAATCCTAATAAAGTCTTAGAACCAAAAATCGCCCCAGAAATTTGTAAAACCAAGCCCTCTAAATGCAGGGTAGTCCCGTGGTGAGACTTGATGGTATGGTCAAAATATAAACAACTCTCTTGGCATCTATTGGCGTGTGTTATTATTGACTAATGTGCATTGTGAGCCCCAAGCATCGTCAATGACGTTGCATATACAAACGCCGAGCTTTCTATCAAAAACTCCGTCCGACTGCTCTGCCACTGGGCGTTCCTCTCTCACGGCTCCGCGCATCCTAGCTCTTCCAGTCGACGCACAAGTGGCTCTATATCGAGATAATCAGCATCTTCGTCCGACATTTCTCGGACCCGCTCTTCCACATATCGGTAAGCCTTTCTAGGGTCGACCAAGCCCAAGTCGACGAGGCGGCTCTCCAACAGCACCAATACCGTGGTCGGCCAATCGAAAGCGTCAAACGCAAGCTCAAGGAGGGTTCTCGCTCCGTCATCCATGGGGGCGCTGAAATCAACGAGACCTGACCCGTCGCCGGAGAGGAAATAATCCAAAAAGAGCCCGACTACCTCATGGTGCCCCCCTGAACATGCAATAGCCAGCGGGGTTTCAAAATGGGTATTTCTGGTGTTGGGGTCAATTAGCCTATCCTTGATCAAGTCGCTGTCTAAGATGAGTTTCAAGGTCTCGGCAGAACCCTTTTCGCAAGTGTGAGCAAACGGTGTCATGCCATCGTTGTCTCTTGAATCGGGATCGAATAGCTTGTGCCTGATAAGGCCACTTTTGAGAAATAGATTGACCGTATCGGGATTGGATGATGCGCAAGCATTGGCAAACGGCGTGCGACCCGAATCATCCCGCTGATCGACCCCGAGCACATCAGGCCCAGAAGTCCAAGGGCGAGCCTGGAAGAGCACCTCGACCACGCGCCAGTGGCCTCGCCAGCAGGCGGCGTTCAAGGGTGTTTGGCCAAAGGCTTGATCCTGAACAGTTAAGCAGGCTTCAGCCGCAAGACCGGGTTGGACGAGCATCTCGACCATATCCTCGTAGCCGAGTTGAGAGGCTAAAAGCAATGGGTTAGAAAACCAGCGACCTGATCGCTGATTTTTGTGGCTTCCTTCGTCGAGCAACAATCCCTTGGTCTTGATAACTTTCTCACTCAGAAGCAGCGAAACAACCGCTCTAGAACGGCGCCGTATGGCCTTCATCAAGGGTGTGTCGGAGCTGGGCACGCCGAGGTTCGGATCTACTCCCTCGAGGCTGAGCAGGACCTTGACGACTTCGATATGTCCGTGCTCAATAGCGACGGTAAGCGGCGTTCCTTCAGCTTCCGTCCAGACGTTAGGGCTGACCCCTTCTTCGGCAAGATACTGAACGACGTGGGCGTGCCCCCCTGCTGCGGCGAGTGAAATGGAGTGTTCAAGCGCCGAAGGGCTGGCGTAGGGCTTGAGGGGCTTGACAACGTCGAGTACACCTTCCCGTACCGCCCACTCAAATAACACGGCCGTCCTCTCTTGCTGTGGCACCCCGGAAGCTGGACCAGCGGTGATATGGGGTAGGATTTGCAAAACGGCCTCCGCGTGTCTGGATCTGACCTCGTCAGACCTGATATGTTCGTCTCGCAACAAGGATACCAGGGTATCGACATGACCGTGACGCGCGGCGAGCGCAACGGCCGACTCGCCCTTGTTCGTAAAACCAACCTCGACGGGGCCAGGCTGGATGGTGGGCTCGCTAGTCTGTTGGCCCGGGTCCTTGTACAGATTCAGAATGGTATCCACCATTTTAGAGTCACCGCGCTCAGCGGCTAGATGTAAAGGCGTGTTACCGTCCTTATCATTCATGAATATGATGTTGCGTAGGGACGGATCAAGTGACCGCAAACGATCCACAAACTCGCAGGAATTGTGTTGGGCGGCAATGTGGAATGGGGTCACACCATCCGGGTCCCGCCGCGCATCAAGGCTGGCGCCGGCATGAACGAGTAATTCCAGGGAATCTGAGTTGTGCCTCGCAGCGACGTGAAGGGCGGTTTCTGACCTGATATTCCTGACATCCAGAACCTCCCTGTCCTGCCCTTTCACCAGACAAGCCAGCATCGAGCCACCATACTTGGCGGCTTTGTGGATTGCCGTGTCGCCATCCAAATCTGTCACAGCAACCTCTGGCAATGGTTCACGGCCTGAGGCGAGAGCGGCCACCATCTCTGGGTAACCATAGTCTAGGGCCCACGCTAGAGCGGTGCGCTGAAGTCGGTCTTGTGTTTTGTGGTTGACTCTGGGGGACGCTACGAGAAGAGCTAGAATAAGCCTGTAGTGGCCTTGGTTGGAGTCAACGGCGTAGTGCAATGGCGAACGACCGTCTTGGTCTGCTAGGTTGACGTCTGTGCGGGGATCCGCGAGGAGACGCTTGATCGCATACAAGTTCCCGAACCAGATGGCAAGATGCAAGGGGGTCTTCCCACTGCGTTCTCGGAGATTGAGGTTGATGTCGGGATGGGACAGCAGTTTTTCCAGCACTTCCGCAAGGCCGGCACGAGACGCGGCCAGGTGCAAGGCGGTTGCGCCGTTTGCGTTCTCTGCATTCACATTGACACGTTTGTTGGCGAGGAGCCGTTCAAGGTTGTCGGTAACGCCCCAGGTTATGGCCTCGTGGATGGAGTTTGTTTTGATCCACGACCAAACCGCCATTTTCGGGAGAGAGTTTTCGGGGTAGAGGGAGGGAAAGAGAGAGGGAAGAGGGGAGAAAAGAGGGAGGGAAGAGGGAGGGAAGAGGAAAAGAAGGAGGGGGTTTATCGGAGAGTCTGTTTAGGATGAGATGAAGAGAACTCGAATGGTGAAGATGTAAAGATGCGGATCTTGATGAAACTGATCCATACTGACAAAATTTGTAACAACCTGGAACTCCAGCCCGCCCAGCCCACTTGGACGGGCAGTCGGAAAATTCTTTGCTTCCATGAGCTGGTGGTGAATGCAACTTGGGTACCTAAAGGTGGCATGGTATGCAAGGTTGAACTGCAAACCACGGAAGGAGATCGAAAATGCGCTTAGCCCCAGGCCCACTGCGGGCTCACTGCAGGCCCAGGCTCGCTAGCTTCTCCCCACAACCAACCAAAATTGACAACACGACAATTTCCCTCTTGACTCCTCGACCATTGGGAGAGCGCTGAGGCGGTGCCGGTCAGATAACCAAGGCAAGAATGCTCGACAGCCCTAACCAGGCGCCATTAGGTTCTATTCTACAAATGCTGCGCCCCAGTGCCCGAGGTGCCTAGGCCGTGTGCGAACGGGGACGACCTTCGGTAGCTTACCTCGTTATGCTTATTCGTACCTTATCCCACCCAGCGCCGCTGCCACTACGGACTTGAAGGTTGTGCGACTCCCCGAGATTTGTTGAGAAACATCCGGGCTTCACGGGCGAACCAGTCAGAAATGCCCGCTACTCTCTTTACCTAGAGATGGATAGCCCGCTTGTCGGTTGGTGAGTGACTTTACTTTGTTAGTGCCAGGAAGAAGGAAACCGAGCGTATGGCTAAGGAAGGACATGATTGACATAACGACAGGCAAAATGCCGACACCACCCGTGGGACGTTTAGCATCATCAAGACATGCATGGCCACCATCTTTGCCTGCACATGGACCATCCAGCACCTCAACGTGCCCGCTGCCCATGACAGCGAGTGGCGGAGGTTCTCCCGCGCCTGCAAATGGATGTTTTTTACCATCTTGCTTCCCGAGTTTATCCTGGCCCACGCCATCATGGAACTGGCCGTCGCCCGTCCGATTCATGAAGCGCATAAAAACGGATTTAATTTTCTCCTCAAACCTAGGGCACATGGACGTCGTGTATCCGGCCTGGCTTACCCTGCTCGTGGACCCGCCAAACCGCTGGCCTGTCATCCGCTCTATGCTAGGCCGGAGGAAGCTGGTTGACGGACTTCCAGTCGAAGAAGAGCAGCAGCGTCGGCCAAGCATCGCCCCTACAAGTCAGAGTCAGAGCCAAAAGCACCCATCACATAGGCCGAGATGGACGCTGACGCACACCTACTTCGCTAACATGGGCGGCTTTGTGTTTTCACCGCCTGTGGATGGACTCGATACGTTGGAACCTGCCCCATGTCCGCTTATAGCCGACGATCTGGCCGAGTATTTCAAATTTCTTGACTTCCCCGAGACGACCGAAGGCGATATTAAAGACAAGAGTAAGACGGATGGGCTCGCCAAGGCCTTTTCCGTCTTCCAGATATCTCATCTTGTGCTTTCCCTCATAGTCCGCCGAAGCCCGGGTAAGAAGAGTGCCCAGCTCGAGATCTTGACACTCGCCGTTGCAATTTGCGGCGTCCCCACATATGTCGTCTACTGGTACAAGCCGAAGGACGTCACAGTTCCCATTAGCGCCAGTATCAAATCTAACAAACGCGAACAATCTCTCGACGTGCTTGGTCTGTCAACCATTGATAGGCGGGG